AATAACGCTCCATCCCAAGAGATAAATACTACGCTGAGCGAAGACGACTTTCTCAGGATTGAGCACCAAATTAGCATCGGTTAAACGACGAATTACCTCAGCAACCAACGCATAGTGATCTTGTAGGCTCCCATTACTACTGCATAAGATGTCATCCACATAGCAGGAAACCGAGTGATCACCATCAGTAGGAAACGAAGTAGAACTAGAGCTTGTATTCAAATCAGAGAGCAGTGTTTGCAATGTGCGTACAACCACCGATCCGACATGGCGAATTCCATAAGCAGCCTTTTTATGGGTGTATTGGATATTCGTGAAGGGACAAGTAAATGACACTTTATGAGCTTGCTCTGGATCCAAACCAAAGCTAGTAAAGCAAGCATGGATATCGAGACAAGTATGAATCATTTTTGTACCAATGCTCTGATGGATATGAGAGATCAAAGGTAACTGTTGTTTGTCATCCACTTCCAAGATAGCATTCAACTTACGAACGTCACACACCACTCTAGGCTTAGACATTGTGTAATTACCATCAGCGTCCTTTTTCTTTACAACCAACAATGGATGATTGAAACGTGTATGACTAGCAGATCTTTCAACAACACCCTCATCAAGCCATATCTGAATTTGTTTGGCAACAGCATCACGATAAGCTTCAGGCAAAGGATATTGAGCTCGCCAAGCGACAGCACCTGGTTTAGTATCAAGCTTAATAATCGAATCCGGCAGATTACACTGAGTATTCTTCATATCAATGCGCGAATTCTCTTCTAATAACCCCTTTAGTGCAAGTAGAAACGGCTGTCTCTCTTCCTCACTACCAAAAGGATGTGCGTTTGGAGTAATACCATCATCAATAGGGTCTGGTACACGAGGACCTGATTGAAAGCCATGTTGACTCACCAAGCCCGTAAGACCAATGCCAAGCTTGGACAAAATATCCATACCAAGCAACACAGGTACGTTTTCCTCAGAATAGAATGGAAATACTTCAAACAAATGGTTTTTATTTGATTTATTGTAGCTAATGTGCAAACGTACCGCACCTATTCTAGGCACAGTCGTTACTTCATGAGCCATTTGAACAAAGCTCTCATCATCATCATTAGCCTCAAATCCAGCAAGAGAGGTTCCTCCTAAGAATTGAAAGAACTTGTCAGTGACGCACGAAAACGTAGCACCCGTATCCACTAAGCCAAAGCAAATGACATTTTGAACCACAATAGGAACACAAATAGCATTGGTGGTCATAGTAGGTGGAGCACTAAATCTAGCATCGAACTTACATTGCTGAGCAAATATATTTTGTAGCGTATCGTCGTCCACAGACATGCTACTCATCTCTTTTTCAAGAAGAATAGACTGGGCACGATTCACCAGGTCAGTATCCTCAAAGATACCATGAGCTTCACTCATCACAGCATCTTGGTCAACATCAACATTGTCACTATCACCAGAAGAAGGAGCAAGGACAACATCATCCACCGATTGTTCAGCAGAGGAGACAGCAGGGGAAGAAGCACCTTTCTCAGCTAACGCACGATCGACACGAGCAGAGAGAAAAGCAGCTTGGATTGCAGCATCCATCGAATGTTTGCCACCACGTTTCTTAGTCATGGCACGCAAAACTTTTTTACCACCATTGCCCTGATGGGTGTTACCACCACCAGTACGAATAGCAGTGTTGCAGTGATGCATCTGCCCCTTTGGTCGAGGACCGTTACATTTGGAGCAAGTCCCTTCAGCAACATGTTCAGCAAATGTTTTGCCAAAACGATTAGCACTAGAACGTGGAGAGTTGGACGAGGGACCATTGGATCTCGACGAAGAGCTACTTTGAAAAGCGTTTCCACTAGAAGAAGGTGCGTACCGAGACTTCTTTGCTTCGTTCGAAACAGGTATGTCAGCAGCGCGTTTTCTTCCATCAAAAACAGAGCCCAAAGATTCTTGACCCGTCTCAATAGCCATCATATCCATCTTGCGCACGAGAGAGGACACATAATCAATGTCATAAAATGACGATTCTGGTGCCTGACTCATAGCAACCATTAGCAACCTAGCGGTAACCTTGGGGAAAGCGTCAAAAAACACCATCGCTACGACACCCTTATCACTGATGTCAGCTCTATTTCTCAACGTCTTAAACCGCTCTACGAAACCATCAACGGATTCTTCGTTTCCTTTAGTACAACGAAGAAACTCCCTAATTCTTTCGAATCTGAGCTGTTCTTTTGGTGTACCAAAACGACCGATGATAGCTCCCTTCAAGGTAGCCCAAGACACAGTGGAGCCAGATGCTTTCACAAACTCATCAAGCCAATTGCGAAGATCGCCGGGAAGACAAGGAGGAAGCAAACGATACCAGTGTTCGTCAAGATCAAGCGTGCAACTGCTCAACTTATCGGAAAACCGGCGACAACACTCCTCAATGTTGGCAAAAACTTCCTTTTTTTCATCTTTGACACGTCCAAACCATTGAAACAAAGGAAGATCATCAGGTACAGTTGAACTATTAGCCGCACCTTGACTAACCACTGTTACTTGGGAAGGACTCTGGTTAGGTGTGACCATAGAGAGAGCTTTCTCTATAGCCTCCAAGTTAGAGCACTTCTTTGACAGGGCAGCCTTCAAAGCGTCGACCTCTTCGTCCGACTTGTCCCCACTGTTCGCAACTTCAGCGATCAACCCATGAACCTCCTGACGAAGTCGCTCTACAGCTCCTCCGTATGAAAGCTCGCTTCCAACAGCTTGAACATCTGAACTCTTGTTCTGTTCTGCAGGAGATACAGTAGAATCATTCATAGTCATATTTTTGGTTTAAATTAGATAGGTAGGTTAAAATCTGGAAGATTCTGATTTACACGATCTTAAAAAATGTTAAGCACAAAGAATAAAAGGATTATTATTTGTAGCTTATAAAAAATGTTCGATATTATAAAAACAAGAAAAGACTTATTTGAATAAGATCAGACACAAAAACTAAAGATTTATTGATGAAGACAAGAGTTATTCTATTTATACTAAGTTCTGAATGCCAAAGTAGCAATTTATCTTGTACAACGCTTATCACATCTGGTGAACCTCAGTATTTAGATAGCTGAGATGCACTTCACTTATCATAGCTTGTCCATGTTGTTGCACAACATAGACATATCTACCCATCAAGAATACCTTAATCTTTATAGGCAGTTGTAGCCCTTCTGGCACAACAGTAATATAAGGTGCAATTGTTAAGCATAAAGAATAAAAGGATTATAATTTGCAGCTTATAAAAAATGTTCGATATTACAAAAACAAGAAAAGACTTATTTGAATAAGATCATACGCAAAAAACTAAAGATTTATTGATGAAGACAAGAGTTATCCTATTTATACGAAGTTCTGAATGCCGAAGTAGCAACTTGTCTTGTACAGCGCTTATCACATCTGGTGAACCTCAGCATTTAGAGAACTGAGATGCGCTTCGATTATCATAGCTTGTCCATGTTGTTGCACAACACAGACATATCTACCCATCAAGAATACCTTAATCTTTATAGACACTTGTAGCCCTTCTGGCACAAAAACAATCATTGAATTCATCGTCCATTAAATAATTTTATGTGAGCGATGTTTTTTTAAATGTATTTTGTAGAGGAAATCATTTAATAGACGCTACATTAGTGCATTGGATAGAGGGTCCTGCCAGTACCAAATGCCCCGCCAAACATGCATTTTTTTTTATCAAGGATTTCCACCACGTTTTACTGTCATGCGTTGCTATCTTTTACCTGATACGAAAAATTATTGATTTACGTATTGCCAGTCTATATTTATAAACAATGCAGTTGTCAAACTTTTCTTTTGCGTATTACCCCTGTGGAAGATCTTACCTGTAATAAAAAACGACTCTGTTATTTATTAAATGCTGTTCTATTTGAATGCTCATGATACCATTCCTTGCAAAAGGCTAACTGAAATTCTGCTCCTCCTCGATTCAATGGGTTCTCCATTGGTTTTGCTCTCGTCGTCCTTTCGTTCAAATAAAGATGTTTGGTCTTCAACGTACGATAAGAAGATACGTACCACACAGTTGAGATATCAAAGCTTGACTTTGAATGCTTGGATATGTTGACTATTTTCCTGACATGGTATTTCTGTTCAACCTGACCTGCTTTGTGTTGCGAAGCTCGATGTCAGTTTCGAGCTTGGTAAACTCTGTCTTCTTGCCGTTGCAGTGCTTTTTACGCAATCGTTCCTTTAGCTTGGCTTCGTCGAACGGTTTGCATTTGGATTCTCTTACTTCGTTTTTCATTTGCGTAAAAAAGAAGCAAATCACATTTGATGCGGTTCTGGATCTATTTCACTGCTGTTGACTGGTCATTTTCACTCTTAAAAGGTGGTTTGTCAAAGTTCCGAGAGGCTACTACAGCACTTGGAAAGGCTTCCCTTGTTACTTCTACGGTGCAATATGAGATGTCTTGGTTTAGGGTAATCGACCATGAATTCAAGAACAGTGCAGTATGAGTGGGTTCAACATAAGTTGTTGTTGGAGACCTTCCCTAAAGTCATACTCTTCAGCCAATACATAGCCATAATCAGTTATCCATTTGCAAATGTTTCAACAAATATTAGCGCCGAGGATTACTTCTATTTGTATTTATTCTGCATCTAGCATGCGATATTCTTTCATTTCTTAACGCCCGCCAATTTGCTTAACAAGGGAGTATTAACTGTATTTAATGCCTCTTTCTTTTCAACAACATCTCTGCTGGCTTTAACCATCAACTTGACCCATTCATCTCGATCTTGATCTGTAAATGCGCAAAATTGATATTCTACATACTGATTTGTGATGCCTCTCTTTTCTATTACACGGATGACAAGCCCATGTCGACAATTTGTTGTTGGATCCGGATCAGCATAATTGAATCTTTGTGGATAGATATCACCTAGCGCCAACGATATATTCCCTAGCAGCTTGCCTCTTTTCTTATTTTTTTTTTTTTTTTGAATTGTTACAATTTCGAGTCATGTTCTGGTTTGTAAGATACACCTACGGATGAATAGTATTCCAGCTTTGTACCTTCAAGAGCAAAATACATTGATTTCCATCCACCGATAAGGAACCCTTTGTATTTACTTAATACACCCTCTTTGGACGATCTTGGATTCACTTTGGTTTCGTCAAAAATATTTGAGCTTAAGAATGCACTTAGGTAAGATGGATCCTTTGTGTTGGTGAATGCTATGGCTTGCTGGAAATACAATTCCAACTGGAGAATACGCTTATCGCAATTGATTGGCGAATTGTTGGTTAGTTTATAGACACTGGGTAATGACTGGTCGAATCCTTGCGTCGTGAGCTATGAAATATGGTGTTAGTATCAATTTCTTTCTTCACAGATCACTTACATCAGAATGGAGCTTCACGAAATCAGTGTATCTCTTTTCAATCTTTCTTATCTCCTTGTACCGGTCGTTGATAGCATTTTCTCTTGTTCTGCGGATGATGTGCCTTACAGATATGATGGTCGAATACATTAGCTTTTTATCTGATTCATTGGGATGCACATTCATGCCGATTACTTTAATCTGTATGGATGGCAAATCAGTTTTAATGGCAATAGGCTCTGCGAGTTTTTGTTTAGAAAAGCCCAAATCCTTATTTGTAAGCGTAGCTGTATCGTCATCAAGAACAGTGTATGTGCTATCATGATCTACGAGTGTACTGTTATCTGTAAAGGCCGTATTTATAGACGCATTGTCTATATTATCGATATCTGAGAAAGAGAGCATGATTTATACGTTTTATTAGAAGCAAAGTGTGAAAGTATGGGTAAAAGGGATTGATAAAATGCAGCGGATTGCGGCTCAAGTGGTACAAGCTGTATATTCAGGGTGTCATCATCATGGTAGTCGAAGCAGGTGGATCTATTTCTATACGCATAAGAACACCTCTTTGATTCTCTTTGATTCCGCCATGAAAGTCTTTTCCAATTCGCACGATGTCTCCACTCTCTAATTTATGAGGAACTGATACCTGTTTCTTTTTGGCCAAACGAACGCCATTGACATAGGTGCCAAAATTCGATTTAGTGTCCTTGATGAGCAGCTGTAGTGCATTGCTTTAGTAACACATGATGCATCTGATGTTCTTTAATAATTCTACCTTGCTCTTCTTTACGTAGATTTTGGCATGTCTTCTACTAACTACTTTTGAGTTCAAATGAATGTCGTTTTCGTCAGTAATCGTTGTAAATCTTCCTAAGCGTATTTGGGTGGATGGTGCAAGCTCTCGTTCAATGGTATCGATGACCATGGACGGCTCTTGTCCAGGTAGGTCGTTTGAAAGGATGCAGAATCGAATTACAGTGCCTGGGTGCATTCTCGGTGATTGTTTGGCAGGAAGAAAGGCAACATCGCATAATTTACACTCTTGATTACTTTTTCGCTGAGCAAATTGAAAGCCACTTGCCATTCCTACCTTACATCAATGACGAAATGAGTTCGCTAGCCATGTCCATTGCCACAATGACTCCGTCACGCTATTCATCATAACATATTCATTTTCTCTTTGCTGCCTTCTTTTCAAGTGTAGCCATTGAGTCTTTTACTTGCTCCATCAATGTATTCCAGGGTAGAGTGATGACTGGCGGCTTGGAAAAGAACAGAAAATCATAGCCTAGCAAGGATGGCAGCATGAGATACAGAGCACCACGCTATTTTTCACTTTTTACCTTTCATCTTGAGATTGGAGTATATTGTCTGCAATGCTGACTTGATGCGACGATCAGCTCTGTTTCTGTGCACTGCTGATTTGCCAATTTTCTTTTTTCCTGTAATGATTGCAACACGGTTAAGATCTTTGGTTTCATTGTAGATGGCCTTGACATTGAATGCGTCTGTTGACTGTGTCAGACGAGATTGTTTGGAGAATATGGAGGACAAGCGTTCTGTCGCGATGCCAGGAATCTTCATGTTGGTTTTGTTTGGAGGAAAAGGAGAAAAAAAAAGCATTATCAGAGGCTTATTCAGAATCACACACATTTCAAAGACGGATATTCAATCTTTGACAGTGCTCCACAATGTTGGAATTTACAAAGACCATGTTGATTTCGACGATAATAAAATGCAAATGAAATTTAATTTTATATAAACTAATTATAATCCGTTCAATGTTTTTTTAACTATATATATATTTTACTTTATGTAACAAAATGGCAATAGATGTTCTTTACAATTCCACTCCATTTTCCCCTTGATCTGACTGATGAGCCATTTAAAGCTTATCGTAGTAGTTCTCGAGACCGGGAATATCTTCCTTGAGACCCTTTCTCTTACGGACGGCACGAATGATATCGTAGACCTTGTTACCTTCTTCCATGGGGTTACCAGACATGAGTTGCCAGTGATCAAAGACAGCTTGAGGGAAAGCTTGACCACCAGTGGCGGCACGAAGATCAGCAGTGAAACCGAAAGACTCGTTGACAGGCAAGTAAGCCTTGACGGTCATCATGGGGGTACCAGCCTTTTGCTCTTCAGAGAAGACTTGACCACGACGTCTGTTAAGACAAGAGTAGATACCACCAATAGCGGAATCGGGACATTGGATTTCGACGAGGTAGATGGGTTCTTGAATACCAGGAGTGGCAGTGATGACAGAGGCGTAGACTACACGACGACAAGTGGGGATGATTTGTCCACCACCACGATGGATAGCATCAGCGTGAAGAGTGACATCAAGAATGTTGAAACGACAACCACGGAGGTTCTCTTCGGCAACGGGACCTTCCTTGGTGGCCCATTGGAAAGCGGCAACACAAGAATCCTTGATTTCACCGAGGTATTGGACTTGCTTGGTAATATCAACCATAACGTTGGGACCAGTACCGTCAGGACCGAAACACCAGATCTTACGGGCTTCAGTGACATCCCACTCGTACTTGTCGGCGAGGACACGAGCACGGAGCTTGAAATCATCCTTGGCAGTGATCTTACCAGCATCAATCTCGTTGGCGAGGTCTTCATCCAAAGGAGTGGCACGCATGTAGATACGGTTGTGCTTGTTGGGAGACTTAGAGAGACAGTCGATGCTGGATTCAGCAGTGACAGTTTCACAGTAAGGGACAACGGGGTCACCAGTCTTGAGGGGAACTTGAGCGTGATCTTCTTCAAGATCCTTCAAACAAATTTCAAGATGGAGTTCACCGGCACCGGCAACAATGTGTTCACCAGAATCAGAAGTGAAGGTAAGGACACAAGGATCAGACTTGGCGAGACGCTTGAGACCTTCAACGAGCTTGGGGAGATCGTTGGCGTTCTTGACATCGACAGCAACTTGGACGACAGGAGAGACAGAGAACTTCATGACCTTCATGTTGTGAGCGACCTCAGAGGTGGTGATAGTACCAGACTTGACCAAGAATTGATCAACACCAACAAGACCAATAATGTTACCAGCGGGACAATCCTCAATGGCTTCGACGTTACGACCCATCATGAGAACAGTACGTTGGATAGACTTGATAGAGAGATCGGTCTTGGTACCGGGAACGTAGTTGGGACCTTGAATACGGACCTTCATACCAGCACGGACGGTACCAGAGAAGACACGACCGAAAGCGTAGAAACGACCCTTATCAGAGGTGGGAACCATCTTGGAGACGTAAAGCATAAGGGGACCCTTGGGGTCACAAGCCTTGATACCAATGGCACACTCATCGTCAGCGGGACCTTCGTACAATTGACCGCAACGGTAAGCTTGAGAGGTGACGGGAGAGGGAAGATGGATACAGATCATTTCCAAAAGAGCATCACCAGCGGGCAAGAACTTACGCATAACGACCTTGAGGAGAGCCTTACCTTCCAAATCCTTCTCATCAGAAGCGAGGTTAACCTCCAACTTCTCCAAAAGAACCTTGGTTTGATCCTTCTTGAAGTTCATGATGGAATCGAAAAGACGGTAGATGGGATCCAAGATGAACATGTTGAAGGCACGTTCGAGTTGAGCGCCAGAGGCATCAGTACCCTTGGTGGTCCACTTCTTGGTCTTGGGGTTGAAGTAGTTCTCACCCCAGAGCTTGTTCATCATCTTTTGCTTATCAACACCAAACTTCTTGGCATAACGAGTAGCGAATTGACGAAGAGTGAAACCCCAACCGTGGAGACCAGAGGCGAAGGAGACGGTACCCTTTTCGGGGTAGACTTGACAATCACCGAGAGCCTCATCAACGTAGGTGGAGATGATAACGTTGACGGATTCGATGGTACGAGAGAAAGAGTTGTAGAGTTCTTCCTTGTCCAATTGGAGTTCGAGAAGAGCACGATCAACCTTGTTAAGACAGATAACAGGCTTGATACGTTCGTTCAAAGCTTGACGCAAGACAGTCTCGGTTTGGACACAGACACCATCAATACAATCCACAACAACGAGGGCACCATCAGTAACACGAAGGGCAGCAGTAACTTCAGAAGAGAAATCAACGTGACCAGGAGAATCGATCAAGTTGATCAAGAAGTTGGAACCATCGGTCTTTTGGTTGATTTCTTTGAGACCATCCTCATCTTCCATCTTGAAGTACATGGAGATGGCAGTGGACTTGATGGTAATACCACGTTCTTGCTCATCCTTACGGGTATCCATGAAACGGGCTTCACCAGCACGGCCGGAAGAAATAATACCAGCCTTGGAAACCAAGGAATCAGTCAAAGTAGACTTACCGTGATCGACGTGAGCAATAACAGACATGTTACGGACGTTGGTAACCTTGTCCATCAATTCACGGATCTCTTCAATTGTGAAATTCTATAGAGCAGCATATGTTGAGTTTCTCTTGCCCAGATATCCGTATTAATGCAAACTATACTTACAACTAGAGAGTGTCAAATGTGCAGAGATAGTGATGTATATATGATAGAAAAGAGAGAACGCATCAGTTAGTCATCTGTAGTCATCTAGCAGCATCCATCTGTATATCCAGTAGATGGATGGATGTTGTATTGCTGTAGGATGGATTACATACCCATTTTGTTATATAAATGAAATTGGTGTGAACAAAAGAAAATCAATTTTCTTGCTTGAATCTGCCTTTTTGCACATATTCACACACACACACAGACACACTGCGGCATCCATTTGTTGCGCCCACTTGAGCCAAAAATTACCCGGAGCTCCTTGATTGATTTAGTGTTTAAAAAAACTTTTTTTTTTTTTTTTTTTTTCGCATAAAACTGAAACTTTTTGATGGTTCGATATTTAGACACGCATCTAAAACCCTTTCTCTCTGTGTGGGAGCATGGTTTGGTATGTCAACTTTGTTGTGGATAGCTGGTCATTTACACCCAAGGCATAGCAAATGAATCAAGCAATGCATGGACACTCATCGCAAGATAAGAGGCTCCTCATTGTATAAAAAATTTAGACAGCATTTGCTATTTTAAGATGTTTGATTGTCATACAAGAGCCAAATTAGTTGGGGACGCAAGATCACGTTTGATTTACGTAAGGCTATAGTAAGATTGAGATCCAGGAAGTCCCAGATGCCTATAGCCAGAGACATTGGCACAGCAAATGTAACATGTCTAAAAGCGCAGTGGATGGTTTACTTGTGAAAGCTTATATATATATCTATCAGTGCCACAACACCATCTTTTTTTTTTTTTTTTTTTTTTTTTTCCAAAGATCCCAGTTCTCTTTTGAGGTATTACAGAAAGTTGCATCGGGAAGTTGCTGGATAAATAGCGTCCGAATGATTAACATGAAATCTTGCAAATCTTGGCTGCGTATTTGTGGTGGTGTTGAGTGCGAGAGTCCTTGCCTGCCTCCGCAGTATATGCCTGAGGATTTGCGATACGGTAGGTGCACTCTAGTTATGGATCAACAAATCGTTTCTTCAAAGCACAATTCTGAGATTGGATATATGGTATTTCCACGGTTGAATTAGCTTCACACTGCAGTTTTTGTACCAATATGAACAGGTTTATTGCATGAAAATCATGCTCTTGAGCTTTATTTGATTCATCTGCACGCACTGAAAATGTGGTATCATCCCGTTATTTACATAAAACTACTATGAAAGCTCTCTTGATGTCCCTACACATACAAATTGGCAGACATGTGTTAATGCCTAGAGGAATAAGTTTTGAAACACTATGGTATTGTCAATGTGGTAGAAGAATTGGAACGGCAAATCGAGCTGCACTTTTTGTTCGGGATGAAATCAGGCTCAAAGCTGCTTGCACTTCTCTTTCTTCTCAGCGTTGCGATTCCCTTTTCTGTGCATAAAGACTGCAAAATGTCCACAACATCAGGCTCTTTGTTGCACGCAAGTTGAGTGAAATAAATAGAATGGATATCCTTCAAGATCTAAATATTAATGTCGTGTCAATTCACATATGATGTACAATCACAACCTTACACACATCCTACACACCTTGCCGACATGGTCCAAAGCATCGTCGGTTTCTATTTCTTCGGGTATAATATCAGCAATGTTTTTGTCGAGAAAAACATCAGGTTGTTTTGTACAATGGGCTGAAGAAATAGAGAACTGATTGCTGAAATCTTCAACAGGTGGTGATGGTGGCGGCAATGCAGGTACCGCAAAATCAGCATCCGTGTTATCCAGATCAAATTCATCTTGTTCGAGATGAAACGAGGTGCTTTGCTTGGTGGATGTATAGCTATTTACAAACGAATAATACTGATTCTGGGTGGGTGCAGCGTAAGCTAAAGCATTGAGCTCTTTTACGTTTCTGAAATAGGTGTAAGGTTTGATCTGAATAAGGTTGGGGCTGTCATCCCAAACATTGGCAGAGTCGTCCAATATAAGCACCTGTGTACGATCCGTTGGGTATATTCTACTGATCTTCTTTTTGAGAATGCATCCATTGCCATCTCGTGTGAGCACACTTCCTTTAAACAAGTTGCGGTCAGGATCTATTCTGTCGAGAAAGACCTTGGCGTATGCTTTGTTGCCCATGGTATACACATGTAATTCGTACATGGTAGATATGCGAATAAGAAATCTGTACAATCCAGGCCTATGTTCATGTGATGAGTTTTATTTTCGCAGTAAACATTTGCATTATTGATTTTCTCTATTTACCGCAATTTAAACGAGAAATTGTTGGTGGTTGCAGTTGTAAACACATCCTTGACCCGAGACTTGTTGGTTTTACTACGCTTTTGTTTATTTATCCATTCGGCTACGTCGTATACAGCAGTTGCGTGCATCAATGTGTTGTCCAAATCAATGATCAACGATAGCTTCTTGTCGCTTCGTAGTCTCTTTAAATCGTCCTTTTCTCTTTGTTTCGCTTGCTGCCACCTGTTTGTTATTTGATGAGTCTTATTTGTTGGCCTCTTGGGATGAACAAAAACTTACTCAGCTTCATCTACATGACTACAAGCTACACATACACCACTAAACTTGGTTTCATGAGCACAGTACGAGCAACCATCAGCCCAACATCGACCCTGTTCCATATATTTGTGATTGCAACGAGACATTTTGATTGATATGAGATAAATTTAAAAAGAAAGAGGCAAATCGGAATGAAGCATGAAAATTGAAAAGTTTAAACTTGAATTTTGAGGAGGAATAAAAGGAATGGAGGAAAAGGAGGGAGAGAGAAGAGGAACAAGCAGCAGATAGCTGAGGAGAGCGTTTAAAAGAGAAAGAGAGGTGCAAAGTAAAAAGCAGGCAGAGTATCATTGGACTTGAGATAATTGGTACACCGTTCGTTTTGCCTCATTACCTTCTGATGATGCTCATTCATCTTTAACAAAACAACCATGCCATTCTAGTTGAATCTGTTAACTGCAATGCAATCTTGTCTTGAATGCACATTACGTCCACAGATGTAGTTAGTTTGCATCACAACTTGTTACAAAAAGTCATGCATCATGTACTCAGGGCACAAACATGGTCGACACGCAAAAACACGTAGTAAGCATCGGGAGAAGAAGGCGAGTCGTGAAACCCGTCTTCCTTATTAGGAACTAACGATGTGGACTGTAGATCACAAACATTTGATACTCTTACATTTTTTTAAAAAAAAAAAAAAAAAAAAAATTGTAAACCAAAGAGTTTATTAATGAAATGGATGGCAGGGAATATAATTTTGTTGCATGATATTTGTCTCTAGATATAAGTGTGTATATATCATCTATGGAAATTCGTGGAGAGAGAAGAAATAAAAAGAATGGAAATATCGTATTTACATGATGATTCTTTTTCTGTATATAAAGTGTGGAGCGTCGATTTCTTAATCAAAGATAGCGCCATATTCAGCCCATTTGTGATTAACATTGTGATGCGCATCATTGGCAGCAATTCGAGGTTGACTAGTTGGCAGTGCCTTTTTCTTTAGCATGTCAGCAGTCTGTAATTTGCGAGTAGGAGACAGCATGTCATCGGCTGGAGTTGCAGGGTGAGGTCGCTTACGGTCAGGCACGAATTCCACGTTTTTGCCATCAATGTTAGGGTCGATCAGATCTCTCATGCGTTCAGGCAATGGTCTCTTGTAACGACGGTGTGTCTTTGCGAGTAATTCATCGAGTTCTTTAAAGTTGTTTTGATCACGAATGAAAGTCTGGTGAGATTGTTGCTTTGCATGCTATACTTCACATTGAATACACTATACAAAATCAAGCATTTACATCCACGTACCTCTTCCAAATTCTCAAATAAGACGTTACAATTCTCGCAGAATCGAGAGTCTCTCTTCTTCTTCAACTCTCGCTCCCGGCGAGCCTGTTCCTCCCTTTGGGCCTTCTGTTTGCATAGTTTCTGATGTTCATTGAGAGTGACATTTTCCACCATGCGTTTATCCAAACGGTTGACGCTATCGCCTGGAGGTAATCGTCTATTTTCGCCTTGCAGGATGGACACAGATGTAGACACAGAGCGGGTGGATGCGGATTGAATGTTGTTAGTACAGGAGGGCTGAAATCCAGATGCACGTAGACTGAAGTTTTGTGAATCTGGCTGCTTTTGTGTTGTTTGCTGTGGTTGATGTAGCTGTTGGGATTGCGATTTTTGTGATGATAATGGAGACGATGTAGCTGTTAAGGATTTGTTGACTGCATGATGGAAAGACGTAGTTTGCTTAGGCATAGGCATGTTCTCCTTGTCCTCTTGTGCGTTGGCCTTGGCAGTGGTATTGTTGTCAGCTGCTGTTTTCGATAGGGCACCGTCAGCAACAGTGGTTTTGGTGGTTTCCTGTTTGATGCCCTCTTGAGCAGTAGCAGCAGCAACATCCTTTGCGTCAGCAGTGGCAGCGGTACCATCAGCAGGCTTCTTGGGAGGAGGTGGGCCTCTCTTTCCAAATGGTGATCTAAATTTAGGTGTTTGTTTAAAATAGGGCCATGGCAATTCAGCAAGTTTTTTAGTTGTATCTCTTGTCCATTGTTTACAGATGGGGGGACGATGAGCTTGAGTTGCGTCCTCCACAATGAGGAAATAGCCGGTAAAGGGCACAAATTGGGGTCGTTTGGATTGTGCGTCACTGTTTGTGCCAGTCGATGGGCCAAACAGCTTGTCTTCTTGCAGCAAATTGCCTAATCCTCTCTTTTCTTGTACTGGTGCTTCTTTTCTGTTGGGCGATACATTCATTAAGAATTCTACGGTCTTTTGCATGACTAGAGGGATGCAGTAAAGTAAGCATGGTGATTAAATACATTGAATGAATAGCACTTACCATCCGCACTCCACAATACAGTATTAAACTGGATGGCGCTTTCCACAATAGGATCATACCTTTTCAGACTCTTTGTTGCTTTAGCATTTGATGTTGTGCTGCTGCTAGAACTGTAGAGAATGTGTTATTTTTTCAAGGAGTCCATCATTGTGTGCCTTTTCATACCTGATTGTGGGAGCAAGTAGATTTTCGTGGATGGGAATGGGCTTTGTGGTGATGAGGTGAGTGCATTTCTTTGAGAAAAAGGGCTCATGTGCCTACGGAAGAGATATGATCAGACGTGGAAGAGTAAACTGCAATGTGTTTTTACAAACTTACAGCTCCCATGATTCTAATGCCTCTTTCGATTCTCTTTGATACAAGTGGATCCAGGTTGTCCAAGTAGAATTTGAATGTGCCAAACTTCTTTCTTCTGGCTGTGAGCTCTCCTGGAGGAAGTTTAGGGAAATCACCGCTGTTGACATTCTTTGTTGTGGATGATGTGGCAGCAGGGTTGAGTGAAGTTTGTTTTAATTTGTGCTGTAATTCCTGCTCGCGTGAAATGTTGGTCTGGCGAGGTAAATGTAGATCTGCTGGTTTCATCCATGTGTGCTGCTGATTGCTTTGTCGAACAGTGTTTGTATTGTTGTTCAATGGATACGACATGATCAGAACTACAGAATGAAAGAGAGAGAGAGAGAGAGAAAGAGAGAGAGAGAGAGAGAAAAAAAGAAGAAAGAGAAGGCAATCTAATAAGTTACCAAAAGAACAAAAAAAAAAAAAAAAAAATTGTAACAAAAAGAAAAAGACTGCTAAGCTCGGCGTTGAAAACAACAGAAATGGGTTCATTTGGCTAATTCAAGGGGTTGGCTATATGAATACCTCCACTGTATTCATGTTCTCATCTTGATGGTTGCCACTTATTCATTGTATTCATCCAGTTTGCACCCTGTAAAGAGAGCATTTATATATACATGCATCATCAAGACATGTAGTACATAAACACTTTGGCAGCAAGGAGATTCCAGAAGCATCTGTTGCTGGCCTACATTGACGTGTTGATAAGTCAGCGTGGTTTTGATATCCATAAACACACATCAGATACAAGAATAAAATGTACACTATACGGCTATGAAATGCGTGTATTCTAGGATGGATACACTGTATCAAATGACTGTGCAACCACATCATCTGTTTAAATACAGTGCTACATTGAAACTAGAAATGATCAGCTCTTGTGCGATCTTGCTGGCATGAGGCATATGTTCTCTGTGAATCAATCGTCATGCCTGTGTGATTGTGCGCCTCTAACCTTGAGTTAAGCTGATATAGCAAAGAGTTGTTGTTTATTTCGGGAACCAACGTAGTAAATTAACATCTAGTAACGAATCATTGTACAATAGTCGTGGTCTCCTCAAGGCTTGCCTTGAACTGTGTAATCAGAGGTATACCAAACTTTGCCCACCAGCCTATGCTTTCAATGGCCTCTGATGATTTTGCAAAGGGGAATGCTTGAAATACATGCACCATATCTTCGTAAATCTCATGATGCACCATAGTGGATTTCGAGTTCTTGACCTTGGTTGTCAGATCACAGATTTCATCTCTCAGAGATTCACAACCACCAGATTGGATCAGTATGGGCGGCATGTTGCTAAAGTTGTCTGCAAATATAGGTGATACGTAGGGATGTCGGATTAGCTCTTGATCATCCAGGTAAAGATGAGCTGGATTCATGGCTGTGAGTTCTGCAGGGTTCGAAGGCAAATAGTCATACAAGGAAGCATCTTGCCAGGAAGGGTAAGAAAAGGTCAAATCAACCCAAGGCTGTTGCAACCAGGTTAGTGCTTGTCATTCTCTGTAAAAATCATCAAGTCTTACTGATATTAATACGGCTCCCTCTGGCTGTGGTAATCCATGATCCCGCAAATAGAGCATCATGGCTAAACAGAGGCCTCCACCAGCACTGTCTCCCATGACAATGATATTTTTAGGGTCTAAACGGTGCTTCTCCTTGGGGTCAATCAAATACAGGTACGATTGTACTACATCGTAGAGTGCGCCAGGGAACTTGGTTTCTGGTGCTAAACGATAGTTGACAGCTGATGCAATATAACCAAATACGTTAACTTGATGTTCATAATCCACACAAAGCAAATTCACTATACCTAATACTCTTCTCTTTGTTGACTTGCTGATTTTATGTGTAAGTATTCTATGTGTTTGGGCACTCATAGCGCAATATGCGCCGCCATGTAAATAAAAGACAATCTTTTCACAACAAGGAGGTGCTTCCAACAGCAGCGTGGCATTATTGTTACTACGTAGAACAGGTGTGGGTCCGCCATAGATCTTTTCCCAGGTGGAAATGGCAGACATCCATTCCGCTTCCAGTTTGCTCCCTTTCTCTTGCTGATCTAGCTTCTTGAGAATACCGCACAAGTGTCTTCTCTTTACAAGAATGTACTCTGATTCCGTCTTGGATGTCAACGGTTTAAGCAGTGTAGGTGCAATCAGCATGAGCCTCCAAAACTCGAGGCTGTTGGTCAGTGATTGGTCTCTGAATGCTTGCAAGAATCCCATGACAATGGTGGTCTGAATGTTCCAAGTAGGCTTCTTGGGCTCTTTTCTGACATGAGACCAGATATCCGTAGCGAGTCTGAACAGACTGCTGGGTATTTGATAGACTGTGCTGTAGAGTTCTTGAGCGACAGTAGCTGTGATGGTAGAAATCAAGCTGGCATTGGAGGCATGACGGTTTAACAAGATGATCTCAGAATGGGTAAAGGACACCATGGATGCAATATCAGACGTGCTGTGGTGCTTGTCTAGAATGACACAGCAATCTTGGCTGGAACAATGTTGGATCCATTCATTGTTTCTCAATGGCATTGTTTATTGGGTAGAGATTGAAAAAGAGAGTGAGAATAAAGCAATGAATGCAAATGTGCGTATATATATATACATCACTTTCCCCTGCTTTTTTGTTTGTGCCATAGTATATATCACATAAATCAAAACAATTTGTTTTCATATGAAAAATATCACATGGTTCATTAAGGTTTACCCCACAATTTTATTCATCTCGATGCAAAAGACAAGTAGGCAGCAATAGCATCATGATGCCACAAAGAAGCTGTTTTCCGAGTCAGTACAGTGTGCATACAATACACCTTATATAAAACTCACCTAATGTCTGTGCTGTTCTTCCCTGCTTATCCTTGCTGCTGGGATCGACCTGGATCGTTTCCATCAGATATTTGACAATATCAAAATGACCTTGTCTAGCTGCATGCATTAATGGAGTCCAATTGTCCCACGCATCTGGTGCATTCCAATTTAATCCCTTAAGCGTGTTGAGCATTTCCAGGACATTTAAATGGCCCATCATAGCAGCATGATGGATCATGTTTCGACCCAGTGAGTCTGCATCATTCGCATCTGCTCCTTGATCCAATAAAAATTTCAACAATGGCAAGTTTTGTGACACTGCTGAATCCAAGAGCATATTTCGGCCCGAGTTGTCACGGTGCCCAAGTAGTTTGGGTAATGGTATGATGGCGTGTGATAGTAAATAATAGCTGATTTCCATAGCGGCATCATGATCGTTGTGTAATGCAGCGGCTGCTTGTGTGGGGAAGCGGCCTGAATTTGTGGCCTGTGTTATTGCTGCTGGATATTGATCTGTCAGGTATTTTGACAGCTCTATGTGACCTAGCACAATGGGTTACTGTAAGGTATCTTTGGAAAGCATTGTCAAAACCTGCAAACAAACCTTCTTGTACTGCTAAATAGAGTGCAGTTCTGCCGTCCTTTGTATGTCGGTTCAGTAATGCGCCTGCTTCTGTCAAAAATTTGACAATCGCTAGGTTTCCTTTCAGAGCTAAATAGAATACGAGTTGATGGTGTGCTGATCGACTCTCATCTTGTTGAACCTACCAGCAATCATCACTGGTGTCCAGTCACCTCGTTTCATCGCATTCACATCCACATGGTATTTCTCTACCAGAAACTGCACACAGGCAAATGAGTCAATCACTTCATGAATCGGTCTTCGGCCATGTTCATTGACAGCTTCTGGATCAGCACCAAATTCAAGCAATGCCGCCATGACATCCATGTTGTGAACTCGAGATGCAAAATGAAGCAGCGTATCGCCATGTTCGTCTCTTTCATTGATGTCTTGTTGAGCTTCCGGGTGAGTCTCGAGGAGTTGTTTAATGTGGTCTGCGTTATCTATATTGCGTATGGCTTTTTGTATGAATTGAGCGTTGTCCATCTTGCTTTGTAAAAGGTAATGTAAGTATAACTAAAGCAAAAAAAAAAAAAAAAAAAAAAAAAAAAAAAAGAGCATTTGGTCAGGATTTAAAATACTTTTCATCCAATCAAATCCCAAACTTGCATGAAACTATCCTTATTAGCTTCGCAAACATCGATAGTCTTCAAGGACAAGGCTTGTGTCAGTCAAAAGTCAATTGAAATTCCGCTCGTCATTCTGTTCTGATTTGTTCATTTTCGAGCTTTTTGAATTCAATTCGACCTATTTTGACAGATTCGACTATGGAAAGTGTGCTGATCACCGCATACTTGCTAATAGTTTTCTGGAGTACTTTTCAAGGCGCATCTAATGGTACTAATTAAAAGACGTGTTTTGACTGAACTTATCTAGCAAAATATGAAAACATGAAATGAGGTTTTTGACCAAAATGTTGAGATTATACATATGAAAGTTTCACAAACTAAGTTTTATGGGTTGCGTTGGATCGAGAGAAACATTTTGGTCTAATGAATACCTTTGTAAAAGCCTTCATTTTGGGGTCCAAAAACGCGATCGTTTGATTTTCGATGGAAATCATGAGGTATCCCTCTTGGTTTTTGATCAAATTTTGGCGATTCCAAAAAGTTGAGTAATGGTGTCAGAAAGTTAGTGCTAGTTGAGAGTGCTTGTTTGGCACTATTCTGGCGGTCTAAAACGACCTCTAACTCGAGAAATTAAGGCTCGAATATGTTCAAATTTTGCTGTGATTTGTACATTTTTGGGTCTTGAGCAATAATGTAAGTATTCTGTCCTGCCTCCACATGGATAGTTTCCACAATACAGACGAGAAGTAGCGTAAAAGAGGGATTTTCAGTTGCTACACCGGTCGTCAAATAATTAACAAGTGCAAAGTAAGCGACATGGGAAGAAAGATTTCACGCTCTCAAGATCCAGGCAAACTATAAAAGTATCAGATTACATGTATATAGTAACGAAGATAAAGACATAGACTTTTCCAATCTTTGCAAAGTTATTATAAATACATTGAATGAATTTAAGGAAGATTCGCGCCGACTTCAAGCCATACAATTCAGTATGAAGTCAACTAGCCGATCAATCTCACTACGTTCAATGACGGCGCCGCCCTTCGGGTTCTCTCTAAAGATATCTAAATTAGATAATAAAAATTTGGCATATCAAATAGATTTTAAACAATCAATTAATAGTAAAAAAAAAAAAAAAAAAAAAAAAAGGCTATATCAGAATCAGGAGGGGGAGGTATCCATTCGCTGATGCTGCTCTTGAGATGGAGAGATTGTCATCACAAAAGACGTCTTTACAGGGAAAAACTCCCAAGAAAAAAAAAAGCATTTGGGCGAAGCAATTGTCCTTTCAATTCCATGATCCCCATTTAATCAGTATCGCAATCATCATTGCCATCATCAGAAATAATGCATGTGGGCCAGCCAGCAGCAGTGTCGTCTGCTAAAATTTATTCAAGCTCAGCTTATTTTTTTTTCTGATCAAGATTGGACAAATCTTGTCTTTTGTCGACTTCTTAAATCTATTTTTCGATATTCGATTATATAAATTGTGATGATCACCCGATGCTTCCTAATACATTCTTGGAGTACTTTTCAAGGCGCTTCCAATGGTGCTAATTGTGAGAGATGCTTTGAATGAGATTTTTGAGCAATATGATAAAATATGAAATGAGTTTTTTAGCAAAAATAGTCATATTTTGCATATGAAAGCCGCATAAAAGTGGTTTCCGAGGTTGCTTTGGATCAAGAGAAACAATTTGATGTAATATATACCATAGTAAAAGCCTTCATTTTCAAGGTGAAAGACGCGATCGTTTGATTTTCGTTAAAAACCATGAGGTACCCCTCATGCTTTTTGGTCGATTTTTGACCATGTTTTTTTTTGGTCCTAAAAAGTTGAGCAACGGTGTCAGGAAGTTACTACTACTCGAGTACGATTGTTTGGTGTCGTTCCGGTGGCTCAGAAAGGCCTACATGTCAAGATATGAAGGCTCGAAAGCTGTCAAATTTGGTTATGCTTTACTTTATAGCTTTATTTACACGGCATAAATTACATCTCTGGTAGCTGACATCTTCTGGAGGAAGGGCAGTTACGCAGTCTGTGCAATTTCTAATTTAAATAGGAGACATATTGACTTTGGAAGCTAACTCCTGCAAATTCTGATGCGTTATGATGCTGGTAAGCTTGAATTTGCTGCTTGAATACTGTGATTTTGTGCCTTCGCTTCGCTACTGTTTCAGCCTCATATAGATTAATGCTATCAAATGCTGGATTAGATACTTAATTGTCATGGTTCTACACCTTTGCTTCGCTACGGTAAAACCCCAATAAACCAATGCTATCCAATGTTGGATTAGATCATGATATATGATCATATCAATCTCCGTAAAGCAGACTATACATTGCTTGACCTAAATCTTTAGTTGGCTACGTAATAAACTTGGAAAGTACTATGCTGTCTATTTATATCATAATAGAAGCGCATCGAGCAAGACTCAAGGCTCATATAATAAAGAGTTTTTCTAGCAAAAGCTAATGAGGTATGCAAAAGCTCTAGAAATACAGACACATTTGAGTTTTTTTTTTTTGACCTTGTTGAAAGTTTATTGATTTTGGGTAAAAAAGTCTAAAAAAAATTTTGAATAAGAGAAATATGTACACTAAAATGCAAGAGATAGGATAGCTGTAGATAAAGGAATGAGTTGTTGAAACACATATTTACAGAGATATATAATATAATAAAGATTAACATGTAATAATATTGAGAAAAAAAGGTAAGTTAACTTAGGAGATCTAGGCAATGACGCTGATGATTTTGGACCAAACCTTCTTCCACTTGGGAATAGGTTGACCATTGATATCCAAGCCTTCATCCTTACGAAGATCAAGAACAGTTTCTTGGAAGGTACCAGTCTCAAAGTCCATGTCTTCATTCTTAACGAAAGCAGGACGCTTCCATAATTTGTGGCCAACGTAGAGAACAACAGCCAAGATGAGACCAATGTAGGTGGAAATGATACCTGTGGCAGTGATTGGGGCAATGAAGGACTTGTAGCCTTGACCAAAGATAATGATAGTACCGACAATGATGACAAAGATATCACAAATAGGGAAGAGGGGAGCGACATAAGGAAGTGCAGTCAAAGAGCGACCCTGAGCAAGATAGCCTTGACGGAATCTGACGTGAGTGATTGAAATGGACACCCAGGTAATCAAACCAGCGAGAGAGGTAAGACAAGTCAACCAGGTAAAGACAACACCAGAACCAAAAAGAGATGTCAAGAAAGCAAGACAGCCAATAGCACAGGTAGCCAAGACAGACCAGATGGGAATACCCCAACGGTTAACGCGTGTAAAGACCTTGGGAGCATAGCCATCGGTAGCCAAAGACAAGAGAGTACGAGATGAAGAGTAAACACCAGAGTTACCAGCAGAAATCATGGTAATCAAAATGATGGCATTCATCAAATCAGCAGCCCAAGCAGCACCAGCCTTTTGGAATACAAGAGTAAAAGGCGAGACGGCCACATTGGAAGCACCCGACATGAGATCAGGATCAGTGTAAGGAATAATGAGACCAATGATCAAGATGGAGAGGATATAAAAGAGAACGATACGGTAAAAGACTTGCTTGACAGCGGCAGGTACAGTCTTGTGAGGATTGGCAGATTCACCAGCAGTGATACCAACAATTTCAACACCATTGAAAGAGAAAGCAGCAGTAATAAAAACGTTGAACACGCCGATGAATTGATTAGGGAAAGCACCACCTTCCAAGTGAAAGTTGGAGACACCATAATAGTGACCACCAGCAGCACCAGTATCTACACAGATACCAACAATCACAAAGATGACAACAATGATAATCTTGACAAATGAGATCCAGTATTCGATTTCACCATAGCCTTTGACGGAGAAAACATTGATAACAACCAAAATGACGAGACAAATAACCGACCAAATGACACTATTGACTGATTTTACCCAGTATTCCATAATCATGGCAACACCAGTCAGTTCAACAGCGACACCGACAGCCCAGTTGGCCCAGTAAACCCAACCAACAGTGAAACCGAGAGATGGGTCAGCAAAACGAGTAGCGAAATGTGAGAATGAACCAGCGACCGGGATGTAGGCAGCCATTTCACCCAAACTCATCATGACACAAAAGACGAGAATACCAACGAGAGCATAACCAACGAGAGCACCACCTGGACCACCGGCAACGATAGCCTTACCAGAAGACATGAAGAGGCCAGTACCAATAGTGCCACCCAAGGCGATCATTTGAATATGACGAGCCTTCAAGCCACGTTGAAGGGTGTGTCCCTTGGTTTCGGTTCCAGACTCATCTGAGGTGAAGCTTTCGGCATCTTCAATGACGGTTTGATCAGTTGTTTGCGTTTTTTCTCCAAGATCCATTGTTTGAGTAATTGTGAATTGATTGATTGTAATTGTAAATGTAGATATTTGCTGTGATTGCTGTGTTCTTTCTTTTTTTTTATATGTGAAAACAAAGGAAAAAAAGAATAGAAACGATGGTGTGTATTATGATTTAACTTTGTTCTGACTTGTGTGTGGCCAAAGACCCGGATGTATGTATAATAACTTTTTAAAGAAAAAGAGATGTAGGGAAAAAAAACGAAAAGAAGGGCTAGATGATGGCCCTTTTTATAGGGCAAATGTCAAAATCCAGTAGCCCAGTTCCATTGCAGTTCCGAATGAAAAATTGTCATGAAGCGCCTTAACCATATATTACTGCCTAGTGCTACTTTGCTATGATTTACTAACTACAATCTTGATAAGATATACATTCTCTCCATCTCTGCTGTCTGTGCCCATGTATCCTTAATCAGATCAGATCTTGTATTCATTGTGATTAAAGTTTTCGCACGCTAAAACATGTTGGCAATTCCAACATTTGGTAACCAGGAAAATCTTTTTACTGATCTTGAGCTTCAATTTGAGCAAAAAAGATCAAGTAAAATTGGGGAAACACTGTATGATTGGTTATCGAGTTTTATGGTGTCAACTAACACTGGTTTCATTGGCTCCCCTGTCAGCATCACTCTATACGCTCTCTGTTGTCTGAATCGTAATGAATGACAATCGCGCAATTTGCTACGAAAAAGGAAATAGATCAAATAGAAACATGTACCATATGATTCCAATTATACGTCCTTATCTTGTCCAACAATGGTACAATGCGAGTGCCTGCTCCCAGCAGATGTACAATCTCTGGAAATATCACTACTTGTTTTATCCTTGAAACAAGATGTAAATCATCGGTATCCAACTCATTTGGAACAAAAAAAAAAGAAAAAGAAAAATCACTATCCAACCTATGATATCACTCATTTAGGAGATAAGGAATAGGATTTGCATCGAGACATTTATGATGTGATTCTTAATAACTAGCCAGACAGCAACGTGAATCATATAGCGTATCATCCAAACACTCTTGATTAGCTGTTTATACTTGTGCATATAATACTGATTTGTGTTACATTTGGCTTTTTAATTTTGGAGTCTGGAGATGTTCACTATCCCATGGCTGTTACCAAGATCGTAAACTGTTATTGATAAACACACTATTAAAGTTTCGATCCAAAAAGCGCAACCAAAGACCTTTTCAGATTCTCATTATTTTCTTTTTGGAGCTGCTAAATGTACATCACTTCTATGTATTTTTTAGAAGCTGGTCTATCTTTTTTATTGTGATTTCCACCTGAATGAAAATTCAAGAAGTGTACATCCTCAAGATCACAGGAAAGCAGACCTTAATACATTCTCCCATCTTGAGCTATATCAATTAAGACGCCCCTTCAATGTAGTGTCACCTCTTTCGTTCTATCGTCCTTTACAGCATCTGCTATTTCATAGTCCACCACATCCAAATGATTGAATTCAGATATCATTTGAACTAGTTATCTACTAATGCATTAGCAGCAGCTCTGCTGTTTCTATTCTTGACATAAAATGTAGCTTAAACTCTTTGCAGATGCATGAAATTTAAAAATTGAAAAAAAATGGCATGTTGGAATTGTACGTAATGGTTGTCATAATTCATGTTGAATATTGCACCATTTTGTACGATACAAAAAGTTTCCCAGGATTTTATAGCTATTTCTCAGGACACATGTCAATTGAGGTACCAATAACGATACGAAAGGGAATTAATACGACATGTTGGAGTGGGATGACACCTTTGCTGAGCTACGGTTACTACTATCACTCTAGTAGAACTTTAGCTTTTATAAAACATCCATACTTTTCGTGCTAAAAATACATACTAAATCATATATACTAACGTATACGAGCCTTTCTACACTTCGCTTCGGTGGAAACCAACCTGCTCAGCGGCAGCTCGTGCTACTGATTGCTCTTGCGTATCTTATCAAAATATTGCTACTTTCATTTTGACCCTCCACCTACACATAAAAACCCTTTACATTATCTGTAGATCTGATTCCTATGTGATGCTCTACATCCATGTACACGTAGCTATTTCATATACGGGCAAGTATCATACAGATAGTATCCCTTTTTTAGTCAGGAGCATGCCTAATACAGCAAAATTTGAGTGCATTTGAGCTGCGTTTTCTGGCGTTCAAGGCCGTTTTGGATCGTCAGAATAGCACCAAACAACTGCTCTCATCTGGCAGTTACTTTCTGGCGCCTTTGCTCAACGTTTTGGGGATCAAAAAACATGGACCAAAATCGACCAAAAAGCATGAGGTACCCCCTCATGGTTTTCATCGAAAATCAAACGATCGCGTTTTTCACCTTGAAAATGATGACTTTTACTATGGAATATATCATATCAAAATGTTTCTATCGATCTAACGTAACCCTTGAAATCATCTCTGTGGAACTTTGATATGTAAAATTTTGACTTTTTGGCCAGAAACCTCTTTTCATATTTCCATAAATTGCTCAATAGGTTTATTCAAAACATCTGCCTTACTTGGTACCATTGGATGCGCTTTGAAAAGCGCTCCAAGAAAGCTTAAAGAAGCAAAGGGTGATCATCATATTTTATATAGTCGAATCTGGCAAAATAATTCAATCGAGTCGAAAACCATCAAGATTTGGCCAATCCGGAACAGACTCTGAGCCTGGATTTTAACTAATTTTGGCTGGTGGGGCTGGCAGGCAAACCCAATGCCCTTTCATAAGGCAATACAGTAATAGATGCTTTTGAAGCGTATGGAAAGTAGGCAGCAAGTCATAGCACTATTGTTCATCATGCTATTTTCTTGCATTCTACATTTATAAACGTTAATCTGGACATTGACGATTCATGGGCTGCATAAAATGTCTGCAGTAAGTAATGAAATCTCTTAGGCTCCGAGCCGTTGTTCAAAGAAAACGTTGACAGCATTGAGCAGAGGGTAAAGGGTAGAAATAACAGTGGTTATTGTTGATTGGTTGTAAAATCATTAATCATACCTTGGAACTCATTTTCCATATTAGGGTCTAGGGACTGAACATTTTTTATGATAAAAATGACACTAGTACCCAATCATGCTATGAAACCCAGCCCTGTTGATTTGTCATGGCATGTTACGCAGCAAATGCTGTTTGCGTAAGGCTGTTTGCATACAAACATTCGCTATAGCAAAAACAAGGGTTAGTTATTTTGGCGTAATGCATAAATGTTGACTGAATGAGAATCTCAAGTTGGAGTGTTTCGCATATTCGAGGTGTATGCTCGCTATAATGCTCTTGACGAAGTATAAGCATTACCCTTGTATAGAGTCGCGTCTGATTGATTCTTATTGGCTACCAAGTCCATGAAACAAGCTGCCCTGAACAGATCATACGCGCCAAATGAGCTGTTGCATCGAACATTGCATCTTTTCACCTATGTATCAGGTTTTCAGGAGGGCATAAAGGCACTTGACTGTCAATCGAACATGAAACTTTTGTTTATACCAAGCGCATCAAACAAACATAAACAGCTAGCACTGATGGGTACACACACAGACACCTAATTTATTTAAGGTTTGAATTCAATCTACGTGTTACATCAAACCCGAAATCCAGGCACTAGTCTTTCTCAAATCGTTTCCATCTTTCTTCCTGCAACGCTTTTTGTCGACGGCTATTTTGTAATTGCAGAATAGAGAAAGCATACTGAATGGCGTCAATTATTTCAGTATTTGTTGAACACAAGACGTCGTAAGTGTTATATCGTGTCAGCTTTCGTTCTGAATCAATAAACATCACTTTTTTGCCTGCATCGTACAAAATCAGTTTATAGTGCTTGAAAAAGTTGAGCTATGTTGCAAATGTATGTAAGTCAAGGCATGCTATGGCCCATTATTTGAAAATGTTCTCTTACCTGAATCGCACCATTACTCAGTCTGAATGTGATGGCTTCTTCGCTCACGTAGTATTTCAAAAGATAAACCTTATTCAGTTGCTTTGTTTTTGGAATGGACTGGTCATGCTTGAGTTCTTTCTCCTCATACAGTCCAAACTTTTGTAACAGGCTGGCTTTTTTTTCTAATTCGTGCGGCACATGTGTATAGATTTGCTCTACATAGCGATCGTCTTCAGCGCGGTACGACACATAATAATATGCACTATCAGAAGAGAAGAAAAAGAGTTAGCCAGAACATCTCGCTTGATCAAATCATGTATCAACCTACCTGCCATCACAACATGTGAGCACTGAACCATCGTTATACAGAAATCCTAGTGTACCATCCGACAAACGATAGGCAAAACCATAGTGTTTCGAACAATCAACCCATGTCTCTATGAATAAATTGCTAATAGACCATTGAAAATCGGGGCATTGATGCGCTTTGGTACGATTCTCCATCTGCACTGACTCGCTTCTACCAATCATGACCTTTATATTATCTTCCATCTGCTCCATCATAGGACGTCGATTAGGTAATGCGGTTGGTATGGCTATTAAAACACAAATTATAGTGAGTAATTTGACATGGCATGTCTTGCACTTCAAAACTCACCAAAACCTTGACTATCGTACTTTGCAGATTGTTGTGAAGAGTTAAGAGAGATGGGTGGTTTTAATCGTTTTGATTGAGTTTCTTGTGTGGAATACACTGATATGGGTGTTGCTGGCTTTAGAGATTGAGATCCTTGTGAGTTGATCGAAACAAGGTCTATCGTTTTCTGACAAGTAAGCAGTGGCTTTTTCTGGCTGATCTGTGTCGTTTCAAGCTTGAGGGCCAGCGATGAAGAAGGAGAAGGGGCGTTGGTATTGAGCAGTGCTTTTCTTGTTGCTGTATGAGTGGTGGGAGTAGAGGCAGTCAAGGCTGTTGCCACCGGTGCAGAGATAGCAGGTTTGATATCACCATCGCTGCATAATCGTTTGGGAGGCACAGGTGTATTTGGTGGGCTGCCACTACCGCCATGGTGATGCATATGAATACTAGCAGTACGTTTCTTTGATGCAGTGGACGTGGATAGCGTTTCTTGGACACTGGGTACCGCTGGAACAGCAACGGGCTGCGATGATAACATGGCCATGCCAGACTTTTGTGAATTTGGAAGAGGGTATTGAGATCGGTGGTCGATAATGGTTTCGCCCATGATTTTTAAAGGAGGCTGAATATCTGTATCTTCGTAGCACTTGTTCGTATCTTTTGCATCTTGAATCGCTACAGTGACTTTAGAGGTAGAAGGCATGCTTAAAAACTGGGTATCTGGGGTGCCAAACAATGCTTGGTTGGTAGGTATTGTTTCGAGAGCACTCTTTGGGATTTGGATGGGCATTGCCATGGAGAAGAAGGGATGCTTCAAGGCCTCAATCACTGTTAAACGTTGATCTGCGAATAAAGTGTGAGTATAATAATCTATTATAGGCTTGCATTTCGCCCGTTACCTGGATCATTGACGAGAAGACTGGAAATCAAATGCTTGGCTTGAGATGAAATCACAAAACTGTCCACTGGAAACTTGAATCCTTGTTGATGCTGATTCTGTCTCACTTGTCTACAGAGAAAGAGTACTCTAAGTAATGGCATTGCGTGCTTGAAATAGGCAAAGGACTTACTCGCGCAATTCTCTAGGTTCATTCTTTGGGAAAGGGTGTTTGCCAAACAGTAGATTGTACCTGCGAATCAGTTAGTACAATTAGTATTATTTCTTCGGTAAGGATACTTACATGAGTACGCCAGCGGACCACATATCTACTCTATGGTTATGTCCATCCACTTCTTTGTGAAACAAGATCTCGGGTGCGATATAGTGTAGTGTGCCACAGACGGTTCTTTTACGATCTTCGTGTGGTCGCAAAAGAGCAGCAAGACCAAAATCACCCAGTTTACAATCCATATTTCTATCCAAGAGCACATTACTCAATTTGAGATCTCTGTGAAGGATACGATTATCAGACATGTATCGAAGTGCAGTCAATATCTGGCCCATGTAGTATCTAGTCTCTGGCTCGGTCAACGTGCCTCCTCTTCGTCTGAGCATGGTGCTTAGCGTCTGAAATGATGGAATTAGCAAGCGAAACGCAATGTAAATTTGAGGTACTTGCTTTATTCTCGCAAAGCTCCAAAATCAAGTAAATGTTATTCTTGTCCTCAACGACGTTGTAAAACCGAACGATATTGCTATGCTTCAGACTTCGATGAATGTTGATCTCTGCCAACAGCTTCTTCTTGGTGCTTTTATCAACGATAGATGATTTGGCAATGACTTTGGCAGCCCAATGTTTTCCATCATGAAAGCTTTGCACACGATACACTCTTCCAAACGCACCCTATAACGATATTAGATGTGGATAGATCCAAGATCAATGCCAACTTACAAATCCCAAACACTCCATCTTTTTGTACTGCACTTTTCGTTTAAAATCTTTGATGATCGGTGGGACATCCTTGTCCTCAACTAGCTTGTACGGTGCTGTTCTCTTGTTTGGCTTTTTCTTGTCATGCTGATTTGGCTCTGTTGTGGCAAGAGGTGCTAGTGGAAACTGATTCACAGGATCTATAGGATTGCTCTCTATCACTTGTTGCAATGGCTTCAATTTCTCTTTCTGTGAGCTGGTCATAGGCTTTCGATTATTCGTCTGTAACGGCCGCAACCCAGCCTCTGTTACAGCAACAGATCCTCTCGTCAAGCCCATCTCGTTGGCTAAGGATGTTGGTATATTGACTTTCCAAGGGGTCATACGGTCCACTTGTTCCTGAGAAGATACAGGTCGATACTGTTCCTTTAACTGCTGTTGCTGGGGTAGAGGCTTGCGTGGGTTCAATGATTGAATGCGGCTTTTGTGTTGTGCTGAAGAACTCATGCTGCCTGTGGTTCAATCGCTTTCCTCTTCAGATTTCTGTGGCAAGCTTCTAGATTAAGCGAGAGGAAAAAAAGACAATCAAATTGAATCAAGCACGAAACATTTTGTGGTTGCACATTTCTGGTGTTTCAACGGTCACGAAAGATCAATGTAATGCTGATGTTTAGGTGTAAAACTAGACCAGTTTGTTCATGATGATACCATCAACAGCATTGTGTATAGACTGTAGCACCTTGTGTGCAGTAATACTATCATACAGTAAAGTTTCTGCTTCGAAAAAGGGCATATTTCAAGAAGATCACGTCTTGCCATGCCAACAGTCATCATTGTTGTGGTGGTCCAAGACCGTCAATGCTATGACAACTTGCATTGCAGAGCACTTTCGAGCAAGCAGCTTTGTTGTATGTGAATCGAGCGAAAAGAAAGCTCAACAAGGAGCTGATGCAAGGGTTAAATGCAATTCCTGAGTTGGACAAGTCTCGTCAACTGAACAGCATATAATTCTTTCAACAGCTAGAAAATTGACAATGTAAGTCAGGTACATTATAATAGACGTCCAACAAGTAAACGGCATGGCAACATATATAATGTGGATGATTAATTTTATTCAGCAAAAATAGGTTCCAAAAAATGCTGTTGTTGCAAGGAAAATTAATATTGTTTTTTTTTTCGGTAAGTTTTTGACAAAAAGAACAGACGCAATGTGTATTCATATCCTTTTCAATTTTCTTGTGTTTTTTTTTTGCAATGAGGTTTTCTTTATTTGAGTCGTTTTGAGGAAGGTAAGTGATCTTGATCGTATAGTTCGGCATCGTCTAATCCTCTCTTTTGCTTTTTGGATGAAGATGAGGACATGGAAGAAGCTGACGCCACGCTCTCCACGTCTCCATAATCTCCTTCTGCTTCACTATCATCCATGCCATCCAGTACGTCTCCCAGCCAGTCATCTTCATTCATTTCTTGGTCCTCCTCGTCGTCATCATCAGTAGCCGTTGGTGTTATCTCATCAACGAGATTTGAGGGCTCAAGGGAGTGTGCAGGAAGAGGCGTGCCGTTGCCTTCTGTACCTGTATCATCAGCCAAGGCTTCATCAATCTCGGAATCAGACCAATCCATATCCAGCTCTACCTCTTCCTCATCAAAATCCAGTGATGCCTCCTCTGGGTTCTCCACTTCCGAGGACACATCTTCAACAGGTATGATATAAGGCGCTTCGTTTTCTCGCTTAAAGCTCCAGATTGAATTCATTAACCATGGCGGTGACACAATCTTGATATGTGGATATTTACGAGCTGTATTGACTTTGGATGTACCAGCCTATGTCGATATTTGATTAGATCATCAGTTTCCACTTGTATTATACACGTGGGCCACTTACATTAGCAGCAACGAGGTGAGTAACTTTGCCTGTCAACTCTTCAAGACAAGTGGCGCCAAATGCAGTAGCCATTTTCCAAATTGTCGCATCTTGTGGTCTGTAGTGGAGAGGAATGACACCTGAGAATACAAGCGTACAATCCTTCAATACATTGCGTTTGATTTCAGGTAAAATAACGGCAACATGGGGTTCTGACTCCCCTTCATCCACTCGACGATAGAATTCATCATGCACGTTCGTCAGTGCCCTGTCGATCACTTGCAAAATTCTGTCTGCATCTTCATGTTTAGGGTTGAAACTAGCTAGTATATTATTGACAGGCTTCTCCTGAGTTGGGACTTTGACATGAGGTGATGGTTTCTCTGCAGGCCGAGAATTGTCTTTTGATTCAATCTGATTGTCAGGTTCATCTTTAAAAGTATCTGTGCTTGTGCTGACGTTATTGGTATCCGCATCACTCTTGTCGTTTGCATCGGGCGAGTCCTGGCTAAGCGAATCGAGTTGACTTGGTAATTTGCCCTTCTGTTGATCTCCATTCTGCTGATGCGAACCTGCTAAAGCATTATTGTTGTCTCGAGTTGATTCATCGCTATATCCAGCATTGCTCTTGGCATCGTCTTCGTCATCTGATTCTTCAGAACTTGAGCCTGAACTTGATTTCGAATCCAAATCGTCCTGGTTCTTTGCCTTATTGCTCTCGCTATGTACAGGGCTACTAGACTCGCTTGATTTGACTTGATCCTTACTATTTACAGTTCTATCTGTTTCACTGACAGTGCCTTGTTCAATGCTATTTACATCTGCTGTAGTATTTACATCATCCTTGAGTATTCCTGGGGGTATCACGTTAGTGGATTGAGCGTTGGGTGGTGCATTGATGTCGCCTACACCAGCGAAATATTCGTAGGGCTTGATCTGAATGAGATTGGGCGAATAGTCCCAAACGTCAGCTCGATCATCCAGAACAACCACTTTGCTTTGATCCGCAGGAAATAATCGGTCCAAGCGCTTTTTTGTCAAACTGCCATTCTCATCACGAGTGAGGATACGGTCTTGGAATAACTCCATCGTGGGGTCAATCACTGCGGCAACAGCTTTAGCATAAGCACGAGTGCCCATTGTGTACACATGCATTTCGTAGAGCTTTGACATATCTTTAAGGAATTGAATTGTGCCAGGTCGTAATTTGATGGTGTATTTGCTGCCGTCTAGTGTAAATGTGCTCATATCCTTTGCTCGACTGTCTCGTTTCTCCTTGTGATTATCGACCCATTCAGCAATATGAGGTTCCCAAGCAGCATGTAAGATGGTTTGATCCAAATCAACAATGAGAGAGAGCTTGCGTGCTTTGAGTAGTCTCGCTTCGTCTTCCTTCTGAATGCGTTCAGCTTCCTATTGTATTATCCAGTCAGTCCCATATGCATCAAAGAAACTTCATGTAGAATGTACCTTTTTGCTCACTGTGATACCACTCGCATCATGAGTCATGTCAATATGATTGCTCGTGGCGTTACTGTCTTGACTATAGATAGCATGGTTAGGCCTTACATAAAGTCAATAAGTAGTGCTTGACTTACTCTTGATCAACGACAGCTCCACAAAGAGCACATAAACCACCAAAAATAACCTCATGTGAGCAAGAGCCACACTCGGAGCAACTTGCACCGTCAGAATTGTTTTTTACATGCGAGCAAGCCATATTCGATTATTTACACTTAAATGATGATGATATGAGATGTACAGGTGTCTTTTTCAAGGGGTAAAAACAAGGTGTTCAAAAGAGAAAAGAAAAAGAGGAAAAAAATTTAAACGCGGCTTATAGCGCAACCATCAATTTATACAAAAACAATAGGCAAGTGACGGCAGCTGAATGTCCAATCAAACATGTAGTAAGATCACTTCTTGCTTGTAAAGGAGGAAGTCAATGATGGATGAAATTTGTTTATTGCATGATATATTAGTAGTACATTGTATATAGTTTGTCTAGTTCTTCTTTTTGGATGCAGTCTCTTCGTTCAGTACTCTCAGCAGATCTTGCTTGGCCATGCCATTGAAGTCTACTTTCTCAAGTCCAGCACTCGTTGCTATTCTGTCCTTGATTCGCTCGCCGTATTCCACAGCTGTCTCGCCCCTACGAGGCACCTCTGGCTCGCAATACACAACATCGACTGTGGTAATCCATCTCGTCATTCTATAGTAGGCGTATTGCATGAATCCTTTGCGCGTGTCCCAGTATGGATCACCAAAGGAACGTCCATATCTAGTCGACACTTAGTCACCATGACTTACTCATTATTCTACTTTTGCACCTACTTGATACCAACTGGACACACTTTGACGCCCAGTTCAAAAGCGCCTTTCTGGAAACGAATGGCGTATTTGTTGTTCACACAAGTTCCTTCAGGAAAGATAATCATGGGGTTCTTCCAGGTATCGGGTGATTTGACATGCCTCTTCAAGCTATTTGATACCATGATTTAGTTTGTTGATCTGCGGCTTCATTCTGTATACGCTTTGTTACCTCTCTGATAAATCTTTGCGTTCTGTAATGTTGGCACGGTCAAAGCACATAGAGTGAAGGTAATTTAATCCATTGTTTTGCAAAAATCCTAGTAGAAAACGGTAAGATCATCACTTTCAGATTGTCACATGCAATTGCTTACCTAATGCACCCGTGTGTCTGGCCATCACCACAGCGTGAGGAAATTTGTGAGCACCGAGCAAGATGTAGTCCAAATATGAAGTATGATTAGCCTGGCAATACGACATGTTAGCTACGGGTCGATAGTGGACATTAAATCAGTTTACAGACCACAAAGACATGTGGCTCATTCAGTTGAGGTTTTTTTCCAATGTAATTCACTTTGACACCCAATGAAAACAAGATGCCTTTACAGTAGTACTTTACACAAAGAGACTGAAACACACAAACAAACAGGGCAAAATTAGAAACCTTAAAACAACCCATCAGCATTAAAGTTTAACTTACCACAACATCACTGCTTTTCAATGTAACGCCAATCGGTAATGTCATGAAGAAAGCAATTGTTGATGCGCCTAGTGTGAGGAATCGAAGAGGAAACAAGAGGCCGTATCGAATGAGAATGCTGGGTACTGCTGTGATGAAGTTGATTGCTTTGAAAAATCGACTTGATGCCTTTACTGCATCTGATGTAAAACATTTTGCAAATGACAGCTACCGCAATGGTCAATATCTAACAGCCCCTATGTGAATGTATGCGCTTACCAATTGCTCACGGGTATACTCGGTATGACTTGATCTACATAATTGTAACATTGGATAAATAAAACAATGCCCACTTGAAAATGGCAACGACATGTCTGACAACTTACTTTTTTGCTGTGCCCTGAATATAGTCATTTCTCATCAAGTCCAAAGACTCGCTTGATGAGTTCTGAGATGCCAGTAGAGTCGACGATGGAATGGTAGGTTCCTGAGGTGGCATATCTGGCGTAATTGAAAAAGGAAAGAAAGGGCTCAACTTGTCGACATTTGTCAAATTTAGAGGAAAAAAAAAATCCCCCAAACATTTGCAGCGGTAGATGGAAACGGTGACCAATTGAACCCCTAAGCTTGGGAAGGCAGTCTTTAAGGTTTGAGGTGGCGCTTGCACTGAAATGGCCTTATTTACAGGTTTTATTCCTGTATTCTGAAGTCAATGCCTATTTGAAAGGACGTAATGTCCTAGCAATCATCCCATTCCGATCAATAATGAACTTGTTTAATTTCAAGCAAATTTAAAGCGGTAGTGATTTGAATTGTACCTCTCTATAGGCGACATCGCATAATACAATTACTCCATCTACCATGATGTCGTTGACTGAGAGAGAGCGAGAGAGAGAGAGACAGCGCCGAGCAAAGAAAATAGAGCATTAATAACCTGCACTTCAACTACTATTTGAAGCTTCAACTGTAGTCGCAATCCCACTTAGTAATCAACAAAAAGCTATTCAAGAAGATGCTCAACAAGCGAGATCGCCGTGTGCTGATTTAGTTCCTTCTTTGTTCTTGCCTAATATTAAGGCAGCCAATTGATACGGTCAAAAGCTTTATGAAAATGAATAATATGCAAGTCTTAAAATGAGTTGTGCCGTATACGATAGTTCATCGAGCTTGGGCATCTTGATCTTGTGATAGTGTAGGATGCTTGTATATTATACACTTCTGTATCATTCAGATTTCTCAGCAGCGTCAGTCCCTAACAACAGTTAGTGATGGCAAAGAGAATTGTAACACACTTGGAATATAGTTGGCAATTACCAGTGTAAGAGAATAAACCAGCTATTTTCAAGAGAAATTTGGCATCAACTGAGGACAGACACTTTTCCATTCAGACAAAAGAGATGGCACTAAGGCTACTATATGATTAGCCTTAAACTAAAAAGCTTACTGAAGTAAAACGATGTAAGCTACAGTCATCTGATATTAGATGAATGATCCACCAATATGTCAAGTACCTATTGATAATTCGATATCAGCAAGTTACTGATATGGTTATGGCGAGGTTTTCAAATTTTGGACGATCGAAAATCGATTTTCTAAATATTGATGCTAGAGCCTTGAAACTAGCATGTTTCTATACCAGTTTTTTGCCCTCTAAACGATGATACAATTGAAATTTGCGTAGGTAGCATGGTTGTTGAGAAAAGGGAGATTTTAGAAAATAGTTAATTTTGAATAGATGCTGCTAGTAAAACTTTTTAAATTACTAGGCGTGTATGTGTAGTGAAAGTTGTAAAAGAAACTTTTTTTGACTAGCACATGTTTCATGTGCGATCATTGAGATCGATGTCGATGGTTGTTCCCAAAAGATTTAAAAAAAGTTCGTTATATATTAAAGTTGTTGTATCGACCAAAATATACAAGCAAAGCTAAAATCGTAGCAAGTGATAGTGTTGAATACCATTTCCAGAGCAGCAGAAATTTATAAAACTCAAATTTTAAGCAGCGCACAGCGCTGAAATTAGGAGTACACAAAAAAGTTTTTCGGCATTAAATCATGATACTCTGCGGTGCTGATTTCGTGAAATGTGTAGCGAAATGTGTGGAAGATCTTGCAGTAATAGTTGATCCCGAGACTAAACCAAGTAATTAAAGCTGTTTAAGTTGCTGATATGTTTGCAGTAACCTTGATGTAGACAGTATCTCAGCGATAAAATGTATATATATATATATATATATATATATATAAAGTTATGTACCCAAGAGATTTAAACGAAAGAAAGTTTAATTTATTTCAAATATATTTGTCAAAATAAAAAATGTAAGAATGAAAGATTTGAACACCAGCTCAAGAATAGCATTCTGATAGGCCGAGGGTTCAGATACCGCTTCTTAAAATTGTCATAACCTCAAAGATTTTTTACCATAGTCACAATTAAATTGAGGGGCTATGGCCCAATGGATAAGGCGTCTGACTACGAATCAGGAGATTCCAGGTTCGACCCCTGGTAGCCTCAATTTTTTTTGGCACCTTTAATAAGATGATACGTTATGAAGACTTTATCGAATTTGTTACTTTTTTGCTTTTGATTCACCACTACCTGACTGCGATCAATAGAAAAGTACGGTTAAATGCAAATGTTTTCACCAAGAGTTTTTCATTATTTGTAAGTATCAATAATCAGCTGCTTGTGTAGGGTCAATGCTATTGTAATTCTGGCCTGACATCATGCGTTTTTTAAGGAACCATCAACAGTTTCTATATGCTGCTATCTTTCTCAGGAAAAGCAGCTCAAATATATGGAAGCTATCTATCAAAACAATTCATAAAGTCTGGTCAGCTTTGAAAGCGTATACCCATTGTTCTACGTATTTGATAAATAATACGAAATGGTAAGACTATTCGTCTATTGTAGTAGTTGCTGATTTAATTAGCATAATGCCAATACTCAAGCTCCGTCCGTGTTGAAATGAATGTAATGACATTCTCCTTTTTTTGTAGGCACGCATTGGCTGAATAAATCAACTTTACAGAAAAACTGATTACAAGCTCGATAACAGTGATGCTTTGGGTTGTTGTAGAAACATGCTGTGAGTACTGTCTACTCAAGTAACGTACATGCAGGAGACTAGTCGCATAAGAATAAGCATGAAGATATTGAATTTTCAATCCACAGAGCCACCCACAGAAGTTCAGTACTAAAAATCTGGATAGATTGCTCTTGAACGCAGTTTGAGCATGATCTTCTAAATGCAGCCATCATTGCCATCTTATGCTTGATCATCCTAGGCTGCAATTCGCTCTTTATGCAACGGAATCCAGAGTATAGATCTGTGCATTGTAAGTTGATGCAAGACATACTATTTTACTGGATGCTCTCACACGTCATGTTGGCAATGCCGAATAGATTCACTTGAGATATTCAGGAACATTTAAGCACTTATTGAAACTACTTTTCCTTCAGAACTGTGACCATTGTGAAAAAGCTTTGTCCAATAAAAAAAAATATGAATTGAAATTTTTTTAATATGGAGGAAATTGAAAAACATGTAAATCCTCCTCTTTCACCCTTACAACCTCTTTAAGGATTATATAGACGAGTATGTTTCCATCATCATGACAGCAACTAGCTTGGATTTCTTGCTTTCCCAGCAGTTTACTCGAGAGAGAGAAAAATCGGTTAATGTGGATAGCGTGCTTTTCATTTGGAAACTTATTTCTGTAAAAGTTATCAACATATCGAATCACACCTTCAACATTCAATGAAAATTTTTTTCAGCATGTGTAAACTTGGGAAATGTGGAAATCCAATAGCGAGTGCATTTAAACGCAAAAGGTCAATGATTCACTAACGTCTCTTTGTTTTCTTTTTCTGTATGGTTAGAAATGCCTCACTCATTCGGTCGTATGTATCATAAAGAATGAAATCAAAACGAGGTACAAAGGAAACTGATCCAACATTTCAACATAGTTCGTGCTCGTACTCGTCACATGTTCTCTCGTAAGTTCAGAGAGCATGGTTCTATCCCTCTCTCCACTTACTTGAAGACTTACAAGGTTGGTGATATCGTTGATATCAAGGCCAATGCTGCTGTCCAAAAGGGTATGCCCCACAAGTTCTACCACGGGTAATGTATACATGTGTGAGCATTGGGTATAGCTTTCATGAACTGACATTGGATCATTTTGCAGTCGCACTGGTGTCATCTACAATGTTACCAAGTCTTCCGTTGGTGTCCTCGTTCACAAGAACGTTGGTAACCGTTATTTGGAGAAGCGTGTCAACGTCCGTGTTGAACACATCAAGCACTCCAAGTGTCGTCAAGAATTCTTGGACCGTGTTGTTTCCAATGCTCAAAAGAAGAAGGAAGCCAAGGAAGCTGGTGGTAAGTAAAAGTACTTATAGGTATGATTGAAGGCGTTGTGTTGATTTTGTGTTGCATTCTAGTCTCTTTCAACTTGAAGAGAATCCCTGCTCAACCTCGTGAGGCTCGTCACATCTCTACCAAGTTCAACGTTCCTCAAACTCTTGCTCCTATTCCTTACGAAACTCTCATCTAAGGTGGATACTGTATTACCATTTTGCTTGTTGTTTTATATGTAGCCTTATCATGTATAGAATAATAAACTCGAATCAGCGTAATTTGATCAACTATCCTAAGCCTTCTCGATCCCTCTTTCTCTTTAGATTCCTCTCAGTGACAGTGTTTACTATTTGTCTTTTTTCTCTCTCAATGATTCCCTTTTCTGATTGTCGGCATTGGTCCGCTTGAAATGTTTGAACCAAGGATGTTGCCTTGAAGTCTGCGGGTTTTGGATTGAAATTTCTCTTATTAGACACATTTCAAGGACCCCTTTCTTTTCACTCTTTCCCTGTTTCTTTATCCTCAACTCTCTCTGTCTCCCCATCTCGCCATTGTTTCTCTTTTCAGATCAGACATAGGAAATGACTACAACTGCTACCGCTGCTCCAGTTTACCAGCATCTTCCCTCTCTTGAGGCACCCAAGCTGAAGCAATCACAGCAATCCAAATCCTATGTACATTTCATTGCAGGAGGGTAAGTTAACATTGGCTCGCTTTTTTTTTTCAAGAGTGTGGCATTGAATCAAGACATCATAGTGTTGGAGGACTCGCAGGTGCTGTATGTACCTCACCCTTGGATGTGGTAAAGACAAGATTACAGGTAACTACTCAACCAAAATGTCATCATGTGGTACCATTTGGCATTGACACTCCTTGATATACAGTCTACTTTCTATCAGCAAACAATGAGACAACCAAACATACATAGAAGCGGGTTTATTCTAGGCCATTTTGTAGAAACTGGAAAGCTGTTGATGTAAGTAGTATCTCTTGGCAAGTGCCGTTGCTTTGTTTGCTGAGATTTCACTATGCACAGGCGTATCAACCAAGTTGAAGGATTTCGTGGATATTTCAAAGGCTTAGGGCCCAACTTGGTGGGTGTCATTCCTGCCAGATCAATCAATTTCTTCATGTATGGAAACGGAAAGAAATGGTATACCGAGCTGAATGGTGGGAAAGAGACAGTCGGTGTACATTTAATATCTGCAGCTACTGCAGGTAAGTTGAATGAGACGAAATCAACAAGGACAGACGAATCTGACACATTTCATTATTGTAGGTATTGTTACTTCAACAGCAACTAATCCTATTTGGGTCATTAAAACTCGCTTGCAACTACAAGGAGCAAACGGCTTGCGTAAATATTCTGGTAGTGTGGATTGCTTATTGAAAATCGTACGCCAGGAAGGTTTTGGTGGCCTTTACAAGGGCATGAGTGCCTCTTATTTGGGTACAGTATTCAGTGAATAAGAATATCGTGGAAGACATGTACTGATTTGCGTAATATAGGCGTTGCAGAGGGCACAATTCAATGGGTCATTTACGAGAATCTAAAAAAGAAGTGGAGCGTACCCAAAGACGATCTTGGACTGAATCAGAAAATGTATGGTGGCAAGACATTGCAAGATTGGGCTGGTCACTTGGGAGCGGCCGCAACCTCCAAATTTGTAGCAGCATGTATTGCCTATCCTCATGAAGTAATTCGCACTAGACTTAGACAGCCAGCAGAGAATGGCGTGCGTAAATATACCGGCCTGTGGCAATGCTTGCGTCTGGTTGCCAAAGAGGAGGGTATTGTGGCATTATATGGCGGCATGACAGCTCATTTAATGAGAGTCGTACCTAATGCAGCCATCATGTTCTTTTGCTATGAGGCCATTGTTCAGAAATACGAACACTCGCTGTAGATTATTTTGTTATACTTTTCCTTTATTCCTTCTCTCTATTGTACATTATTTTCCACGATCCCACCTTAGATTTTTCATCATTTCCATATATTTACTTCATCCTTTCCAAGCTTGCTGACCTCAAAATAAACACTCATCAAACCTCGACTACAACGCGCACAAAACGTTCCATCTTTTCACTTTTCAAACATCATAAACGTTGCAAATGTCTCCATCAATCATCAAATCAGGAGAAGCTCCAACTGATTCAGACTTTGATTTGCAAAAGTGGCTGAAAGAAATCGAGGGCGCAGAGAACCTGATGAGCGAAGTCGAAGCAAAAGCAGATACTCTTCAAGCCAAGGTAGATGCCCTTTTGCTTGAAGTTGGTCAACCTGCTACGTCTGAAGAGAAGCAGGATACTGTTATGATTGAATCAAGTACCACTACCGTTATTGAAGAGAAAGATGACGACAAGATCCCCAGCCAAGTACCAGAGAAGAAACAGTGAAAAAACCTGGCCACGGCGAGCGTAGTGCTATAATCCTACATTAATTTGGACTGAGGTTTCTATTTTTTTTCTAGAGCAATGATGTGATGTTTATTCATATTTTGGTATCTCAATGTAATAAAGAGATTCATGAAGACTTGTGAACGAGATATACTTGTCTGACTTGACTATTTCAGCGTTTGTAAAGCTATTATCGATAAATGTGCCATTTTTAGCTGTATTTTTATTGACATATACTGGCTTTCAGAAGTATATTATTATTGGCTTACTAGTAGCACGATATTTACATCAAATCCATATTGTACTTACCCTTGGTGTATCCTTTGGGTGAAGAGCGATAACCCTTGAGGCTGAATTATATCATTTCTTCTTGACGGCGACGAAATTGTGAGCGGGGGGGGGGGAGGCAGGATGCCTTGACCAGCGCGGACTGATGTCAAGATTTGAATCATGTTAAGACATGCAGACATATCACGATTCCATAGTCTGTAGACAGTGCTTTGGATAGTTTGAGCCTGTCTATATACCAATGTAAAACTTTCTTCATATAAACAAAAATCCCTTGTAAATAAGTTTTCGTTGCAAAGCCTACTGATTCTGATTGGTGTTTGTCATTTGTGAAGCGTAATGATCTCTCAGGATGCCATGGACAGCGCTTCTTTGATAGATAGAGTAAATTCGGCCATGTTGTAAGATCTAGAATTCACTAATCGCTGCTCTGCCTCTCTCGAATTTCTCTGTTTGTACTGGTCTCTGACGGTCATTACGACTGTGGTGATCTTCAATCGTTTTCTGATTCGCCTGAGTTTTTCTCTTCTTATTCTTGTCTTGATTCTGTTTGGTGCAGCGAAATCGTCTTGGTGTACTAGCGTCGCTGTCCTTGTGAACGAAAAGAGTATGTCTCTGCGACCTCGGTCTACGACAACACAATTGTTCTGGATAAGAGCTTGGCCATCTTCATTCAATCGGTGGACGTACTGAGACTCTGGCGTGTCTGCCTCTGCAAGAGCTGCTACTCAAGGTTGGGGTGGGCGACGTCTACTTTCAAGCACAGAAACACCAACTCCATCAGTCAAAGTCATGCAATGAAGCGTAAAATCAGGTACTTGAAGGTATTCTGCAGCATCTGAACATTTTATTTTGAGAAGACTGGCAAACAGTTGAATAATTTTGTAGCTCTCTGCACCTAATCTTTTAATTATCTTGACAAATCTAGTGGCAAGCATCATTTTATCATGCAAATCTTCACTAGAGCTGGGCAAAGATGAGCTCCTTCATCAAGAACATAATAATGCATCTAATTCAACACTTGATAGCATTGGTTTATAGGGGGATTTTACCATAGCGAAGCAAAAGTGCAAATCCATGGTAATCAGGCGTCTAATTCAACACTTGGTAACATTGATCTATATGAGGGTTTGATCGCAGCGAAGCAAAAGTGCAAACCTATGACAACTAAGCATTCAATCTAGCATTTGATAGCATTGATCTATACGAGGGCTTGATTGTTGCGAAGCGAATATGCAAAACCATAGTATATAAGCAACAAATTCGATTTCTCATTTCCTTTATTAATAAGCTTACCAGCAACATAGCGCATCAAAATTTGCATGGATCAGCTTTACCAAAATCAATATGTTTTCTATTCAAATTAAAAACTGTTCAAGCTACAGAACCGCCTTCCCAGTAAATTGAAGCTAGCAAAGATGTGATTTATGCCGCGTAAATAAACTCTGTAAAGCAATACATAACCAAATTTTACAGCTTTCAAGTCTTAATATCTTGACATGTGGACATTTATGAGCCACCGGAATGACGCCAAACAATTATACTTGAGTAGTAGTAACTTCCTGATATCTTTGCTCAATTTTTTGGGCCAAAAAAAAACATGGTCAAAAATCGACCAAAAATCATGAGGTACCCCTCATGGTTTTCATCAAAAATCAAACGATCGCATTTTTCACCTTGAAAATAAAGACTTTTACTATGGTATATATTGAATCAAAATGTTTCTCTCGATCCAAAGCAACCTCTGAAACCATGTTTGTAAAGTCTTTATATGCAAAATGTCGACATTTTGGTCAAAAACCTCATTTTATATTTTCTGAAATTGCTCAGTAAGCTTAGTAAAAACATCTATTTTACTTGGCACCACTGTATGCACCATGAAAAGTAGTCCAAGAAAGCTTAAGGATGAATTGCATGATCATCACAATTCATATAGTCGAGTCTCATAAAATAGATTAAAGAAGTCGAAAAACCATCAAATTTTGGCAAATCCGGATCAGAATAGGGGTCTGAGCTGGAAATAATTTTGGCAGGTGGGGCCAGCTGGCAAACTCAATGCTCTTCTAATCATAAGGCAATAATAGATGCTTTTGAAGTTAATGAAAAGTAGGTGGCGAATTTTATAGTACTATTGCTAGCCATGTTATTTCTTTTGAAGTCTTTATTTAATAACGACAGCCCACCGAAATTACTTGTAAGATCAATTTCTGTCCCTCTTGAGCTTCAAAAGTATGTTGGGGCAAAAAAAAATTCTCATTCAAATTCTCTTACTCCAGGCGAAAAAACGTATATACTTAACTAGCCGATCCATTTCGCTATGTTCGAAGTCGGCGTCGCCCTTTGGGCTCTCACCAAAGACATTTTAAATCAGATATTATGACACTTTGGTATATCAAGTAGATTTTAAACAACCACTTATTGATTAATTAGTAAAAGAAAGGTTATATCAGAGCCAGGGGGAGGAGAGGAGTTATCTCCCTCAGTATCCTTTTTGCTTACACCACTGATATCAAACAAAGCCTATTATTGGGACAAGGTGAAAGAAAATTCAGGTTTTATGCAGCATTTGTACATTATAATCGCCATTTTCTGATAATAGAACTGTCATATCATTTACTGCTGCTGATGCTGATGCTCTAAATATGATAGCGACATAAAGCTGGTTATAAGTAAATACAGGACTTGTGTAAGATATACAGCGACTTTTTTGAGATATTGTCATTGCGAAAGACACCTTTATGAGGCAAAGCTCCCCAAAAAAAAGTATTTGTGCTAAGAAATTGTCCTTTCAATTACATGATCCTCATTTAATCAGTATCGCAATCCTCATTGTCATCAACAGAAAAGCATTTAGATCAGCCAACAGTAAGCCGCCGCCAAAATTGATTCAAACTCATTTTATTTTACTGGTTGTGATTGGACAAATTTTGTTTTTTTTCGACTTCTTTAATCTATTTTATGAGACTCGACTATATAAATTGTGATGATCATGCAATACATCCTTAAGCGTCCCTGGTGGTAGGGCGAAGTGGTAGAAACTCCCGTATGCCAACGGGAGGATCCTGGTTCAAATCCTGGCGAACGCAAGTTGTTTGATTTTTTGAAGTAGTACTGATGTCCTCGTTTGGTGTTTTGTACTCTATCCATTATCTATATTTTGACGATTTCCGCAAGACTGTTTTGGCTCTAGGTGTCGCACCTTATTAGTAGTAGATTTCTTTCCCAACTTAATTCAAAAAATATCTTATTCCCCTTCTTTGCAGACATTGGGTCCACCAACAGTCTTTTCTATCCCTCAGCATGACATTTAAAGGACTTTAAATAAAACCTGGAGCTCGACTCCCCTACAAAAAAAAAAAAAAATACATCCTTAAGCTTTCATAGCTCTTTCCAGTAAAAAAAAACAGAAACCACCTGGTACACCAGTACCTGGTCAAAAAAAGTTATGCTGCCGCAGCCAAATTTCGCATTACCACCACATCACACTCTCTCATGCATGGAGAGGTTGTTCCTGCCAGCAATGGTACGCCTACCGCATCTACAACCACTTCAACAAACGGCAAAATTAAGACTCGAATTTGGAGAAATGCTTGAACAGACAATGGTTATCTTCTTGACATTTCCAAGATCCCCAACAAGACTGAACAACAGCATCTGCAGACCTTCGATCAACAGTACAAAGCATCCAATTTCTTTGGCATCAAGTTTTTGGGCAAGAATGCTCAAAGGTACATCGAAGTCTATCCCAACAACGAGATTGTCGATCGCTTTGTAACCGAAGGTATCCTCTACGAATCTGAACAGTCAAAGATTCAACTCTTCCCGTGCAAAGCAATCGATGGAGAAGGCAAGCTCATCCAACTTTCTCTTAGGGATATTCCATTCCTTCCTCAAGCTCAATTGGTGGAAGAACTGTCTAAGGCTCTAGGAATTTTTGGACCTCGGTCTGAATTACGAGCAGTCTATGGGTTGGTTCATGGGTACTGGCTATGCTATTCTTCAGCAATTACCCGGTGTCAACTATCCAACCCTACATCACAGCATTACTAGGAAGACCGCCTCTGAGGCTGAAGAATTTTGCCATGCAAACTTCCCGGATATGGCCACTTGGTGTCGCTACTGCCACGAAGAGGGCCACACGAAATTTGAATGTCCCAAGGCATTGGCCCGCATTATATGTTACAATTGTAATAACGTTGGTCATCGTCAAGATACTTGCCCTAAACCCAAGAAAGGATCCTCGGATCGTGAATTCAAGAAGGCTCGAAAGATCCCATCTACCACCTCTTCTGCGGAAGCTGACAAGTCCAAGTGGGCACCAAGCAATATCCAGAACTCAGATGCGGGTAAGCCACAACCCCAGGGACAGCGACAGCAGCACCAGGACCAGCAACTCGGCACTACGTCAAGTGATCAGACCACCACAGTAACTCGGACAATTTTGAAGCCAGAATTCACGGCAGAGAAGCAGGCAGGTCCCACAGATCAAACTAACACCCCAGAGGTCAAGCCTATGTCTAAGGACGTGGATACTGACGATGATGATTACATGCCATCAGCAAGCGAATCCGAGAACGAGGCAGAACTGATGAGCGACATTGAAGCGACTGACGACGAAGTCGCCAACCTCCAGCGTGAACAGGAGGAACATCCAGCACACATGACTTTTGACAATGGTGATAGCAACACCAACGACAACACCACGGTAGCTTCTCCCGCAAATTATAATGATTCTACGGCTCACCACCAGAAATTGTTATAATTATGCCGAAGAACATCCAATTCAAATACGCTTCACTGAACTCCAACAGTCTAGTGAAAGTAGGCCATCCACAAACACAATCATCATACCTCCACCACATTCGACTTCAACAGTTCAACATAGTATCATTCCAAGAAACTCACGCTACTGATACTACTATTACTATAATTGAATTACAACTACAAGCTAAACAATATTTATGGACATACTATTGCGGTATTGCCTCCTTCTCTTCAGATTTTATACTGACCAAGATTGCTACTAGTCACCTATATGATTCTGATAGATACACACTTTGCAAGGTTCATCACCCTCACAACTTTTATGAACCCTTTTACATACTCAACTTATATGCACCAGCAACTTCTGACAGTCGCCCTCGACAGGAATTCTTCAAGTCAATCTACAGCCTGCTCTCAACCCTTTCTGAGACCATCGATCTCGAACGACTACTGATATCAGGGGACTTCAATTATGATTATGTGCGGGACATTACCAATGCCACTCGTATTGTCAAGACATTGCGGAATTGGTTGGGTTATTTAGATCAGCACTTCCACAACCGCTTGATCCTTAACGACATGGATTCGGTGCCAACTTATCAACATGCCTTATCCACCATCGATTTTATATACGCTGGACATGCGCTACGACACTTGCTGAGCGATGCGAACGTTGGATTTATTCCTCCCTCTTGGTCGGATCATGCCATCCTTGAAGTTACTCTCAAACTTGGAAAATCCAAACTGGGCCCAGGACTTTGGAGAGGCAATCCATGTTACGCTAACAACCCAACATTCAGGAAACAGCTGAAAGAGAAAATCAACACAGCCATGGATACAATAGACGTGGATATGACACCGCAGGAATAGTAGGAACGCATCAAATCGGTGACTAGAAAGGCTATCCAAAAGTTTGGAGTAAAACATGTGAACTGACGTAGGATGAGTATCAAGCATTTGGAACGCAAACGGAATCGACTATTGAGATCCAAGCCTCCCAAAGCTACTCTCCGCATCCTACTGCCAAGGATTGACTCTATGTTACACGTATTACAACAGGAACTGGTGGATATTGCTGCACTCAAGGCTGGGAGAAATCCGCTGGGTATTTGAAAAAGAGCTTGTCCTTCGGCTGTACAATGATGCTCTCAAGGGCATCTTTCCCTCTTCCTGGCATGATCTGCGTATTCGTCTACTACCTAAGAAGGGCCTACTTGCGTTGCTCAAAATTTGGGTGTGGTACAGTCTGCGCATGCTGAAGCCTACCAAACGGTTTGTAGAGAACGTAAAGTCCTGTGTTTATCAATTTGTCTGGAAGAAGAAGCGGCCATTACTACGCAAAGAACTTATATTCCTACCCAAGTCCAGAGGTGGTCTTGCTGTTCTCAACCCTTCTCTTCAACAATTGATCCTCCAAAAACGCTGGCTCAATTGCCTCGTTGAACCGCAGAAATATCCGTCCTTCTTGCGTCCCTTCATGCTCTATCACGTATCACTGCTACCAGCGTCATCAGAGTTTCCTTACTTGGCCTTCGTAGATGCTGAATACCGCAAGTCCTACCTGATACACAAGGATCTTTCTATTTGGCATTCTATCTTCGCCATGTATGACTATTTTGATTTCAGTGGACTTCAACACGTGGATTTCCTTCCGGTCCAGACCATCCTGCAATTGCCTTTGCACAAGCTTCTCATAGGCCTCAGCGATGATCACTGGTTCCAGCGTCATCCCAAATTTCCAGCAAACAAGTTTCTGATCTTTGATAGCCAACAACAAAGGCTGCGGCTTCGTGTTGCTTCTGAATATTCACGCTACTCGCTTCTTTGCGCCTCGCTTTATCAAGATATTCTCATGCTCAAAACCGTCAAACTGATTCCTGGGGTGTGGCCTCACAATACTACGCCAAGTATCCTTTGACTTCCGAGATCATATATGGCACAGTGCGGTATCTACATCTTCCTCGCTTTATAAAAGATCGATCCAAGTATATCGCCGTCATATCTACCACCTTATGGCAAATGTGGAATCTATATTGGCTTCACGGTTCACAGAACCCTCTACCACTCTCCACCGCCTCCATAGAACACTTTTCCTCCAGGACAGTCTGTCTAATTGATAGACTGCTACCTACTCCAACATAATTGAGATTAGATGCTCATTCCGTTGCTCGAGGTCCACCACTCCGCGATGTGTCCCTCATAAAATAATATTTGAATAAAATAAAATATTAACTACAAAAAAAAAATCCTTAAGCTTTCTTGGACTACTTTTCATGGTGCTGCTAGATAAAAGCAATTGTTTGGTGCTATTCTGACAATCTATAACACTCATCAACGCAAGAAAACACAGCTCAAATGCACCCAAATTTTGCTATACAGTATTGAGCACATTCTTGACTAGAAAGGGGTAATATCAGTATGCTGCTTGTCCGTATATGAAGCATCTACGTATATACGGATGTGGAACGTCACATAAAAGTCAGATCCACAGATAATATGAAGGGTTCTCATGTGCAAGTCGAAAGCTAAAATAAAATGGAAGTAGCAGTAGTTCGATAAGGCGAACAAGGGCAATCGGTGCCGCGAGCTGCCGCTGCGTAGTTCTCGCCAAAGCGATGCAAAGGTAGAGAGTCATCCAAAGCGTAGACATACTCGTATGCAATAAATATAAGATCTTTGAATTATGTCAATGGCCATTTCGGGAAATGTATTATGTATAAAACCCTGCTCTGCTTGCGTGCGGCTTTATCTTTTCTCCCTCTTTTTCCATCACTGCATTTATACTCACCACTACAAATACTGACACGGAATGTCATCACTTCAAAAAGACATGTTCAAAAAATCAGCATTGCCACCATTAGGCAGCTTGAAAGAAGACGGAGATGACAATACAGAGAGGTAACATGGAGGAGTGTCAGAGGAGAGAATCATGAGGTTCTGATACTAAGCAGATTGCCTATGAATGCAACAACGGCTTCATCAGCTGCTAGACAACCAAAAGCATCTCATTTCAGTCCGTCCAACTGGCAGGATTATTTCGACACAAGTCTCGATGTATCAATATCAAATACATCTGATATATCCTTTTCTTGAATTGAATATGAATGCATGATTCCATCTAAGCTTGTATTTGCCCTTGACTCTATTCACACATCTTTCGTGTCTATAGGAATGAGCCCAGCAAAGAAAATGGCCCTCTTTTTGTCATGCATCACGGCGCTGGCTCATCTGGCTTGACATTCGGAGTAACAGCAAAGTATGTCAAAGAGGTATCTCAAGGCCAATGCGGTGTCATGGCCATCGACTGCAGAGGTCATGGCGCTTCGAAGACGGAGGCATTTGATAACGATTTTTCTCTGGAAACACTATCAAACGATTTAATCAACATCATCAAGGAGACAGTCAAAGTAGGCCAAGACATTATTCTCGTAGGCCACAGGTACATTCCATTATCACAAGCCCAACATTGCGGTCCTCTCACGCATTGCCTAGTATGGGTGGATCTGTCGTTGTCAATGTAGCATGTAAACGAGTGCTCAAGAGCGTTATTGGCGTGAGTGTATTGGATGTAGTTGAGGGATCGGCTATCGACGCATTGTCCTCCATGACAAAAATCTTGAGCTCGAGACCAAAGAGATTTGATTCAGCAGAACAAGCCATCATGTGGAGCATTCAATCAGATACAGTGCGAAATGTAGAGTCAGCCAGATTATCCATTCCTGCATTGATAGAATCCACGGAAGACGACAAATACAAGTGGATCACAGACCTAATCAAGACACAGCCATTTTGGACAGAGTGGTTTACAGGATTGAGCGACAAGTTTTTGAACTCGGGTACAGCTAAATTGCTCATATTGGCAGGTACAGATAGATTAGATAAACCGTTGATCATTGGCCAAATGCAAGGTAGAGTATTGTTCTAGGTATTACTGTACTGATGTAGCTAATTGCATTCAAATGGATAGGTAAATTCCAACTGACCATCTTCCCTGACGCTGGTCATTTTTTGCAAGAGGATACACCTAGAAAGACAGCGGTGTGCCTGGTTGAGTTTTGGAAAAGAAATCAGCGTCTTGTGCTGCCTCCCAAAGTGAAGGTTTAGTTTCTAGCATGATCAATAAAGATATGTATGTTGATAGATTTTTTAGCATGTATTTGAAGCTTACAACCAAAGATTTATTCGGTATATCTACCAGATATTGGTGATTTATTTGCAATGTCAAAGATCCATTTTACAGACTGCATTTGTAAAACACTTCATATCCTGAGCCGACAGCACCAAACACATCGAACTGCACATCGTCTTGGAAAGTAGCATGCTCAATGTGTCTCAGGTGCATTGGCTTCAACGCATTGGTCTCATGAAATTGGTCATGTTTGATACCGTTCTCCAGATCTACATGTTGTTAGCTTTTGGGATACCATTCTGGGGCTTTCTTGTTGACTGCTGCCTTGCATTTCTCCTTCAAATCATAGGATAGCTACGATGGTCTCGGTGAACAACCAATGCCTTGTATTAAAGTGTATGTCTTACCATATCCAGGTTTCATGAGAGTCTCTCCAGAATGATGCTATCAATGAATGGCAAATTCGATGCTTCGCAAAGAAGCTCAAACGCGATTTTCAAAGCTGTGGGTGATGTCTTGTGCATGTCGTTTCTTACTTTCAAAGAGAATGCTGGACCTTCATCCTCCAAAGCGGTCAATATCTCTTCTATTGTGTTATATTTACAGCACTCTATGATGGTATATTCATTGCTGAGAGTTCATATGCAACCCGGTAGAGATCATCAGCACTCTGATGAAAATGTCTAGTAGCTATTTGACCTTGAAAGTTGTTGTTTACTTTTGTCGTTGTAGTAGGTTATGAGCAACTTTTACTACATATAAATGCCAAAATAATACCTGAACTAGTTTCTCGAACAGCAAATGCTTCATATCTTTACCCCTTTATGACGATCATGCTTATCTCACTCTCTTTTTCTTATATCTTCTCTATCCACATTAGTTTTCCAATAACAGTAACTTGGATAGCATAGGCGAAACCATATCTGTGCTAGTGGCATGCGAATAATTGGGCCTATTCAAGATCAAAATGACACTCTCATTGACTCTTTTATCGAGTATATTTTGCTGATCTATAGGCATTTAGTATACAGTAAATTAAGAGAAAAAGGTGCTGAACCTAATGCTACATTTGCTTTTCCTAGCGCTCTCTATAGTAATGGCATTGATAGTGGAAATAGGATGAACAGCAACCAAATAAGCACAGTTTGATTGTTCATAGTCTTATTCACGACGATTGCATACGTGAGATCAGTGCTATTATCCAAACGAACGCAACTTCACAAGCAGACGCCGTATGCCATAAATATTACGATTGAGCTTAGTATGATCGCATTTTACCCAAGGGATGCTTTATTCATTAGTCATCAATACAGACAAGAGTTTAATCCAATTTAGGCTTTTTGACCTCTTCTTCTCCCTCCTTCTCTCCTTCTCTAGCAGCAACCTGATCAGCTTTACGTTTTACGAGATTAGATACGTCATTTGCAGGTTTGCGCTTCACAAGTGTTGATAGATCATTGACTGGTGTGGATGCTGTTAATTCAGTAGATGCCTTGGTGAAGCCCAACATGGCTTTCAACATAGCCTCTGCTTCCTTTTCAGTAGCCTGTCTTGTAGCGAGTTCTTCAATCTATACGTCCAGGGTTAGTCTACGTTGACCCAGGCCAAGCATACTGGTAATTCTACCTTGAGTTCCATATCAGGGATAAGTTCATTTATTTCCTTGATCTCCTCCAAAGCTTTTTCATCTATATCTGTTGCTTTTCCCTTTCCTTTGCCCTTGTCTCCATCTGCTCCAGCTTCTAAATTAGAGATTCTCTTTTTCAAAACGTTGACAGCTTTTTGTAATTCGGAAAGTGCTTGATCTGCTTTCTCTGTGGAGAACTCTAATGCTAATGCGTACTTGTAATGTGCTTCGGCTAATTCTCGGTTATCGTCTTCCAATACGGATTGTTTGATCTCGATAGCTTTTTCATAGTCTGACAAGGCTTCGTTGAACTTTTCTGTTTCAAGAGATACATCACCCAGACATAAGTGCACATCTGCCAAGTTGAGCTTGGATTTGATGTCCTCTCCCTTTTCAAAGATAAGTCGAGCAACATCGAGAATATCCCACGCAGTCTCGAAATCTTCATCTGCAGTGTTACCAGCCTCTCCCTCGTCGTTCTCCTCTTCCTCATCGTCGTCTTCTTCCTCTTCTTCGCCTTGTTTAAATTCAGGTACACCGCTCAATTGAAACAAGGGATTCTTGGACTCCACTGTAAGATATCGACAGATGAATACATGTGCAACATGTCATATCTCGAGCATAACCCTACCTTCCTCCTCCTTGGCCATCTCTTGCTGTTCCTCCACCTTGGTGGTAGATGCTTGAGCAGACTGACCCAGCACTGTATTTTGTTGAATAGCAAACTGAAGCAATGCTTGGCCATACAAAAAGTAAGCATCACCATTGGCAGGTGCTAAATCACCGTTAAGCTGGTCCCTGTATTGAATGTATTAGCTGACATGGACGTTCTTTAAGTTGCAAGATACTTGCAGTAATTGACATGCTTCACCCAATTTGGTCACACTTGACTCGTATTCGCCCTTGTTGAAAGCGAGCTTGCCTTGATCAAATAGCTCTTGGGCTTTAGCTTCTGAGGAGGATTGTTGCTCTGACATGTTGGAGTGTAAAATAAAAGATGCACACACATACACCACTTTAGCAAGATACGCGTTTTAGATCTAAAGCCAAATCCAATGTCCCGGACGCCCCGCCTCAAAAGTGTTCGGTATGGCAAAGAGAAATGATTTCTCATCAACATGCATCGGTTAGTCATGCTGATTTGTCACATTCGACTGTGGTTGAAATGCCAATATAAATGTGTTGTTTCATTACTAATAATCTACATCTTTGCTCTCTTCTTTATATACGTATTTTCCATCATGAATACAAACAACTCGATTAACCCTGATAGACCTCTCATTGTGGGTCCCGAGAATCTCGAGGCTCCTTATCCTATCTCTGTCTCTGGCACAGTGGTAAAGGGCTTTGGCCGTGGCTCAAAGGAATTGGGTATCCCAACAGGTAACGTAGTATTAGCAATGCGCGAATGGATAGTGTGTCATGGGCTGACATGTGATGTAATTGATGTAGCCAATATGAATGAGGAAGCACTTGAAAAGATGTTTAACGATTTTACTACGGGTGTCTACTATGGTTGGGCTCAAGTCGGTGCAAAGGATACAACTGTTTATCCTATGGTCATGAGTTTGGGCTGGAACCCTTATTACAATAATGAAAAGAGGTCTGCTGTAAGTAGTGAAAAGTGCTGAGTGAAGAACAGAAGCTGATTGTTTGCATTAGGAGGTTCATATTCTCCATGAATTCGAGTCTGATTTCTATGATGAATCTATTAGAATTATCGTGACAGGATACATTCGTCCTGAGCAAAACTATCCTTCTCTCGGTAAGTTATTGAGTTGGATGTTTGTGTAATATTTACGGGGAAACTGATCTGTTGTTTGTATGACAGATGCTCTCATCTGTGATATTAAGACAGATATCGAGGTGGCAAAGCATTCCTTGAAGCGCAAGGCATATGATGACCTTCGTCACGACACGCTTTTTTCTGCAGCAAGCAAGAATTAGACACAGACCCTAGAATGTAGTAGACGATAGAGATAGATTTGTACAAATTGTATATTCCAAATTCAATAAATTATTAGCTGATACTAAGTAGCATTTGTGGGAGGCTGTTGTTGTGTGGATGCATTGGTCCTAGAGTAGTTTGCCTCCACAAGGATAGGGACTAACGAGCATGCCACATCCTATGCTAGCTATTAGTTCAGGTTGAATGTGTCATTTAAGGTTCCAATTCATCAGATCCCTTTATGCAACATTTAATGAGCCAATTAATAACCGTGAAGAGTAAATGCCTAAAAAATGAGAATAATGCATTGATACACATCATATACATGTACTGATATTGACGTTATCTGCCTACGTAAAATGCCTTTCAATAAAACAGCTCTTGTATTGGTATCATGGACAACCATCCTGATGGACATTGATATTACCAATGGGCACGACCCGCGACTCCGGCATTAATCCCATTGAAACTCACCGAAATAAGGTATATAAAAAGGGTCTTACATGTATCAAAATTGCTTTTTTCTTTCTTTCCATTACGCACACATACTCTACACAATGTGGAATTCAGTTATGAAGAGTGTTGGTTTATTACCAACCGAAGAGTATATTCAGCCTCGTTTGTCCATTGGCAATGCAGTATCAGATCATGAATTCTCTACTGGCCACTTCAAGATCCAGGTAGACGCCCAAGCATTATGTTTGACTGTCAAGAACGTCCATGGTCGTATCATTTGGAAATGTAAGTATCTATCATCACAATTACTGCTTTGCAGTACTTTTTGTGTAGCCTCAAAAGAGAACCACGTTTGTTTGTGTACTCTATAGGTACTAATTATAGTCACTATGTTAGCTCTACACAACTTGCCCTTTTTATCTACATGTCTCGGGAAAGACAGTGTCAGTCCCGGAGATAATGGGGTATTCAAGATTACAGAATGCAGCGAGAGGCCCTCTCGTCTTCAAACCATCACCAAAATTCAGAGAGAAAATGACACAACCATCCGCCTCCATGGTGGCCTTAGTGCTAAATTGGTGTTACCTACTCACATGGATTATGTTATGACTTTTAAAGAAGTGTCTCACCGTCAATTACAATTCTCTGTGCAAGTGACACACAGAGATCCCTCCATGGAAGACTATGATCGACTCATTTTGACGTACGAGAGCAGAGCAGATGAACACTTTTACGGCTTTGGTGAACAGTTCTCTTATGCTTCTGTCAAGGGACAAAAAGTCCCCGTTCTTGTCAGGTAAGTGAAAAGAGGACAAATGGACGGATTTCATGTATTGATTCCTAAATTAGAGAGCAAGGTGCTGGTCGTGGTGCACCTGCTGTAAGTTTTTCGTGCAAGAATTTGTAACTCGAACTATATTGACATTATATAAATAGGCTGCCTCATTCAAGGAATCCGCTCTCAGTATGCTCGGGTCCTATGGCTCAGCTGATAATTTTGCCACGTACGCATCTGTGCCTCAGTACATTTCCAGCGATATTCGATGCCTGTTGATGGAGAATTCAGAGTACATGAGTTTTGACATGACAGAGCCGGACCGTGTATCTATTCGTTTGGAATCTGATACAATGAGAGGTAGCACTGGAGACAATGAAAGGAATGCAAGAAGCTAAACTCTGTCTAATAGGCCGTATCCTGGACGGTAGAACCATGCTTGATTTGATCACGGAATACACATCGTATGCAGGAAGAATGCTTCCTTTGCCAGATTGGGTCTCCGAGGGTGTCATTGCTGGTCTTCATGGCGGCAAAGAAAAGACCAAGCAGGTGATTCAGCAATTGAGACAAAAGGAAATCCCAATTGCAGGCGTGTTTTTGCCAGATTGGACAGGAGAACGCTTGCAAGAGACAGGCCGTGATGTCCAATTCATCCGTAGCTGGTGGAATTGGGAAAGTGATGATGATCTTTACCCTGAATGGGATGCATTTGTACAATCATTGGCTAACGACGAGGGAGGGAAGATCCGTGTCTTGTCTTATGTGAACCCACTGTTGACATCAACACAGCTTAAACATCGTTTTAAAAAGAACTTGTTTGCAGAGGCTCAAGAGAAGGGATATCTGGTCAAGGGCACGCAATCAAGCTCGTCTGATAGCCAAGCACTGTCTATTAGGTTTGGGTTGAATATGGAGGCTGGCATCTTAGATTTGACTCATCCTGAAGCAAGAGCCTGGTTCAAGGAGATCATGAAGGAGCAAGTGTGGAAGTCTGGCATCTCTGGTAAGCTGGTGTTTGTGTTGGTTAAACAGAATAACATTCATCAAGTCTTTGATAGGTTTGATGGCTGACTTTGGAGAACATTTGCCTTGCGATTCAAGCAAAATCACATTACATTCTGGAGAAACTGCTTCTACATATCACAATCACTACCCTGAAGAGTGGGCTCAATTGCACCAAGAAGTGGTTATGGAGCTAGGCAAAGAAGACGAAGCAGTTTGTTTCTTTCGCTCTGGATATATGCATTCACCAGGCCACATGAATCTCTTTTGGGCAGGCGATCAAACAGTGACATGGGATGCTCATTACGGCATCAAGAGCGCAGTAAGTTTGTTTCTACACATATACACTCATACGAAGGGCTAAATTCGATGGATTTCTTAGGTTATTGGCATGCTTTCTGGTGGGTTTTCTGGATTCTCAGTGACACATTGTGATGCAGGTGGCTATAATACTGTGCCCAGTAGTATTCCAGGCATGAGAATGACTCGCACAAAGGAATTGTTGTTTCGATGGTTAGAGCTGGCCGTATTTACCGCGGCGTTTCGTACATCCGAAGGTATTATTCCCTCATTGAATGCTCAGTTTTATGATGATGAAGGTGCGTAATGATCAATGCCAAGCCAGCGGATTATATTTATATACTCACAAATCGTATGTATAGAGTCATTGACTCATTTAGCACATACTGTCAAGTTATTCACCGTCATTGCCGCTTACAAAAAGACAGTGCTGAAAGAAGCGTATGAAAAGGGCTGGCCTCTTTTGCGCCATCCTGTGCTCTATTACCCCAATGACAAAACCGCTCGTGAACTGACATACCAACAGTTTATGTTGGGCGGTTTTATGATGGTAGCACCTGTCCTGACCCCCTCCACAGCGTTTGTCAAGGTCTATTTCCCCAAAGATGCTCAAAAGGTAACTTGGCGTCATGTTTGGAGCGGCAAGTACTATACTGGGGATGGCACCTACCAAGCGGTTGATGCTCCTCTTGGTCAGCCAGCCATATTCATCAGAGAACCAAGAGGTGATGATGGTTTGCTCAATGGATTGCTTGATTATGCTACTACGTACTACCAGCAAAAAACACAACCCAAATAAAGAGACAAATGTATATTTATTGATTATTGATTAAATGTGTAACTAGTAGAATTTATTAAGATGGACTGATGGAGGGTATGGCTATAGTACAGGTGTTTTGGTTTAGAAGAAAGGAACTCGAATGAATGTGTTTGTTTCATTGTAAATCATGGCGGCTAAAGCGTACCAAGCAACAAGGGCCAAAGTAAACGAGCACCAACCACCAATCTTTGCTAATACAAGGATGCCAGTAAAGGCACTAATAGCAGAGAAGAAGAATGACAAGGTAGAGAGGCCCAAAATCATGCGCACCAAGACGGGTTGACGGAAGGTGCCCAAGAAGAAGATGAAGGCAGCAAATGAATAGCCAATCTCAATCAAGCCTAAACACATTTCCAGTTCACCAGCTGCAGCTGCAGGACCCAAGAAACCAGCGCCAGGGATCATCATGATGCCAAATGCAAGAAAGAAACTGGCAAATGTAAAGAAGGAAGCAGCAGAAAAGGTGTTTTTGTGGACAATCTCAATCACAGCAGCAGTGTATTGACCAAGTGCACCATAGGAGATGGCTACACCCGTAGCGACTTGAGGTAGATTTGTAACAATGCCAGCATTATAGATACCCAAGATAAACGAACAAAGACCGAATGAAGCAAAACCGATAGCAGGACCTACTAAAGTCTTTTGAAATTCTGCTAATTCTGTTGTTTGAGGAACAGGAAAGAGAGTTTTCTTTTGTTCTTGCTGAGCTTCCAGATTGCCTAAAGATACAGATTCTTGATGAACAATATCTTTTTCAATAGAGGTTGTAGACATTTAAAATAGAGAGAAATGGAGAAAGAGAGAGAGAGGGTAAAGAGACATGATATCGAAAGGCTTGCCTCTATTTATAGTTGTGGGATTGACACTGTCTTTCTACTACAGATCGAGACAATACACAATGCAGAATAGGATGCGCTCTATGCCGAATCAGTTGATACTCACGAACACAAAAATTCGAGACAAATGAAATTGCTTTCCCATCTATTGTCTGTACTCTATTCACACTTGCCTTATTCAACTTTTAAGGAAATATAAATCCCTTTTCCCGTTTTATTGTATTTGTTTGCAGTGTGTTTCATTGATGTGTGTAATTCACACGGGCTATGGATTTATCAGAGTAGTTGGCGGCCATCATTCTCTACTATAGACACAGTGCAGGACATCACTGGCCATAGTATTATCAAGTACTGTATGTGGCCTGCAGACACACATCTTGAGCCACAATAATACGACCCCATCTGCTGCATTAAATTTAATAAACTCATGTTCTAAGATTACACACACCAGATGTCAACAGCAACTTTAAATCTACCAAATTGGAATTTGGTGCAATGCTCGGCGCTCTCTTTCTTGAGAATATTTCCATAATTTGAGACGTATATCGTCTTTGTCATCTTAATTCCCCACACTCTTCATCGAGATATACACATCCAGTTTCTGGAATTACCTTGTTGAGAATCATCTACCACAAATTTATCCTTATTGTCTAAATCAGGCTGAAAGCCAATCATCTCTCTCAAACTATGCTGAAAGGAGTATGTTGTGTATACTTGATGGCCGAGATTTATGCACTTCTTTTTATACCAATGTTGATCAAACGTATGCATTCACCGTGATGAAAGCAACAAATAGAAGGAACTATTTCATTGACCCACAAACACATTGAAAAAAAAAAAAACTGAATACAGAGATATAATAAATAGCAATAAATTCAGCTCAATTGCCATTAATTATGTCAGTGTAGCCTGAAGTTTTACTTTCCATTCTAAAGCGATAACCCTCTATAAGCAATCTACAACCGTGGATCTGACTCTTTTGCGATGTTGCACGGTTGTATCTATGGGAACAACAGAGTTACGGACAGGCAGCATACTTGAATTGCCATGAGTTACTCAAAAATACGCAACATGTAGTGAAATTAGGATGCATTCAAACAGTGATTTCTCGTGCTGAAAGCGGTTTTAGACTACCAGAATAGCGCCAAACAGTTGCTTTCATCTAGCAGTTACTTCCTGGTATGTTTACTCAACTTTTTTGGAGTCTCCAAAATTTGACCAAAAACCATGAGGTACCCCTCATGGTTTTCATCAAAAAACAAACAATCGCGTTTTTGACCTCAAAAATGAAGGCTTTTATTATAGTATATATTGCATCAAAATGTTTCTCTCGATCCAAAGCAACCCTTGAGACTTTATTTGTAAGACCTTGCGATATAAAATCTCGACATTTTGGCACTAAACGTTATTTCATATTCTCAAGAATGGCTCAATAAGTTTGTTCAAACCACACACTTCAAATGGCACCATCGGATGCGCCTTGAAAAGTATTTACAATAAGCTTAAGGGTGTACGGGGTAATCAAAGCAAATCATACAGTCGGATTGTCTAAAACAAATCAAACAAGTCGAAAACGGACAAAATGAACGAGTAGAAACATGATGTTTCGAAGTCAGAATTTGAAATATTTTATGGTGGTGGCTGGTGGCTAGCTGGCTGGCAAGAGCAATGCCCTGCCTATGCAAAGGTAATTGATGCTGTTGGAAGGTCATCAGTGAAGGATTGCGGATTGAAAAAAGTAATATCGCTTCGTTTGACTACACTACTTTCTCTTTGTTACAAATTTGCTTGTCCAAATGCAGTTCTTTTGATCCGAAATGTGAAACTGACGTCTACATTGCACATGCTACTTGGATTATACCAGACGGTATCGTCTTTGTACTCTTGACAAGCTGGGCACCCTTATCGACAAGATGAATCACGGTCTACAGAGTATCGAGGGGAGGATCAAGCACTGTCGCTCAAATCAGGAAACTAAACAGGGACAGAGACATGGATTTGTTGTAATAGAATCAGATTGGGTTTTGACAGAGTTAGGTATTCGGTCCATCGAGGTTTACTGGATTATACCAAGCAGCTTGCTTCTAACTCTATTCGGTATACATAGTCGAAAGTGCGCATTGTCATGGCTGCTGGTTGTATCAATCTCAATCTCCTTCTCAAACACATTTCAACATCATCCTACGAGATGATGTCTTTTCCAGCGACGCTCATGTAGACCACTTAAAATGTAGTGACACATAGAAGCTCATGCAATTCCATTCTATATTGATCATGGTTCCTGATGATTCTTTTTTCGCAACTCTAAAATCAAGCATCTGAATTGAAATTTACCAAGGAACAATAGCGTACAGTGTTACCATTATGATAGGATGGAGAGATCTTTTTTTTTCATCATCTCGATTTGCGTTATGTTTCATTGAATTCCAATGTCAAAAGTTTCGCTTTGAATGGTACCGGCCTTGTGTCGGAAATAGCTGTTCATTGGTACATTTCCGTAGGTTGTATATCAATAAGCCACCAGTGCTACAATTTGATTTTTTTTTTTTTAGGATGAATCAACTGTATGCGGAGGCCAGATTTTTTTTTCACCACAGCTATTAGTCAATGCTTGACATTGTTTGAATTTCATTTTTTTTCCTCTTGACCAAAACAAAATGCCAATTTTATCCGTTTCTACACCATCTTCAAGTTCCAACAGTACAGAAACGATGCCCATCATTATAGAAAAGCCAGCTGTAGTACTAGCAGCCGCATCAACATCAGCATCAGCAACGCCGTGTGATTGCAGTGTGCCTTGTTGCAAACAACATGCAACCGAGTCTGTGAAAGATGTATCCAAGCAGCTACCAAACAACCGAAAAAAGAGAAACACTTCGTTGGTCTCTCGTGACGAAGATGATTATTGGGTTGATATCTCCAACAAGAGACTGAGAAATACTCGTTTGGGCGCATTGTATGCTGGTTCTCGTTTTAAAGGTGTACAGAAATGTGGTATTAGCAAATACAATGTGATGGTGGACATTCAGGTAAGTGTTTGTGTGTATGCCATGTCGATTTAGGACATGTTTATTTACACTGGCAATTCATCTAGCATGTTGATTTAAAGGAGAGCAAAATCAGTGGATATTTGAATATTGAAGGACTCACGAATGAGTGTCCAGAATTAACAGTGAGTGTCTACTTGTGATCTCATTTGATATACCACCAATAGCTCATACGTTGACTAGACATTCTTCGAAGGCGAAATTATTGGACCTCAATACCCATTCTTGACTAGAAAATGGCAAGCACAGCAATACATTGATGCGTTGCATTGGGTAAGTGAGGAGAAGTGAAGGTGGTGATTTGATTTTGGATATTCAACATTGGATACAACAGGGCAAATTTCCTTCCTTTGAACCATACTTGCATACCTTCAACGACGACGATTTCACATATGATCCATTTGACAATGATTTCATCTACATGCGTTGGAAGGAGCATTTTTTGGTGCCTGATCACTGCGTGAGTAATATTGAAGGAGCCAGTTTTGCAGGCTTTTATTACATTTGCTATCAACGTTCCACCAATGAAATCAAAGGTTTCTACTTTTACCACAACAACCCTGAATGGTAACTCGAGTGTGAATATGTCGTGGTAGAGATCAGTCGAATTAACTCTTTGAATCTCTATAGGTTCCAGCAATTGGTATTGGAGCATGTGGAGGAACACTCTTTCAGCAATTTTGAATTTCGTTGATTCAAACATCTCTCTCTCACTCTCACTCGTTTTTCCCACGAATGCACATATACCTTGTATATACACTTTAACAGATCAAATAATCTTCTTATCTCCCCTTCCTTTTTCACTTTCAACATACAAACAGCAGACACACTCACCTTCATTATTCTATCCAACAGTCATTTAATATATAAATTTTATACACACTAAGATACAAGTTTTTTGAATGTATGCAATGCTTCCGACGCCAATCGACACTTTCCAAGGAGCTGAACATCCCAATGCCCTTATAAATTAAGGTTGAAGCAAAAATCAGTAGGTCAAATTTACACTTCTGAATGACATTGCTGCAAACTTGTGTAGCAGTGTGTTACCTGTGATTTAATGCCGAAGATGTCTGTGGTGGGCTAAATATAATGGCTGATTTACGCTGATGCATACAGGCTGTAATTATCGAGCACAGCTACTTGCACAAATGAAGGCGACTGTAGCGTTGGCCATGATATGTAAAATAATAAATCACCATTAGACCATCCATCGGGAGATTATGATTTACGCTTTACATATTTGTGCGATGATACCAACAGCATAGAAAATGGATTAACAAACACAGCATGTGCTGAACTGTCCATCTCAAGACATCCAAGAATATATAGCTATTGCAAAGCAGACTGCAAAATTCAGCTTTTCAGTATATAGAATCGACATTTGGATTCTCTGTAACAAACAAGCAAAATCCGATGCAGGACACTCATCAAACAGGACAACTATAAATACCTTCCTATGCTTTCAGTTTGTTTCTCTTTTTTTTTGGCGTTCACTTAAAAATGATCAGATCAATGAAAAGGTGGACAATCACTGCTTGTATCACGCTTGTTGGTATTCAAGGTTTCGTGCATGCTAAGGTATTGCCTCAAGAAAGAGTGATAGTCAATGGTATATGATTGAAGATTATAAGCTGAAGCCATTTATGTCTTGTTAAACTACTACCAAAGACAATAGTAATTCACATAAAGTGTCAGGCACACAGGGTGCTGTCGCTGTAGAGAATGAACAGTGCTCTCAGGTTGGGTTGGATGGTATTTAGCTCAGAACGATTGACTGTGCATGAAACCATGGATTCACAAGTGTCATTTGTAGTGTTGAAAGATGGTGGCACTGCCGTGGATTCTGCAATCGCGTCAGCGTTATGTATTGGTGTTATCAATAGTTTTGCCACAGGTATGTCTTTGTGTCATGACATGTCACTACTATGCGTTTGTACTCATTGCAGTTATTATACAAAAGGCATTGGAGGGTAAATAAAAGCAACCAGCACATGTCGCACATACCATATAATATCAATGTACCATGTAGTGGAGGATTCATGCTGATCCGTGATGCCAATGGTGAATACGACTTTATTGATTTCAGAGAGACTGCCCCAAGCGCATCTACAGAAGACATGTATGCTCTTGATAGCATTTTGTCTCAGGTTACTGGACTCGCTGTAAGCGTTCCGTAAGTAGATTCATCACGTATTTTTGCATGCTGATATTAATATGAACTGTAGTGGCGAAATTCGTGGGTTTGAAATGGCACATAGCAAGTAAGCATGGGTCCAAGCTGATCGAAGCAGCATGCTGACACACATCACACACACATAGACATGGCAAGCTTCCTTGGTCTAGACTTTTCAGAGACTCCATTGATATAGCAAGAAATGGATTTCCTGCAAATGAGCTCATGTACAAGCGGCTCAAGGTACTTAATGATGCCCCATCCAATGAATCCTTGGTGATAACACACTGTTTGTAGGACTCGCAAGATTGGATGCTCGATTCAGCGGAATGGGTGGAAGTGTTTGCACCCAATGGCACTATTGCGCAGCCAGGTGATATCATTAAACGACCTACTCTTGCTACAACGCTTGAGACGATTGCCAGCAAAGGCGCCGATGCATTCTATTCTGGCTTTATTGCTGAATCTATCGTCAACACAACCGTAAACAATGGAGGCATCATTACACTAGAAGATCTTAAGAATTACAGAGCATTGAGTCGACCCGTCATATCCACCACTTATCACAACCACAAGATATTCACCACATCTGCGCCCACAAGTGGTCCCGTATTACTCAACATCTTGAACCTGATAGAACCCTTCAATTTTGCCAAGGATGGTGGTCGAACGGCGCTGAATATGCATCGATTAGTGGAAGCATTCAAGTTTGGATACGCAGCACGCACTGAGATGGGGGATCCGGCATTCACAGACATTGAGGAGAGAATGGAAGAGCTGATATCAAAAGAGTGGGCTGATTTAGTTCGAATGAATGTAACAGATGTAGGTAGATGAGCGAGGAATTAGATGATTTACATGGGCCTGACACTCTATACAGAACGAAACACATGGTCCTGAATACTACCAGCCTCGGTTTGAAGGAAACGAACCTCATGGCACTATGCATTTGTCCGTCGTGGACAAAGAGAATGCAGCTGTTGCTTTGACATCTACTGTCAACCTCATTTTTGGATCAAGAATCATGGACCGTGCAACGGGCATCATCTTGAACGACCAGCAAGATGATTTCAGCAGTGCTGGGATCTCTAATGCATTTGGTTTTAGTCCCAGTGTGGCCAATTTTGTTGCGCCAGGCAAGAGACCTCTGTCTTCTGTAACAGACACGATCATCGAAACTGAAGATGGGCAGCTCAAGATGGTGGTAGGTGCCTCTGGTGGGTCTGAAATCATCACAGCTACTCTCAATGTAAGTATCTAGTCTTTTACCTTGTGTCTATGAGACTCATCCTACGTAGGCCATTATCAACACACTTGATTTCAACATGGACCTATACGAAGCGGTTGGGCTACCCCGTATCCATCATCAGCTGCTTCCAAATCAGATTGGCATTGAACCAGGATTTGATGCTCGTATTGCTGAGGGATTGATCAAACGGGGACATGAGGTTTGTTGTATGATAGTCTCTACTGATGAAAAAATGACATTGACTCGTCACTTTCTATAGATATACAAATTAGATGCAAACGGCATCTTCTCGGCTATTCAAGCCATTGTTCGCTTTTCCAACGGCAGCCTCGATGCAGCCAGCGATCCAAGAAAGTTTGGGCTTGCTGCTGCCTACTGAACTACATAGGCCGGTTGTTCAAACACACTGACTAGGCATACGTGACATCATTTATAGAGAGGATAGACAGATATATAACTCGCGAGTTTCCCTATTCAAATAAAAGAAATTTTACCTTTTTTTTTCTTTCTTGTCTGTACATAATAACACTGACAAATCTGATGAGCCAGAAGAAGCAAGATTCCAATAACAAAGATCAGAGTCAAAAGGGCTTGAATTTCTCTTTTCAAGACATTTTAGGAGACGAGCAAGGAAACACGGGCAATCCACAATTTCAGTCTATCGTTCAGACATTTAGAAATCAAGACAATCAATCTGCTTCTTACAATAACATGCCACCTGAACTGCATCATCTGTTTGATCTGCCAGAATCGTCATACGCGTCTTCAAATGCTCAAACATGGAATCGACCACAGAGCAACAGTAGCACACCCAACGTCTCATTCAATACGCCACCTGCCGTTCAAGAGTCCACCTCTTCTTCTTCTCCCATGAACAGTAATAACAGTAACAGCACGTCTCCTGCTACGCAAGCAGCATCGCCTTCATTACCAGTGCAATCATCACCTGCACCCGCTTCCAGCCTACTGCAATCATCACCCCAACCAGTAGCAGCAGCAACAACCAACACTGCAACAAGTGCACAGACATCGCCTCAAGCGACACCAACTCCTCCTACTACTACAAGTGCGCATCCATCCCCCCAAATTCATTCGCCATTAGCAACACAAGCTTCGCCTCAAGTCAATATACAATCACCTGCCACACATCAATCATCTCCTCATCCCATCAAAGCATCTCCGTCACCACAACCAAGCATTGCTCCATCACAACCTGCCTCAGGAGCAGCTACGCCCATTGCTGTGCAATCGCCACAGCAGCCACTGGCACAAAAGACACAAAGCTCGCCTGTCCATGTTCGTTCCTCACCTGTTGCACCGCAGCCATCGCCCAAAGTGATTGCTCCTCAACAACAACAGCCACTTCAACCTCAATCTGTTAATGCAGCAGGGACGACAACTACGAGTGCTCCAACAGCAGCAGCAGCGGCAGCAGTAGCCACCCATGCTACCACACAACCTTCTTCTGGAGGTAAATCGCAACGATACAAATACTATTTATAGTGTACTAACCTCATCCTATTGACAGCGACATCTATGACATTGTTGGACAATTTGACAGCTCAATTATCACCCGACCGCAAAGAGCGATTTATCGAGTTATTTAGACAATTACAAGGAAATGCAGTTACAGCAAACCAATTTCTGGCTCAAGCAAGGATGTTATTAGATCAGCAACAATACCAACAATTAGAGAATCTCAAAAGTAAACCTGCTGTACCTAATGCTGCTGCTACTGCTGCTACTGCTCGCAATCCAGCCATCCGACCTCAGCAATCGCCTAATATTAAACAAACCATGAGCAGTTCTCAGATACGAGCAGAGGATACGCAACGAGCCATGTCAGGATTAATGTAAGGGGTCGATCTGTGAATAGTGAATAGCCATGCTGACCCTTATTTTGCCATTGCTTAGTGCCCCGCAAGCCAAAAGAGCGAGAACATCAGATATACCCATCAACTCATCACAGCCTTTACCCATGTATAGAGCAAACCCTGCGCCTGTTTCTCAGTTACAGCAACAGCAGCTAATGCAACAGCAACAGCTCCATTTACAGCAGCAACAGCAACAAATGCTGCAACATCAACAAAATCAAATGAAGCAACATTTGATCCAACAACACCAACAGCAGCAATTATTGCAACAGCAAGCACAACAGGCACAACAAGCACAGCAACAACAACAACAACAACAACAACAACAACAACAGCAGCAACAGCAGCAGTTGTTACCGCAACAATCGTCATCTCAACCACAAACTCCCTTGATACAGCCACAACCACCTCAAAGTAGCCAGCCAGTTGCACCTGATCAATCCAAAACCGACAGTGCATCTGCAAAGGTAAATTCAGAGTATAAATGGCGGTGTTGTGCAGAATTTAACACATTTCTTTTTTTTTTCTTGTAAAAGACTGAGGCCGCTGAACAGACATCCGGTATCCAACAAGACTTTATGAATGCAGACATGCTCAAAACGATTCTTGAAAAATACAGTAAGTTGCTTTAAGTAAGAAAAGGAATGAGTGTGTATTGAGCCCTTGCTTTCATTAGCTACTGCTGCTGATCTCAAACTAGGCAGTAATGTAGTTGCATTGATGGCACTGGCGACAGAAAAGCGAATTCAGGGCCTTGTGCAGCACATGATCTTTGCGTCCAAACACCGAGTTGATTCACAAACGTTTACACAGCCAGCAATGGATGAATCGGGCCATCTTCCCTTTAAAATTGTGGATATTCAAGACATCAAGAAACAGCTGCTTGCTATCGAACGTGTTGAGAGAGAAGAGGAAAGAAAACGCAGAGAAATACTGCTGGAAAGAGAAAGAAAGGCACAGATGGGAGAAGACGGTGGAGACGCTGGCGATGATGACAGACCCTCCAAGAAGAAAAAGAAGAAGGAGATGGGACCTGGTGTCACAGCAAGATACATGAGTGATGATGTTCGCAATAAAACAACCAACGAGACAGCGTTGATGATTGCTGGTGGTGTGATGAAGAGCTGGATGTTGACGGGCAGCATGGGCGGAGGTGGTGGTGGTGGTGGAGGAGGAGGAGCTTCCTCAAAGGAAAAAACATCCTCATCAGCATCAGTAGCAGCAACGCCCATTTCTAGACAGAATAGCAATGCAGTTGTAGGAGCTCCCGCAATCACACAAAATGATACCATTGCTGCAAGCTCACCTTTAGCTATATCACCACTAGGCGGCGTCAACAACTTGAACTCACCTGTTGCAACTGCACCTTTATCAACATCTCCCACTAGCGCAACATTCCATGAGGCAGCATTAGCAGCCAATATAGCCGTACCTACGACGCCTACAGCAACACCAGATGAAGATCAACCCAGGGGAAGAGGCAGACCAAGAAGACGAAAGTCTGGGAGTGGGCCTGATGTCATGACTGGCAAGAAAGTAAAAGGATTTGGTAGAGCAAATACATCAGCAGAGGGTGGTTTATTCTTACCGCCTTCGACTATTGGTCGCCCTCATCGATTAGGCGAACAAGGTGCTCGTAAGATTACAGTGAGAGATGCTTTGTTTGTCTTGGAGGATGAATATGAAAATAGTATGGATAGTGCTCGTCGTACATTATTGAAGGCGTATTCAACCTATTTGAAATAAATTGACCATGTCTGATTGATTATCTATCTTTTTTTTTATGTGAATGTTGTCGGACCTGATCATTGTCTAATAGTAATACTCACCAAGAAACAAAGAGCCACACACACACACACTGCTATCAGTATTCAGCCAATTTCTTGAAAGGAGGATGTTGTGGTTTCCTGTAAAAACCACTGTAAAATACTACATGGCCACTTTTTTACATGCTATTCCAATTAAAATGATATAAAAGAGCTTTACAATGGTTTCGTATCAGCTATTTATTCTTTCATTTCTTTAAACAAAAGAGTCGTATCTCGGTTCTCAAGGTAATAATATATTCTTTGCAATTCAATATTATAAAACATATAGAAGAGGCTATTCAATAACATGTACTTTTTTTGACAGATCTTTGCCAATACTTGACTGAAGCTGCAAATGCTTCTTTCACAGACTTCTTGAAGCAGTTTTGGTGCTGGCATTGGGATAGCATCTCAGGAGGTCCCTGAGTCTAATTGTGGCGCTAAACATACAGGGAAGAAACTGACCAGTTACGAAGATGAGAAAACGAGTTCTAATGCTTTGAAATTAACCAAAAGCACTAGACGGCAAAACTCATTGCTTCCGCGAGACGAGCAGTTTGTGCAATCGCCGTTGCTATCGGCAACGTAAGAACAGTGTGATTAATCACATTTTTATTTCGTGATAAAACTAACACTGTTTTCATTGTAGAATTTTTGCTGCATACAGATCGCCGCTACCGTACACACCATCTCGAACGTGTACACTACTACCATCAAGATGTTTACACGGAGAGAATCACCGCCGCAAGAAGAGCATTGTAGGAAGCTGCTGCTGCCTATCAGGCACAACTACCCTGTCAGGTACGTTTCAATCGCTACGTTTTAAAACAAAAAAAAAAAAAAAAAGACGTAGGCAAGATTATCTAATTATTCTTCGAACAAGATAGCCCATTAAATTGAAACATGCTGGTTATCAATATAAACAACACATGTTTTGCGGGGCATTTGATACTGGGAGAATTCTTTACCTAGTATACTGCTGTGTAGTACTTCCAATTTCTTTTTTTTTTACCATGCATCATATAGTAAGTTTGAGAGATATCCCTCATATGAAAGTGTTTAATGGATGCTAGATCGAGTGATTGCACCTTGTCTTGCTTCAAAATATAAAGAATAATTTAAATCCTAACTGTTTAGATATAATTTTATTACAAACACAATATTATGATACATGTCAGATCAACAGAAAATTAACTAGTTGTAGACCTTTTCTCTTTCAATCCCTGAGCCAATCAGATCGCTTGAAAACTCCGCTGACCTAAAAAAAAATTTGCGAGGGTTTCCCCTTGTTTGGATGTGAGGCAAAATTTTAAGCTCCGCTATATAGCAATATAGCTGTTACTATCATCAAATTTCCCTCAGGCGCTAGAGCATGCCCTACTTACACCATCTAGCTTTAGATTCTGGCGTTGAGACCCTCAATCATCACTAAAGTAAGTAGTGATAACCAAGTGGAGACAGCCTATCTCCCTCCTAGCCTCGGATAAAGTCTTGTTGAGCTTCAGCGATAGGCACATCCACCACAACGTAAAAAAGGTATGCTCCAAATGAAACATAATAATAATAAAAGTAAGAAGAAAAGTACATAATACTCTAAGAGTAGAGTAGTATGTAGGCAAAAAAGAGACACTCACACGAAGCGAGCCAAAGAAAAGTATTACAATTACAACATCAAAGATGTTTAAAAAAGCTCGTTGTTGTTGCAAGAAAAATGCATGCATGAGCAACGTGCATAGTAGTAATAGTCGGATGTAAAGCAACATGACACAAATACGCACAACTGCAGAAGCAACAGTGGTATTATAAGTTTGCGATACAGCATAATGACTAATGTTGTTTCATATAAAGCTACAGAGGAAACACTACCAACAAAAGAAAAAGAAGAAAAAAAACGCAACAACGCAAGCATCATGAATGCATTATCACGAAAAAGGAAGCAATAATATAAGCGTTCAAAGAAGTTTTATATCATTGCGACCAGAAGAAAGGACATACTTACCACTAACCGCAGCCACAGATATACCAGAAGAGTATGGGCAATCACCGGAGACAGACCAGAGAACGAGCATGCACCAAATACAGTAGACCAGGAAAGACCAGATTAGCAGCAGCAGCAACACCAACACCATAGAAAAACCAAAGAACGAATGTTACAAGCAGAAACCAGACAAAGACCAAAGAAGTTACCACTTATCACCACCACAAATAGACCAGAGAATAAGCAATCACCAGAGATAGACCAGAGAACGAGCATACATCACAGATAGCAGACCAGAAAAGGCCAGACTAGCAGCAGCAACACCACCTGCAGCAATACCAGAAGCAACACCAGAAGCAACAATAACAACCTAGAAAAACGAACGGGCGACGCCAGAGACCAGACAAAGATTAAAGAAGTAACCGCCAAAGATAGAAACCAAAGAAGCAACCACTAGACGTGATGAACCAAAGAAGCAGACAGCAGAGATAACAGAAAAGTAATGACAGCAGCACCTACGTCAAACAGGCAAAAAATTATCGAAATCTAATAAACAAATTCGATTAGTGCTGATTTTAAGTATGTCAATGCTCGTTATCGAATGATACCTACTGTTTTCCACCTCAAAGAAGCAGTATCAAGTACTTTTGACAGTGCAAGACCGTGTTATCAGATAATAAAGTGTTATTTTCAATTAAAAAGGTTCCAAAACCAGTATGGTTTGATACTAAACGCGTTTTGCAAAAAGGATAAAAAAAACGGTGGTATGGAAAAATGAGAGGGCGACCTATCCGACGTCACGGCCAATAGTATTGGTCTCAATCTTCTGTTGTGGCAGCCGTAGTAACTGCTGCATTTTAATTTGAAATTGTGCAGTGGGTATTTTTGTATTCAAATTTGACTTGATTTCACATTCTTTAAACGTTTTTGCTAAATTTGACTATGAAAACTGTCGTTGTTATACTTTACTTTCTAATGCATCTATAAAGAGTCAATAAAGGCGCATCGAATGATGCTGGTTGCATTCAGCTTTCACACCAAAAATAATGAACAATCTGCAAAAATATGAAAACAGGTTTTTTGCCAATATGTCAAAATTTAGCATATAAAAGCTCCAGAGAAATAGTTTTCAATGTTGCGTTTTACCATTACAATCAATTTGATCTAATAAGTATCATAGAAAAAGTCTTCATTTCTCGGGTGAAAAACGCGATCGTTTGATTTTCAAGGATTTTCCCTTGCTAATACTCATGTAAAAATGAGGATTTTCATGAATTTGTAGTGACCCAAAATAAATTGAGATAAAGCATCAGTAAGTAAGGCGTAGCTAAGAAGAGACGTTTGGCCTTATTCCAAGCGTCCACAAAGCTTTGTAGCATGAGTTATCCGTGCTTCAAAATGGCTAATTTTGGACAGAATTTGACCTAAAAATAAGGCGTAATATGTTGTACTGTCAAAGAAATGAGTTAATTGCAGTTCTTTCTGTAATGAAATAGCCACCCAAACTCAACTTGATTGAAAACCAGAATTCTTAAAATAACACTCATGATGAACTCGCAATAATAAGTCGATGATAATAATCGGTTGTTGTCAACTGTATCTAAAACGAAAGCAAAAAGCTGCTGCATACAAGCATGCATCTTAGGCTACATTTACTTTCTCCTCAAGCCACCTTTTACAGTATAGCAGCATAGATGATGTTTATCGTATCACATCACATCTATGTTTACAAGTCTAGTCAATTGTGTGTGCACAGGTGCCTCAGGAACTACAATACATTCAATCTCCCTAAAGTCAAGATATCGAGATCCACCTACACTACATGAAACATATCGACTTAGGTGGCCTCTCAACAAGCTATACCAACAATCCATAAGGCCCCAGTGGCCTGCTATTTATATACCACCTCAACTTAGTAGTCATTGACCACGGATCTACCATATTTAAGCAAGCTAGATGCCCTGTAATAAAGAAGCTTTTTGCCTTCGTTTTAGATACAGTTGACAACTGATTATTATCATCGACTTATTATTACGAATTCATCATTTTTTTTAATCAAAACCTTGATTGTATCATTACTACTACTCTTACTACTACTACTTCTCAATTTTGTATACTCTGATGCCTGCTCAAAGTACCACACCCCCCTTCCGAATCTAAGCCTGCTGGAAACACTGAGCTGCGTCCTTCAGACGCCAGTGCCACCAAGGCTGTAGATATTACTGGCCCTTCTCAGTTTTTTCTCGCTGAAATGTTTCAGAAATTGAGTGGTCATGCTGGCGAAGCTCCCACTACTACTGCCAGTGAGGCGATGGACCTCGATCCCCCTTCCTCTGCTAGTTCATCTTCTAGTGATGTGGATCTTCAAGGTCGCACTGATCAGTTGAAGCTAATTGTTGACAATCAGCTCGCCGAAGTTCAGCTTCTCTCTACGACCTTGCTCCTCGAGCAAAGTGAGGAGGCCAGAGCCCAGGCCCTAGCTCGGTTGATCCAGTTGAATACGTCCATTCAAAGTATCATACAGATTCGAGATTGTTTGCTTGCATCCAAAGCTACTGCAAATGATAACCTCGTTTCTTCGGCTGCTGCTTCGTTTGGCTCATCCTCAGTCGATGGAGTCAAATCCAACAAGAGCGCCTCAGTACCGGTTTTCTTTCCCAACAACTTACCTGCATTTCAGTGGGTTGGTATGGATGAATTCGACCCCAAAAGCCCTATATTTCCTACAGTCGACGCTTGTCTGTTGAAGTTTGAGGATGTCATGTTCGCTTACAAGATGGATTTCGACAAGGAATATGCTCGCTTAGTACCACCTATGCTGTCTCCAGAACAACGTACTTGGTACGGCTCGTTCACTTCTGCTTGCACTGCTCCTGCATCGTGGAATGATTTCAAGTCGGCTATCAAGGCTCGTTATGGCATTAGCGTATTGGAAGAACGTCAACGTTGTGCGTCTGATTTGTTGAGCATTCAACTTTTGCCCGGTGAAAACGTGAAGGCCTTTCTTGATCGTTTTACTGACTTGCGTCGTCGATCCCTGGATCAAGCCCCATCCGATTACTTGTTGGCTAAGTTGTTTCTGGATGCCATTCCTTGGGTAGTCAAGGATAAGATCAACACCATCCGTCAATCCAAGGGCATCATTGATAGTTACGATGTTGACATTATCGTCAGTATCGCTCGTGAATCACTATCAACTATGACCGCAAATGAGATTGCTGCCATCTCAGCACCCGCTTTTGCTCGCACTGCTGCTGGATCTGCTGCATCACAATGGGCTCCAGTTGCGTCTCCCCGCCGCTCACATACCATGAAGGCATCATCCTCAACTACTGATAGTCCTGCCGCTGTGTCTCGTGCTGGTGTCTCTTCTGGCCGCGTGGGCAAGCCTCACTTCAAGGCTACCAAGTCGTGCACTTTCCACCATGGAAAGCCTCACAACCATGACACCTCGGAATGTAAGCTCTTCTTGGAAGAGTTGAAAAACAAAGATGGTGCCAACTCTATGCCAACCAGCAACCAAGCATCGGGTCGCCGTTACATGATGTCGCTTGCGGATGCCAAGGCATTAGATCGATGCCGTACTTGTGGTGCCCACAATTACTCTGCTGGTCCCCATGAGTGCAACACGGCTGTGCGCACTGGTGATGCTCCTACTAGTACCTTACATCGTTTTGGTATGTTGCGCCTTCAAGAGGGCGTGGTGTCGTCTGCTACCACCGCTGGTAGCACTGCTATTGTAACTGCTCCTGCTGTTGATCCTACTGTGGGCTCGTTGTCTGAGGCTGGTGCAGCCATGTTCTGCAGATACCATCCAAATAGCAAGACCCATAGCACTGACGACTGTGTTGAGCTTTTGCAAGTGATCAAAAAGAACCCTCCGCGTTCTCAATCTCGTCTTGCTGTCGAGACCAATGGTGGCCGCAGTGCCGCATTATTGTCGTCATCGTCTATTTCGTCTCCTCAGGCCCAACCTACTACTGGTAATAATTCTGTTGTTGTTCAGGAAGATCAGCAAAGTAACAACAACTCGAGTGAATCTGGTTCCTCGTTGTTGGTGCCCGCTGCTGTTGCTAAACAGAGTCGTCACGATCAAAGTGATTGCCACTCGGCTGTTGAGCCTATGGACATTGATCTACATACTGCAGTTCATGCACACAAATGTAAGGATAATCAACGTTCCATCTTGCCTGTCAATAAGTCTAATTCACTTCTTATTCCGCTTGTCGTAGAATCGCACAAGGTATATGGTGTTTTAGATACGGGATGTACATTTTCAATTTGTTCCCCTCGTTTCGCCAACCAGCTTGGTGTTCAAATCAACCGCTCTGTTCATGGTCAGGTCCAGTTAGGCCATACAGACAGTGTTAAACCTCGTATTGGCACTTGCTCACTTAAAATCTCGTGTAATAAACGCAGTTTTATTCACACATTTGAGATATTTGATTTCTTTACTGATTCGGATGATTGCCCCATGTTGCTTGGGTTGGATATCATGCCTGATCTACAGATTGGAATCACTGGCCTTGCTTCAACATGGTTTGAAGAGCTTGGACCCAGACTTCCCGACCCCATTGATCCTGACATTGAGCCTAATAACGATCCATACGGATCACCTGCTGAGCGTGTAAAGGCTTTCAAACCTATTGAACAGTTATTGGTAGAAAATGCTGCCATTGATCTTGCTACTACTCATTGTAACTTGCCTGGTGCGATTGACCAACTCGAGACAATCCCTGGTAAGGTTGCCTATCGTGCTCCCTATCCTATTCCAGTTGTCTATAAGGAAGCTGTGTCTAAGCAGTTGATGGAGTGGGAACGAGACGGTGTCATTGAGCGCAGTCCAAGTCATAATGGCTGGAATTCTCCTTTGCTCGTCGTTGCCAAAAAGAATTCTAATGGTGAATATTCGTTTCACAAGCCATGTATTGTTGCTGACGTTCGCCTACTCAACCAAATCTTGGTCTCCACTGACAAGTACATTATGCCTCGCATTGATGAAATCCATGCTCGTCACAGCCGCGCTGTCATGACAAGTTCCATCAATATCAAAAGTTTCTTCACGAGTTTCTTGGTCGATCCACGTCATCGCCACAAGTTAGCCTTTACCGATCCATTCACGCAAACGCAATGGGTCCACAGGAAGGTGTGCTTTGGAGTAAATTTCATGGGCAATTTAGCTATGCGCTTGATATCCAATTTTTTTACCGACATGCTTGATCAGGTGTCACTTTATATCGACGATTTAGGGTGCCTTACGTACACTGACTCTCTGGATGAGCACGTTGCGTTAGTCGCTGAGGTGATCCGTTGTCTGACCAAGGCTAATCTCCAAATTAACCAGGACAAGTTTGTGTTTGCTCAGCGCAGTACTCATGTGCTGGGTTGGAGCATCATTCAGAACCGCCTTGTGCCTGACGCTCGCAAATTGACCAATTTTCATCTGTGGCCTATACCTACCACTGGTAAGCAGCTGATGAAGTACTTGGGGTTTTGCAATTACTTTCGAAATGTCATCCCTGGATACAGCGAACTGGCTGTTGTATTCACACATATAACTGTTCCTGAATCATAATGTCGTAGATTGAATTGAGCAATAAACTATGCACATATGGAGCATATGTAAATAAGCTGTTCAACATGTAAACGATAATCATGATATTCACATAAGCTAAGTTTCGATAAGCTATTCTCTATATGTCAAAAGATAGCAGATAAGGAATGTAAGTAATTAACGTTGCCAAGAGCTACTAAAGATATTTAGACTGATCATCTATATCTGAAATAATTACCATTTAGCATAAGTGAGGATTGACACTAAAACTTAGCATGAGAACACCATTCTAGAGGGGTGTGTAAGCAATCCATAAATCATACATATAAATAGCAGTAGACATTCACCCTTCCCTTTTCTCTCTATCTGATTTTACGGAAAATAAAAAGACATATCCATTCTCACGTATTTCAGACAGTTACAACACTGGCAGCACCTCTCGATGCGTTGCGCAATTGTAAATCTCTTTCTGGTTTGTGGACTGATGCGCACACCAAGGCATTCAAATCGTTGCAGGATGCTCTGTCATCTCCAATCGCTCTCAGCCCAGTTGATTTTCGTTACAAGCTGCACGTCGCTACTGATGCCTCAGCTACTGCTATCGGTGGTATCATCTACTACATCAAGGATGGCGTGGTTCATTACGTTGTCATGGCGAGTCGTAAGCTTTCCCCTTCTGAAATGGCCTATTCTACCACCAAACGTGAGTTGCTTGCCATTGTCTACATGCTTACCAAATACCACAAATGGCTTTTCGGTATTGAGTTTGTCTTGCACGCAGATCATCGCTCTTTAATCTGGCTCCAAACGCAAAGTACGCCCAACATGATGCTGTTGACGTGGTATGAAAAACTGTTCTTTGATTGCAAGTATGAGCTGGTTCATATCCCTGGTACGCGTAACCTATTACCTGATGCACTCAGTCGGTTATTCACCTCTGACGATGGCGAGGGTGGCAATAACCTGGGTGGGGATAATCGTTATAACAATCAAAGTATTATGCTACCTGAAAAAAAGCGTAAACCTACGCGAAAGAACAAACATGGCTTCACCAACGCCAAAGAGTCCCAAGTCACTCAATTTTCTCTTGCTAAGCCCAATCACTCCAATCGTACGCAGTTCAAACGCAAGAAGCAATTCAACAATCAAAAGCAATTGCAGCAGCTTTCCTTTGGGATGCCAACCGAATTGGATCCACACTATTATTCCAAGGAATTGAATGATAGCAATGTTGATATTTTTGATGCGAGCACCTACAACATGCCATCTGTCAGCGCTCAAGATTTAAAGAATCAACAGACTGCTGATGCCAAAAGTTCATACAATGCTTCATCTGGTGGACAGTCAGATTGTAATGCTCTTATTTCACGTGCTATGAAATATGCTGATTACATGACTCCTCCTCCGAAGAAGGATCGTCTAGAGCTTGTTATGCGAGTGCATTTACTCGGTCATGTGGGCATCAATTCGATGGAAAAGATTTTGCACAATGATTACAAGGTACATTGGACCAACATGCGCAATGACATTGCCAGAGTAACCAAGGATTGTCATGCTTGTCAATCGCATGGTATCTACCAAGTGGGATATCATCCTCCTCGTAGTGTGTTGCCAGACAATGTGTTCGATCATATAGCTATCGATTGAGGTGATTTCGCTACGACTTCCACCTCGGGCAATAACTTCCTGCTAGTCATTGTCGATTATTTCAGTCGATTCACCATTTTACGAGCTCTTCCTGATAAGAGTCCAATCACTGTTGCAAGAGCATTGCTTAGTGTATGTTGTCTATTTGGATTTCCCAAGCGACTCACTAGTGACAATGGCTCTGAATTTGTTGGAGCATTTATGAGAGAGTTCAGTCAGATTAGTGGCATGGGTCGCTTGACCTCGTTGCCGTACGCTGCACAAGCTAATGGTGTTGTCGAAGCGTATGTGGGCATTTCGAAACGATCCATCATTAAATCATTGACACACGATGCTGCAGAACCTGAGGCATGGGATGAGTATCTCGATGTCATTCAGTACGCCATGAACATTCAATACGCTAGATTGCATCAATCGCAGCCGTTTGCTATCATGTTGTTTGGGCGTGCCCCAAATCTCTTCCAGGATTACACTCAATTGCGTAATGCTGACCAGACACCCGAGGATCCTACCAAGTGCAGTGAAATCAGGTTTAATGGATTTCACAAAAAAAAATAAAGCAAAGGTAAAATACAATAGAAATCAACTGTATTTTATTTTGTGTATAAAATGAACTGAAGATCCTGGAATTGAGTAAAAAAAAGAAGAGTATTTATACATTTGCATCTGGCTTGTAGGATTAGTGATGATAGAGAGCAATAGGTGCTGCTATTGCGATATCTGGCAAATGTTGTTGATGTTTGATTTAAAGTGGTAATCAATGCAGGAGCACTGGCCATAAGGGTCGATTTGAGTAACCTTGATGGGCTTGGGTGAGCTATCGTCATAGCATGATTTAATGTAACCTTGATGGTTTAAAGTGTGATGTTTGTTATTGAAGCATGGAATCCTTTATCTGGGATATTGTGCAACTATGGCAGCAGGGCATAGTTGTCATATTTGAATATGCTTGTTATTGATTTAATTCTATTTGGATAAAGATACCATCACCTATTACGACCATCATGGGTGTGATTGAATACACTGTGATCAGGAGTGATTCATTCACACGATGTGCGACATAAGCGTGTATCTTTACTTTAGTATTTTTAAATGGGTTTTTGATATACATTTGAGCGCTTTCATTAATAGATCCAAATAGCATGAATTTGAATGAGTGCTATTTGATGAACTTTGGTTTTCAATTAAGTTGCGTTTGGGTGGCTATTTCATTACACCAAGGAAGTCATTGATGCCCGCTTACAGAACATTAAGGATGTGGTAATCCCTGCCATCCATAAGCGTATCAAAGAAACACAATTGCGCAATCATGAGCGCTTCGAAAAGCATCACAAGATCATCGAAGAGAAGTACCCCATCAATTCAAAGGTCATGCTCTTCGACCCTGTCAGATCAACTAAACTTCACCCCAGATGGCTCGGTCCATATTTCATCAAGAACTATACTCGCAATGGTAGTTATACTTTAGCCGACATTACTGGTGAATTGCTGCCCCGTGATGTGCCTACCCAGCACATTCGCGTTGTCGATTTCTCGGACAATCATGTTACAAAAGGCTTACTTCCTCGCCACTATGAAGTGCAAGCCATCGTCAATCATCGCGTTGAAAGAAAGACTGGTCGAATGAAGTTTCTTGTCAATTGGGTAGGTTATCCGTCCTCGAAGGACAATACCTGGCAATATGAAAGCGATTTTGATTCCAAACGACCTATTCGCGACTACTGGGATCGCATTGCACCGGATCACAAGAGTCCCAATCGACTCCTTCCCAACACTGTCAATAAGCGCAAGATTTATAGTCGTCGTAAGCATGCAGGACCGTCCGTCACATTGCGTTATCCGTCGATTCCAAACTCTCGTAACCACAACATTCAGCAATAGCCGTGATCTTTTTGTCCTTGATTTGTTTTTTTTGGCCTGAATATGTTTTTTTTTACAAGGTTTTTCTTCGATCTGCTATTCCCTTTGCTGCTATTATCTTCTGATAACCTCTCCTCGTATACCCCATGTATGTTGTTTTTTTGGCACCATCTCGGTTTTTTTACTTCATATTGGTTTCCATCGCTTTGCCTGTCTACCTGTTCGTATCGCCTTCTCTTGTTTCTTGGTTCTGTCTCTTCGTTATGTGTTGTATCCTCGATTATTGCATTCGGCTCGTATGATATCCTAGTTTGTGGCTGGTCGAAAGCTGGGTGGGGGTAATGCTGCATACAAGCATGCATCTTAGGCTACATTCACCTTCTCCTCAAGCCACCTTTTACAGTGTAGCAGCATAGATGATGTTTATCGTATTACATCACATCTATGTTTACAAGTCCAGTCAATTGTGTGTGCACAGGTGCCTCAGGAACTACAATACATTCAATCTCCCTAAAGTCAAGATATCGAGATCCACCTACACTACATGAAACATATCGACTTAGGTGGCCTCTCAACAAGCTATACCAACAATCCATAAGGCCCCAGTGGCCTGCTATTTATATACCATCTCAACGTAGTAGTCATTGACCACGGATCTACCATATTTAAGCAAGCTAGATGCCCTGTAATAAAGAAGCTTTTTGCCTTCGTTTTAGATACAGTTGACAACAACCGATTATTATCATCGACTTATTATAACGAGTTCATCATGAGTGTTATTTTAAGAATTCTGGTTTTCAATCAAGCTGAGTTTGGGTGGCTATTTCATTACAGAAAGAACTGCAATTTACTTATTTCTTTGACAGTACAACATATTACGCCTTATTTTTAGGCCAAATTCTGTCCAAAATTAGCCATTTTGAAGCACGGATAACTCATGCTACAAAGCTTTGTGGACGCTTGGAATAAGGCCAAACGTCTCTTCTTAGCTACGCCTTACTTACTGATGCTTTATCTCAATTTATTTTGGGTCACTACAAATTCATGAAAATCCTCATTTTTACATGAGTATTAGCAAGGGAAAATCCTTGAAAATCAAACGATCGCGTTTTTCACCCGAGAAATGAAGACTTTTTCTATGATACTTATTAGATCAAATTGATGGTAATGGTAAAACGCAACATTGAAAACTATTTCTCTGGAGCTTTTATATGCTAAATTTTGACATATTGGCAAAAAACCTGTTTTCATATTTTTGCAGATTGTTCATTATTTTTGGTGTGAAAGCTGAATGCAACCAGCATCATTCGATGCGCCTTTATTGACTCTTTATAGATGCATTAGAAAGTAAAGTATAACAACGACAGTTTTCATAGTCAAATTTAGCAAAAACGTTTAAAGAATGTGAAATCAAGTCAAATTTGAATACAAAAATACCCACTGCACAATTTCAAATTAAAATGCAGCAGTTACTACGGCTGCCACAACAGAAGATTGAGACCAATACTATTGGCCGTGACGTCGGATAGGTCGCCCTCTCATTTTTCCATACCACCGTTTTTTTTTATCCTTTTTGCAAAACGCGTTTAGTATCAAACCATATTGGTTTTGGAACCTTTTTAATTGAAAAAGCCACTTTATTATCTGATAACACGGTCTTGCACTGTCAAAGGTACTTGATACTGCTTCTTTGAGGTGGAATACAGTAGGTATCATTCGATAACGAGCATTGACATACGTAAAATCAGCACTAATCGAATTTGTTTATTAGATTTCGATAATTTTTTGCCTGTTTGACGTAGGTGCTGCTGCCATTACTTCTCTGCTGTCTCTGCATCCTGCTTCTTTGGTTTATCATGTCTGGTGGTTATTTCTTTGGTCTCTATCTCTGGCGGTTGCTTCTTTAATCTTTGTCTAGTCTCTGGTGTCGCCCGTTCTTCGTTTTTCTAGGCTATTGTTGTTGCTTCTGGTGCCGCTTCTGGTGCCGCTTCTGGTGTTGCTGCTGCTAGTCTGGTCTTTCTTTTCCTGCTGTCTTTGTTGTATGCTGGTGTTCTGGTCTATCCCAGGTGATTGCCTATTCTCTGATCTATCGGTGGTTGTGGTAAGTGGTAAGTAACTTTTTTTTTCTTCTGGTCGCAGTGATATAAAGCTTCTCTGGATGTTTGTATTATTGCTTCCTTTCTCGTGATAATACATTCGTAATGTTTGCTATGTTGCGCTTTTTTTTTTCTTTTGTTGGCTGTGGTATGATCAGCTCAACGGGTGCTTGCAATGTTGTTGCTTCGTATTCTGCATGAACAACAAGCATGATGTGCTACTATATATCTGTATTGCCGTTGTAATACTACTTTGTTATATGGTCGTAGATTGTTGTTTGTGTTGCCTCTGTCGCTTCACATGAAACAATATTAGTCATTATGTTGTATTGCACACTTATAATACTGCTGTTGCTCCTGCAATTGTGCGTGTTTGTGTTGCTTTACATCTGACTATTATCATGTACGTTGCTCATGTATGCAGTTTTGTTGCAACAACAGCGAGCTGTTCTGAACATCTTTGATGTTGTATTTGCTGTTATGCTTTTCTTTTGACTCACTTTTTTGTGTGAGTGTCCCTTTTTTTTTATGTACATGCTACTATACTCCTATAGTAGTATGTTCTTTTCTTCTTTTCCTTTTTTCTTTTATTATGTTTCTTTCGAAGCATACCTCTTTATTACGTTGTGGTGGATGTGCCTATCGCTGAAGCTCAACAAGACTTTATCCGAGACTAGGAGATGGATAGGCTGCCTCCACTTGGTTATCACTACTTACTTTAGTGATGATTGAGGGTCTCAACGCCTGAATTTAAAGCTAGGTGGTGTAAGTAAGGCATGCTCTAGCACCTGAGGGAAATTTGATGATAGTAGCAGCTATATTGCTATATAGCGGAGCTTAAAATTTTGCCTCACATCCAAACAAGGGGAAACCCTCGCAAATTTTTTTTAGGTCATCGGAGTTTTCAAGCGATTTGATTGGCTCTGGAGTTGAAAGAGAAAAGGTCTACAACTAGTTGATTTTCTGTTGATCTGCCATTTAACATTATTTTGTCTTTTGTAATGAAAGGTCATTTAAATATATAGAATATAATTAAAGTCCAAAAGTAAGATGCAATTATTTGATCTGGCATCTATATTACACAGTTTTATGCAAGAGATATTCTCTAATAGATTCACTATGTAAGGAAATTCATATACCGTCGGTACAGCAGTACATTACGTACCAGGTCCTTCTAATGCCATATGCCTTGCCAAACCTACGGCGTTTATGATTAATCCCCAACATGTTCTAATTTCATGGGTTACTACCTTTTATCTCATATTACATTTTGGATGTATAAAAATGTTTCTGAAAAACTGTTTCCGGTTTCAAGATTTGTGTTGTGCTAGAAGGGCTACAACTGTCTATAAAGATTAAGGTATTCTTGATGGGTGGATATGTTTGTGTTGTGCAACAACATGGACAAGCTATAATAATTGAAGTGCATCTCAGCTATCTAATTGCTGAGGTTCACCAGATGTGTTAAGCGTTGTACAAGATAAATTGCTGCTTTGGCATTCAGAACTTAGTATAAATAATAGAATAACTCTTGTCTTCATCAATAAATCTTTAGTTTTTGTGTCTGATCTTATTGAAATAAGTCTTTTCTTGTTTTTATAATATCGAACATTTTTTATAAGCTACAAACAATAATCCTTTTATTCTTTGTGCTTAACAATATAGATTTATAATATAAGGAGGTATGAACTTCAGATACGTTAGTACCATATATATGATTTATACTCTAGATAAGGTGTAGGCTATAAATGACACCACAGACATGAATAGTCCTACTATTATAGACCTCTGCTAATATTACGACATTGACTACTGACGCTTGCCATAATATTTGGAGGATAAACATCAGGATCGATGCAATATAAGCTGAATGCTTCAGATGCGCACTTTACGGCCCAGGCCACACTATAATGCAAATGTCTATATTCGTGATACTACCTACAGATATTCAAAAGATTGTATTTTTTTTGGGAAAGATAGCAAATTTTGTGTTCAAAATGAATCATAAACTCAAGCCCTTATATTCCAGAAGAGAATAATATTGGATCATGAAAGCAAATACTTGCACAGATCAACGTCATTCAAGAACCCTACGAGAACCGAGATATTCTGTGAGGTTTTTAAGCACTAAATGTACGTCCTCTTCAAACCTTTGCTCAAAATCGCGATTTTGATTGCCCTCAAACTTGGGCTCACATCCAATTTTGTAGAATCACGTCTTTATTATGCACATGCTAGACTGCTTCCCCGCTGCTTATATAAGACAGATAATCTGACCACGGCTCGAAAACTGCAAAATTACTATCCATTGCATTGTACAATGATACAGCATCCACACGTTGACATTTGACATGGATAACAATGTTATAATCGAAAATATCATCGATGGACGGCTGGTTCAAAGAGGATATAATGCGTTGATGTTGAGGGCCACATTGATAGTATAAAGTATAATCTTGTGCCATTTGTATCTTGATTAGTAGAGGAAAAATTTGCCTCGCTTGATCCCAAAAGTCAAGTGTTAGCTCGAGTCGTGGTATATAAAGGAGTTCTTGAAGGTTCAGCACGATAGCACCCGAGATATCTCTGTCGTAATAGCAACGACTGATTTTCAATGTATGGACATTCAACAAGATGGACATCACTTGCAACAAGTAGGATGATATTTGCATGCTTTCAAAAGACGCGCATTTCAGATTCTCTTTGGTGCTGGCTGTAACGGGTGTGCTGGTATCGATGCATTTGGCCTTGTATTCGGCATTTGAGGGACGATCAAGTGATGATGGCGAGGTGCCTACAGGACAAAAGAGCATTGACGAAACATTGGATCCAATATAAAGGTATTTGAGCGAATGACAACGCGATAACAAGCATTCCAGTAGTTGGATCATCCGTCTCAGGCTTCTAGAATAGAATAATGTGAAATCCACGCACAATGAGTTGATAAAAGGCAGACCATGATTGAGAGTATTGGCACAAAAGAAGGGATCCCAGGTAAAACTGTTGTTGCTATTAGCAATATTAGGATACGACAAGCACGTCCGTAACTTGATAGCTTGGCCATCAATTACTTCAATGCACGGGTTCAGCCGGTTGAAACGAACGTTATCCAAATCAATCACCACGCAACCAAATAGCGGCCGATTATTTCGAAGAATATTCATGATTTCCCATAATGATATCGTCGCCTCTCTCAGCATCAAACTCGCCAATGTCATTCTCTCTGGTAATGTCACTATGCTAATCTTGACCTTTTTGAGGAAACTGATATGCCTAGTAAATGTTTTCATTGATTCAAACACACGATCGTCAACCCAATGCTTCAAAGAGGCTTCGTATAATTCCAATGTTAGTGAGTCCAGAGTTGAGAAGGTGATGCAAGACATCAACTCCGTCAAGTAATGATTATTGATATCAGGGATTCCCAGTGTCAGACTCTTCAGATACTTGAGTTGATATGGCTGTGTTTCTCTTCTCATCAGGGCTGGAAAATACGACCGAAAGTCCAATTTTTCTAGATACGGGCAGACTGAAGCAACAGATGCAAGATCCAGATTGGCTATGCCACCATTCTTTACACTGTTCATGAGAACAAGTTGCTTGAGTCTTTTGAAGTGTACCAAATATTGGATCAAATTCCGCCGATTAGCTTCGAAAGAGATGCGAAGGTATTGCAGTCGTAAATATTCAATGTTGCCGCATAACCGCATATTGTTCAGAATGTACAGACGCTCAATATCGCTGCTGGTACCATGTTGGCCGATACGGATCTCCTTAACATTTCGCAGTTGATTTAGTGAGATTTGAGATAACGTCTGCAGATGTTCTTGTGTATCATTCGTGTCAAAATAAAGTCTATTCAGATACGGCATATTTCCAATCAATTGGCGTAATTCTTGTCTCCCAAACGACCGTTGGTGGCTCTGTAATCCTTGTATTTTCAGTGTTCGAATGCAGACAGCAATGCTGGGCGAGTTGAGCAATCCTGATATTTTCTTGGGCCGATGTAATGGCAGCAGGAATTCAGAAAAGTAGATCTGTGCAGCAGTTGCATGCCATGATTTGCATACAAACATGCATTGATACTGAGATTGTTTCGATAAATACTGAAATATGATACAGTAGACTTCAGTTGGTATGTCCTTGTAGTTTGCCATTGAATGTGAATGCCCAAAAAAAAAAGGAAAAGAAATGCTGCTTGCGTCCATTTGATCTCAAGTGTGGGAAAAGCTCGTTGCGTATTTTATGCATTTTGGATAATGATGATGAACGTGGCTTGTTTCACATTACTTTATTAAGCATTTGGAGAGCGGGCACGCAAAACAGTTCATTCAACTCTTTTTCATCTTCATTTGACTGTAATGCAAGCATTAATGAAGAACTTATCCTTGCGCACGCCTTTGCGTGCAGTTTGGGAGGTAGCTGGCTATCAGACAGAGACTTTGTTGTGGCCAGCAAGCAGCAAAGCCAAAACCATCTTGTTGTTCATACCGGGAAACCCAGGTCTTGTTGAATATTACACTAGTTTCCTTCAAGGCGTTCACTCCAAGATTGACTCTTCGTCATTCGAGATCATAGGAGGTGAGAATCACCATGAGAGCAGTGTTGGAACAGGGCCATTCATCAGTCTATAGTATCGCACAAGGGTCATTCAATCAACTATCACGAAAAGAACAGTGACAATAAGACACTGTACTCTCTTGAAGATCAAATCCAGCATAAAATAGACTGCTTAGATACGCTTAGAAAGCTTAATGGACCTGACACCAAATTCATATTAATGGGCCACTCCATCGGCTCCTACATTGCTGCTGCAGTGTTGAAGAAGAGACAAAATCATGGCATTGCCAGAGTGATTGCACTATTTCCTACCTTGAGAGAGATTGCCATCACACCAAATGGCGTGAACATCACGGTAAGTAAAAATGTGGGCAGAAGTGTTAGTGGACCTGAGCCTTTGATTTTGAATGTAGCGTTTGGTGAATGCAGTACCAGCATCTGCATTTGGGATTGCAGGGTCGCTTCTTTCCTATTTAGCACCTCCAGTCCGCCAATTCCTTGTCAAGACAGCTACAGGCCAAGATGGAGAGGGATTGCAAGTAACATCTCATCAATTACTGCACAGCCACGTTTTAAAGAACGTTGTAACCATGGCACGCTTTGAAATGGAAACTGTCAAGGAGCTGGATCATGAGTTCTATACCCAGCATCTGGACAAGTTCATCATGTACTATTCTGCCAATGACAGGTGGGCCCCCAAGGATCATTATGACTACATGACAAAGCGCTTTCCACAAGGTAAGGGGGTATATCCTGCGGCCGGCTTGAGGAGGGAAGATTAATGTGTAATCTAGGCAAAATCCATCTCTGTTCTGAAAACATTCCCCATGCTTTTTGTTTGGAGACAAAGCATGTTGACTACATGATTGAAAAAGTGGGATCTTGGATACACAGTGATATTTATGGTATCAACTGAGAAGTTTGTACGCATTACATACTAATAAACAATGGTGCCTTGATCGATTTTCAAGACATTGCGCCTTGAGTGATGTCGACCTCGAGTCTTGCGAATGATTGATCTACTTATTTAGAATGTATTACCCTGCGCAATGTACTAAAACACATCCGCACTCTTCTTTCAGCTTAAAGTCAAATGTAGTGTGGCACATGGCAAAAGCGCCACCTGACGAGTTCCATGCCCTACCACCGCAATTTCATGCCCAAATCGATGAACATGGACATCAAACTGACCTTCAAACGGAAAACGAGGGCAAGGCATTTTGTTCTCAACTTGAATCGTCTACAACATAACCAATGGGTCCTGCAAAGAATGCGGATATACCTGGTATATTCTCAAGAAGCATTGAAGGACCATGCCAAAAGGCCTCAACTATTCTAGGCTTTTTATCCTTCTTTTTCAGACGAAATATTGTGATAATGAATGTGCTCAAATGTTGTTGGATTCTTGGTACCACAAGATTCTCCCCAGCCCTGACGACACGGCCATTATTTGGCATCGAAAGATAGCACCAATGACGACGCTTAGCCCGCTCCAAAATAAATCCAAACCAATCGCATGTTTTGATCTCAAACTTTAATATTTATATTTTCAGCCAAGGGCTCGGTAAGCAGCTTTTGCTTTTCTTCCCCACACACATACAAAAATGAACGACCAAGAGCTTGAGATACTGTACACACAGCAACTGAGCGAAGAATTGATTCTGCAGACCAGAGGAAAGATCAACCAGTTCATCGAGACGCATCCTCACAGCTTTGGCATGGACATGCTCTTTACTGCTTCTGTCAACAACGGAAGCATGCCAGAGGAGTTGGCCAAATTATACCAAGAAGTGTGTTCCTACTACAACGACAATGCAATTCAGTTTGACCATGTCTGGGTAGGTTGTTTCTATGCACAGCGACGGTGCCATCATCTAATGCTGTGTTCTTTCTTACAAGAGTTGGTCGTTTATTTGGAGACAGCAGCTTGCCTACAAGAACCTAGCAGCAAATTATGGTTTGGAGCAGATTGTCAACACATCGCATCCCAGAGCTAGAAAGGCAGTAAAGCAGATATACTTGGAAGGACTGGATCAGTACATGCAATGGTTTCCCTGGAGCTGGTTCTCCACCATGCAGTTTATTGGAGCAGGTGGATTTTCCGCAGTGTATGCTGCTCTCATGAGCCCACCTTACGACGTCGAGCCTGTTAAAGTGTCACTCAAAGTAGTGGACGACAAGATCTTGAATGAGGTATATAATTTGGGGGATGGGGATAATGTGATACAGCTTTTATATATTCATACTCACAACAAATCACATCAAAAGATCTCCGTTCAATCAAAAGCATTCCTGCCATTGCTCTTTCAGGGGCTCACTGTATGCGAAAGCACGGGCGACTTGATGATGGTCATGAAGATGAGCAACGACGGCAATTTGGAGGATCATATGCAGCAGTTGCCACTGGGAGATTTGGATCTAAAGACAATTACAGGCACCATTTTGCGACTCTCGGTAAATTTGGCCGATTTACACAAAGCTGGACTGTGCCACCGAAATGTTCATCCAAGGAATATCATGTGTACCGACAGCGATTACTTTCTAGTTGACTATCGATTTTCCACCCCATCCAAAGAGTCTTCGTCGGTCACCGCACTTACCAAAGCAGTCTATGGACGGTTACCCTATATTGCACCTGAAGTCAGACGTGGAGTGTACACCGAGAAATCTGACATCTATAGTCTGGGAATTATCATTTGGCAATTAGTGAGTAAAGTGATTTTCCCATCTCCTGATGTCCTGCTGGATGCACACAGCGCGCATGGTGGATTTGCAGAAAATGCGTATCGTATTGAGCCTGTGCCTGGATTGCCAGATTGGTATGAGAAACTCTATGTGTCTTGTCTAGAACCCAAACCAGAGAACCGACCCACAGCAGCTGAATTGTGCGAGTTATTACAGATCATTCACGACAATTTGGATATCTCGGTGCCATTAGAGAGAGATGTGACGGAATACATTGTAGCAAGACGTGCAGAAGTGGCAGATCATTTGAGAACATACTCTAAAATCAAGGGCATCGTGTCAGCATCTACAACAAGATTATACACCTTAACCAATGTGCCATCCACCGAGCATTATCTTATGCTGCCATTTTCCAGCAAGCTGTTCAGCGTACCTGAATGGCAGCAATACCAAATCCTCCAACAACATCATCAATATGCATTAATACAACAAGCTCAATCCACAATTACACCAAGTGACATATTTGCAAGTCTAGAAGCAGCACACTTGCTAGTGTAAAATGTACAGTCTTCAGGGGATGGGATCATCCTATCCAGTAATAAAACTTATATATTTTTCGATGGCCTGGTAAGCCCACAACTCAAAAGAGGCTATTTACATGTTGTTTTGTTGCATTTACTGCCAAGCAAGTGCTATGGATCGCACGCATAGCTCCCGGATCCACGATGGGCACGATGTTCCAAAGTGTCAACAGAGAGATTTTGTGATTTAATCGCACTAGCACTCCTATGCACCTTGAGGTTCATGTTAAAGAATCCTATGCGAGCAAATGACACTAGTTGGGAGCTTTCTATATACGGCTCATCCACAAAATGCTAATCTTGTCTTTGTTTGTTTATATGTGTGGTTGATGGCTTTTTCTAACATGTCCCTTTTTCTTCATTTTTACCCATTGATCCCTTTACTTTATCTTAAAAGGTATCACGTATGCATAAGCCCCCCCCCCCCTCTTCTGGCTACGTATGGCATCAAAAGTTGGCCATATTGATTGTCGGAACCAAAGGAGGATAACCATCACATCCAAGCACGAAGATTAAGCATGTTTCACGTAGTGCATCCCGGGAAGCACTCGATCCAAAAAAATTTTGAATGAGCGTTCTTGATCCCATAGGGTCAGTCGCATGTCAATCTTGACCTATTTGGATGGAGCAAAAACGTCACGAACTGAAGGGTGTGTGATTCAAAATAGGACGTAAAAAATCTCTTTGCTCTTTTGTCCTCTGCACCTACAAATATAACAAAATGTCTTGGGATCCTTCTGCAGCTGGTTTTTCTACAGATTTCTCCAATGGTGATGTCCAAAACGACTTTGCTTCTGGCAATGTTCAATCTGAATACAGTAACAATGGTGGTAATCAAGGTGGCTACGGTGGTGGTCAACAGCACTCTGAACGCCCTCCTCGCCCTGAACCTACTGAGGAGCAACTTCAACACAGAAGTTACAACTGGGCTTCTAATCGTGCTCGTTATGAATTCAATGAAAATGCTGTTGATGAGCATGGCATGGCTCCTCGTGATGCTACTCTTGAAGCTGAACTCTTTGAAGAAAACTCTGCTGAGCAACAGACTAGTCTTGATTTCTCCAAGTATGAAAAGATTCCTGTTCGCGTCGAACGTGGTACCGCTCCTCCTCCTATCAAAAACGTAAGCTTGATTGGTTTATTGCGGAAAAAACAGTTGCTAATATATCAATGTAGTTTGATGAAGCCGATCTCCATCCTGTCATGAAGGAAAATGTCAAACTCGCAAAGTACTCTAACCCTACTCCTGTCCAGGTAATTTAAATTGAAGAATTAATTGTGTTCGCATGTACTAATTGCTGCCTATAGACTTACTCTATTCCTATCGTTACTAGCGGTAAGGATTTGATGGCATGTGCTCAAACCGGTAAGTTTCAGTGTTCATTGTTGTGCATGGCGTAAGGTACTGATGGGTATACATACATATAGGTTCCGGTAAGACCGCTGCCTTCTTGATCCCTACTCTCTCTGCTCTTTTTGCCAACGCCAAGGAACTCCAAAAGCCTCGTCCTGCTCCTTACGAGTACAGAACCTACAAGGCTGAACCCCTTGTTCTCATCATTGCTCCTACCCGTGAGCTGTGTTCTCAAATTTTTGATGAATGCAGAAGAGTAAGTGTTGTTGCTGTGCATTGTATATACAACATGAGACTCACCATTCCATAGTTCACCTACAGATCCTCCCTTAGACCTTGGTAAGTGATGTTTAGTGTTATATTACGGGTTAGTGGTATATAATTTTTTTTTGCTACTAGTGCTGTTTATGGTGGTGCTGACTCTATTGGTCAAATTCGTCAACTTGAACGTGGTTGTGATGTCTTGGCTGCTGCTCCCGGTCGTCTTATGGATTTCATTCAACGTGGTAAGATTGGTCTCGGTAGAGTCAAGTATCTCATTTTGGATGAAGCCGACAGAATGTTGGACATGGGTTTCGAAGCTGTTATTCGTGCTATTGCTCAAAAGAACGGTATGCCTCAAGACAGACAAACTCTCTTGTTTTCTGCTACCTTCCCTCGTGCCATCCGTGTCCTTGCTCGTGATTTCTTGCGTCCTGACTATCTCTTCTTGAAGGTCGGTCGTGTTGGTGGTACATCTAATGATATTACTCAAAAGGTAAGCGAGCGTCAACTACTATTACACAAGATTACCCAGTGTGTCTAACATGCGCTTGCCATTACAGATCATTTATGTCGAGGAAGATGAAAAGAGAGAGGCTCTCCGTACCTTGTTGAACTCTCAACCTCCTAGCCGTACCCTTATTTTCGTTGAAACCAAGAGAAGTGCTGATAGTTTGGATCACTACCTCTATGAACGCTCTTTCCCTTCCACTTCCATCCACGGTGACCGTACTCAAATGGAAAGAGAAGATGCCCTCCTTGCTTTCAAGAGAGGCAAGTGTCCCATCTTGGTTGCCACTGCCGTTGCTGCTCGTGGTATTGATATCCGTAATGTCATGCACGTTATCAACTACGATATGCCTCAAGACATGGATGAATACATTCATCGTATCGGTCGTACCGCTCGTGTCGGTAAATCTGGTCTGGCTACCTCGTTCTACAATGAGAGAAGTGATTTGCTAGCTCCTGAGCTTACCAAGCTGTTGAAGGAATGTAAGCAAGTAATTCCTGACTTCCTCCAACCCTATGTTACCGAAGATATGACTTTTGATGAAGATCTCGATGATAACGATGTGCAAGCTCCTTCTTATGCCGGTCAAGAGTACGTTCCTATGGAGAGAAATGCTCCTGGTGCTCCTCAAGGTTATAACAATGCTGACGCCACTGGCGCTGCTGATGGTGCCTGGGATAGTGGAAATGGCGGTGGTGGCAACAGTGGCCGTCCTGGTGACTGGAACTGTCCTGACTGTGGTATCTCCAACTTTGCCTCTCGTTATGAATGCTTCAAGTGTTCTACTCCTAGACCTGAAGGTGCCGGTGGTGATGCTGGTGGTAGACAAAGCAATAGTCGCCCTGGTGATTGGAACTGTCCTGACTGTGGTATCTCCAACTTTGCCTCTCGTTATGAGTGCTTCAAGTGTTCTACTCCTAGACCTGAAGGTGCTGGTGGTGATGCTGGTGAAAGACGTGGTCCTCGTCCTAGAAGAGATGGTGATTGGGATTGTTCTGGGTAAGTCAATCGAGTGTTTTTTTTGGGTTCAACGCATACATGTACTTACAATGCTATCTGTCTATAGCTGTTCCGCTGTCAACTTTGCCAACAGAACTGAATGTTTTAGATGTCATGCTCCTAAGGAAGGCGGTGATAGCTATGGCGGCGATGCTTCTTATGGTTATGATAACTCTACTCCTGCTGATACAAACACCAACTTTGATTCTACCAACTGGGACTCTGCCGCTCAAGCTGGTTGGGGCGCCTCTGAGCCTGCTGCCGCTGCTCCTGCCGCTTCCTCTGGTGGATGGGGCGAGCCTGCCGCTGCTCCCGCCGCTACACCATCGCCTGCTCCTGCTGCTGCCGCTGGTGGTTGGGGTGCTCCCGAGCCTGCTGCTCCTGCCGCTTCCTCTGGTGGATGGGGCGAGCCTGCCGCTGCTCCCGCCGCTACACCATCGCCTGCTCCTGCTGCTGCCGCTGGTGGTTGGGGTGCTCCCGAGCCTGCTGCTCCCGCTGCTTCATCTGGCGGATGGGGCGAGCCTTCTCCTGCCGCTGCTGCTCCCGCCGCTACACCATCGCCTGCTCCTGCTGCTGCCGCTGGTGGTTGGGGTGCTCCCGAGCCTGCTGCTCCCGCTGCTTCATCTGGCGGATGGGGCGAGCCTTCTCCTGCCGCTGCTGCTCCAGCACCTGCTCAACCTCCTGCTGCCCAATCGCCCGCACCTGCTGCTAAGCCTACTCCTCCTCCTGCCACTGCTGCTCCCGCTGATGATGGATGGGGTAGCGCTCCTCCTATCGCTGCTGGCGGATGGGGTGATGCTCCTTCTACCACTAATGGAGCTGGCTGGTAAAATTAAACCTAAGAGCAATCATCAATTCAATGTAAATTATATATTAGCTCGTTAATGCATCATGATTCTAAACCAAAAATTAAAAATACGAAAAAAAAAAAAAATCACATATTCAGCCATATAAATTTCGCCATTCATCGTCTCACAAACTACACACATGAATAAAAAGCAAATGCTTGCATTTGTATAGATAAATTGTTGCAAATGGTCATTATTTTTTTATTTTGTACAGAAACTATAAATTTATTCAGCCTTGAGAACTTGCTCTAATGTCTCGACAGCATTCTTCTCGATGATCAATTTTTCATAAGTCATTAAATCCAACACATTGGTCTCCTCTACATGAATCACTTCGCAATTGGGAATGTTACGAGCAGCTAATTCAATGTTGGCGTTGCAATCGTCAATGATAACTAAAGTTCTGGGTGATCCATAAGTTGTATCCAAAATATTCTTCAATTCACGAGTCTTGGGTGTTGGGAGATCTTGAAGGGATTCGACCACAATGAGTTGATCTTGGGCATATTTAGCACTGAGGGCAACACGAAGGCCTAATTCTTGAACCTTTCTGGGCAATTCTGTGCTGTGATCTCTAGGCTTGGGTCCAAAAGCAATACCACCACCTGTCATATGAGGTGCTTTGCCATCACCTTGTCTGGCCTTACCACGACCCTTTTGAGGAGCAGTCTTCTTACCACTACCACGAACGTCAGCACGGCCCTTGGTAGAGCTTGTGCCTTGACGCATGGCATCTCTTTGCCATACAACTACACGATGTAAAATATCTCTACGAATGGGTGCTCCAAACACAGTTTTGTCCAAGTCGATGATGGATACTGGCTCATTTGTCTTGAATTCACGGAGAAACGCTTGGATGGTTGTAGGGAAGACTATCAAAACACATTTAGTATGAGGGACTATTGCTATTCATTTCTATCCATATCTCACCTTTTGGTGCAGTTTCAACAGCTGAAGCAAAAGCTCTCTTTTGAATAGGTGCTGTCTAAAATGAAGCCAGGGTGATGAGTACATTGAATGGCGAGCCATGAGCTGTCAACTTTATGTAATTACCTTGAACAAGACGGAAGCATTGGCAAGTGATTTCACAAAAGACATGTTGATGATGGTTTTGTAGTATAAATATGTTACAAGAATAAAACAATTGCTGTTTGTATCCTTGACAGGATCTCCAAATATAAAAAAAAAAGAGGCACCTGGGGTTAGGTTTTCTAGTCACATAAAATCAAACATTGGACGGGGTATAGCAGTAGAAAGGACTGAAGGGGGAGGTCCATTTCACTGGAGTAAATGCTTGTCAGGTGTATTTTACGATTTCATCAAAGAATAATTCTTTCAAGACTTTAGTTATCGACGACTACGTCTATTCTTGTGATGAAATCTGGCAAACAGGCGCTTTAACATCTGGTTCTACAAATGAGACTTAGTGAAGATCCATCTATTATAGATCCATAATTCTACAGATACCTCTATTCCGTACAAGTGTGTTTATGCTTCGGATGGCTCTCTACCTTCGCTTCGCTTCGGTGAAAATCAACCTGCACAGCGGCAGTTCGCGCTACTAATTGCCCTTGCTCATCTTGTCGAAATACCGCCACTTCATTTTAATCCTCCAGTTTCACAAGAGAACCTTTCATATTACTATAGATCTGGCTCTGGTGTGATGCTCCGTTTCCGTATACACATGGCTACTTCATATACGGGCAAGCAGTATACTGGTATTGCCATCTTTCTAGTCAAACACATGCCTAATACAGCAAAATCTGGGTGCATTTGACATGTGTTTTCTCGTGTTAGGAGCTGTTTCAGACTGCCAAAATAGCACCAAATTACTAGTCTGATGCAGCAGTAACTTTCTGGCATCTTTGCTCAACTTTTTTTGGGATTGTCAAAAATTGACCAAAAACCCATGAGGGATACCTCATGGTTTTCATGAAAAATCAAACGATCGCGTTTTTTGCCTTGAAAATGAAGACTTTTACTATGTTATGTATTATATCCAAATGTTCCTCTCGATCTAAGGCAACCCCTGAAATCATCGTTGTGAGACTTTGATATGATGTTTTGGCCAAAAACCTCATTATATATTTTCTAAAATTGCTCAATAAGTTTATCCAAAACATCTATCTTACTTAGCATCATTGGATGCGCCTTGAAAAACACTCCAAGAAAGCTTAAAGAAGTATAGGTTGATTATCAGATTTTATATAATCAAATCTGACAAAATATATATATATATATATATATTTTAAATTTTGTTTATTGATTGAGCCGCGTACACCAAAAGTAGGAGGTCATGGCGAAGAGGCGGGTGCAATTTAGATGTGAACATACGGATAAAATATAAGATAAAATATACTAAAAAATAATAATAATAATAATAATAATAATAAATAAACTACCTATTAGACAGTTTATGTTACAGTTGAGAGTGACTCTGATCTTCTGCAATGATCTGATGGACAATGCTTCGGACCCGGCTCAAGATAGCTGTATGATCAATAGGAACATGGTCAAATATAAATCGCATGTGGGCAAGCCACAGACAAAATATATCAATCAAGTCGAAAATCTACAAACCCAGAGCAGACTATGATACTGAGTTTGAAATACTTTTGGCTGATGGGGCCAACTGGCAAACTCAATGCTCTCTTCTAATCATCAAGGCATGCTTTTGAAGCTAACGGAAAGTAGGTGGCGAATATCATAATACCATCGTTAATCATGATACTTTCTTTTGAAGTCTTGTATTTAACAACGCCAGTCTGTCGAAATACTTTCTAGATCAACTTCTTTGCTTTTTAAGGCTTTGAAAATGTCTAGTAGGGATAATATTTGTAGCGCAATGTATTGGAGCTTTTAGAACATACACAAACTGAGCAGCAGTGAACGTGTGAAGAACAAAGACATTGATAGTATACCTAGATCAATGCATGACATAAACAGTGGGATACAATGAAAAGACATCAATTAATCATTGTAAATGTTAAATTTTGAATAGCAATTACTTGTGAGAAAGCGTCAAATCAGCTTGAAATTTCAGATTTATTCAAGGATAGTATGAGCTACTGATACTGCCGCATCACTCTAGCGATACGAGTGAGCCTGTCCAGCTCTTTCAGGGCCTGGAGTCGCATGTCTCGTACCTCTTGGATCTTCTGCGTTAGATTGGGTTGCTGTTGCTGCTGTTGCCGCTCTTGCATTCGTTGTCCTTCAAGCATCTTTAACATCTGATGATCCAATTGATCGACCAAGAGAGCCAAGCCCTTGATTTCAAGTTCTGTTGGGTTGTTATTTGGAGATGTCATACTGGTATGAAATGTTTGTAAGATGATCTAGCAAAACCAACCATATACAAGCGCTTTATATATCTGATAATCCAGCACAAAGAGCCCATGACATTATAGATCATCGGTGAATGCACTTATTAAGAATCTTGTTGGTGTTATTGTTACATTTTCATATCGCGTTGAATCAAAACATTTGAGGGGGGGGGGGGTTTGACAGAACCTAAAATGAATCACAGCAAGAGATTTTCATGTCACATGAGATTAGGATGATACACAAGGAACATCGCGCTTGAATTTAGTAGGCAAAGAAGGCTATTATTATATCATTATCCCCTTTCTTGGCTTTCTTATTTATTATCTCTTGAGCAGCCATGAACGAGGCCAATATACTCAATTTCGAGCTAGGACCCGAGAACGAGCTTCAGCTCGTCAAGCAGTTCAAATCATTTCAGCGACAATATCTCGCTGTCTATCTCTTGGTGATGGGTAGGTTCTTTTGAGGAGAGCATCATGTAGCTGGCTAAAAGGCTAACATACGCAACATGACAAAGGTGCCGATTGGATACAAGGCCCTTATCTATACAAACTATACAACTCGTATGGTCTTGATTTGACCCAGATCGCCATGTTGTTTTTAACAGGTTTTGTCAGTGGTGCTTTTGCAGGAACTGCAGTTGGATCTCTTGCGGATACATGGTATGTATAAGCTCACAAAAAATTGTGGGCTTCCATTAACAGCGGATATTAGGGGACGCAAGCGTATATGCATTGTATTTTGTTGTACACTATTGACAGCACTCTCGCTTCGTCTTGTCAATGCATACATGCTATTGTTCTTATCTCATGTGTTATCTGGATTGGCGACAGCATTGATGTATAGTGTGTTTGAATCATGGTATGTCTCTGAACACACTAGCCGAGGATTTCCCGCAGAATGGCGTGCTCGCACATTTGCCTTGGCAACACTATTGAATAGTGTGGTAGCTATAGTGGCAGGTATATTGGCCAACTCATTGGTGAATATATGGGGATTTAAAGCTCCCTATGTTGCATCCATGCTTTTAGTCTGTTTCGTTGCCACTACTGTTGTTAGCACGTGGACTGAAAATTATGGCAGCAATAATCAATCGGTAAGTTGGAGCATTATGTGTGTCTCTGCGTGTGTGTCTGTGTGGTTGTATGGCTGACCATTCTGCATGTTTGTGTAGAAGGATGTCAATCTGTTAAAGACATTGATCACAGGTCTTGTTACCATGGCCAAGAGCAGAAACATTTTGGTGATTGGCACGGCACAGACATTTTTCGAGTGCTCCATGTATATCTTTGTGCTACTGTATACACCAGCTATCGAGGAATCTATCAACAATGCAGCTGGATCGTCATCTACTAATGTGCCGCTGGGATATCTCTTCTCTACCATGATGTTGGCGGTCATGGTGGGCTCATTGACTTTTCAAGTAATGGAAACGCAGGCTAAGAAGGGCCCTCGATTCTGTATGCAGTTCACAGAGGACCGATTACTGACACTGGCATTGGCATTTGCTTCATGTGCCTTTATGCTGATGGCCTATCAGGGCCACGCCTCCGTAAGCATAATTCGAGACAAATATACGCATCCTTTCTAACGGCAATGCTCTTGCGCAGACCTCCACCTTGTTACTAGCATATCATATCTTTGAATTCACCACTGGTTTGTACTATCCCTCCATCTCTTCATTGAAGGCTGATGCTATTCCAGAAGAGACAAGAGCAGCCGTCATGACACTGCTGAGAATACCCATGAATTTAGCTGTTGGTGTCATCATGTGGCATGTAAGTTTGATGATCCATGTAGATAGGACATCCAACTCATCGTCTTGCTTTTTTTTTTTACAGGTGGACGACATGCCAGCCTCTATGCTATTCTCTATTTGTGGCATCATGACATCTGTTGGCTCTTTCCTCGTCATTGCTTTCTACCGTCCGTAGGATCTGTTCATTGAATTCGTATATATACCACTTTTTCTTTTTCATCACTTTTAATTGTAACATGCAAGACTATAAAAACAACAGCTGTATTCAACGCAAAACAAATTTATTACATCCTTGATAAGGCCACTCGCTTGCTGTAAGGAGAGAGCGACCTCTCTCGCTTGGGTGGAGACGGGGTTCTTTGTCTACTGCTAGTCATGGAGCCTCTTGTTCTGTCGTCATGGCGTCTGCTTGGTGATCTTTCTCGCTCTCTGTCTTGATAACGTACAGAGTCTCTTTCTCTACAATCATCATCGTCGTAGCTTCTTCTACTGCTACCGCCGTGGTGTCGAGACGATCTTGTTCTGCTGGTGTCTCTGTCATCATGATCACGTCTACTTTTGCTACTGCGATGACTGTGATGGCGCTCCTCTCTATCACGCTTTTCTCCATCACGACGGCTACTGCTACGATGGTGGCGACGATGTTTGGATGATCTCTCTTCGTCTTCACTGTCATCACGACTATGGTGTCGATGATGCTTCTTTCTTTTCTCGCTCTTGTGATGCTTGTGATGTTTCTTTGATCTCCTCTTGTCTTTTTCCTCGTCTTCACTATCGCTGTCTGCGTTGGCTGGTGTAGTTGAAGCAAAGGATCGACCTCCTCCATTCATGACCTCGACGGCATTGCTGCCAGTAATGGATTGCTGGTTTTGAGGAAAGCGATTGGATGATTTGCCGTACCCTAATCCTTTCTCTGATGCGTTGAAGGTAGATTGCTCATTATCGGAATCATCGTCCTTGTTCAAGGCGTGCTTAAGATCGTCTGCTGTTACATGGCTCTCCAATGTCTTCTTTTTACGAACGCCACTACAAAAAAAAATGAATAAGATGGCCCAACCTTTGAATAGCATTACATACAGTGCAACAGCCATGGCTTCAGCTTCAGCTTCTTTGATTCTCGCCAACTCGTCTGCATTTGCCTTTGCTTTTGCTTCATCTGAGCCTTCTTTAGCATACCAAGTCAAGTCTTTGCCTACAAGCACTGTATGAGTTTATGTAATGATATACACTATTGTTGAATTACCTTTCTGCCAGCGACCTACAGGTGCCATCAATGAATGGCCAAGGTAATTTTCACGATGTTTGTCGTCTTTCACATCGTCCCATTTAAACTAGCAACCAAACATGTCAGTACATTCCACACGCTGATGTTGCAAGGCATTTACCTGATCTTTGCCACCGCGAGTGCCTCCTCTAGTAGGATGAAACATCTTTATACAATTGTTATAATGCTGAAAGAAGAATTTTAGCACTAATCATCCACTGGCCTTTTGTTGACTGAATGAGCTTCAAATCAAAGACGCAGCAACGGAAATCTGCTCGGTGAAAATGAGTGCACATCTAGCTTAAATAACGTCTCATTTATTTCAAATATCTAATAGTTGACGGCAGTTTTAATGGCATCATAACATCTAATCATACTGGGAACATAAAACTTTTCAAACACGAGAGGGAAAGGTGTATCCCAACCACAAACTCGCTGAACAGGTGCCTCCAAGTTCAAGAAGCAATGCTCCATGACGGTAGCAGCAACCTCAGCACCCACACCGGCCGTTTTAGGAGCCTCATGAGCGACCACTAATCTACCCGTCTTCTTGACTGATTCAACAACAGTTTCAACATCCCAGGGCATGATGGTACGTAAATCAATGAGTTCACAACTTAGGCCAGGCATCTTCTTTTCGGCCAACTGTATTGCGTTCTCGAGTGTGTAGATCTGAGAGCCATAGCCGACAATCGTGACATCTTTACCCTTCTTGATTACTTCAGCTTTGCCCAAAGGCAACTCATAATCTGCAACAGGTACTTCCTCCACAGCAGCACGGTATAGGATTTTGGGCTCGAAAAAGATGACTGGATTTCTGTCACGTATGGATGCTAAGAGTAGACCTTTGGCTTGGATTGGACTTCTGGGTGTAACAACCTAAATGAGAAGGGAACAATCGTGAGAAAAAAATGGCATGCTATTGTGAGAAAATTTTATAGAAACCTTTAATCCCGGAGCATGCGTAAAGAAGGCTTCAGGACTTTGAGAATGGTAATGACCACCATGGCCCACTGCAGATGAAGGTGATCGAATGGTCAAACCACCTACGTTGAACTGGTTGCCGGAGCGATATCTGAACTTGGCGGCTTCATTGACGATCTATGGATTTGATGGATGGAGGGTCAATTTCAATCTTATCTCATCTACTTGTGTTCTTCCTCCTACCTGATCAAAAGCAGGAAAGATGTAATCGGCAAACTGGATCTCGGCAATGGCTGTATGGCCTACAGAGGCCATACCGACAGCAAAACCGGCAATACCTTGCTCTGTAAGAGGTGTGTTGAATACTCGATCTCTACCAAATTGTTCAGCGAGGCCGGATGTAGCTCTGAACACACCACCGAATGATACATCCTCGCCAAATACAACTACAAAGGAAAGGGTCTTGTCAATGGGCTATTCTCGAGCAATACCATGCTCACACTTACCAGCTCTCTCATCTGTGGTCAATGCAATGGACATGGCATCGTTCACTGCTTGAAACAAGTTCATCTTTCTGGTTTCACTGTTATTAGCACTCATGTGAGCCAGTTCAGGAGAGCGAAATGCCTCCTCAGGCTCTCTCTTTAGCAAATGAGAGAATGCTACACCTTGTTGGATGCCATCATTGACCTGAGCAGTGGCTGCATAAGTTCGGCGCTAGTATAAATCATTGAATAAAGGCTTGGTGATCAGTGCAGTGGAATGACATACCAACAGAGGAGCACTTTGCTTGATGGCTTTGTTTAAAGAGAGCATTTTTTGTTTGAAACAGTGAATAAATCAAGAACAAGAAGAAAAAGATGTTTAGGAAGATGCAAACGAGAAAGTGAAAGATATGGCAAATAACACGAAAAGCGTGGGAAGTTTTTTTTTTTTTTTTTTTTTTTTTCAAGAGGTACACCCACTTTGGTAATCAATGTGTATAATAAGATGCTGATTTGACAGGTACATGTATATATATATAGAGAGAGAGAGAGAGAGTGTGTGTGTGTGTGGTTTATTATATATATATACAGGCAAGAAAAAAAAGGAGCAACAGGTATCTAGACTTTCAGTTCGTTGAACTCTAGCTCTTCAACAGATCTACACAGTAATAAAACTGCACCGAATTGTATATCTTTCTCCCATGATGCTCGATCTGAGAATGTCTTTCGCTTCGGTGCATTTTTCACCGCCTTCCACTTTCTGTCTGTCATTTCAAAGTTGGCAATCATCGCTGCTTCCTCTGTGCTTAGTCGTCGAAGCCGCTTATCGAACTTTTCCTTCTTGGATACATCTGTCTTGTGCACATGATAGAATCGCCACATTTCAGGTGCTGTGACATTTTTGAATTTGCCCTCTGCCCTCTTCCATCGCTCTGTCTGATTCGCATATCGAGTAGATTCGTAAAATGACAGAATGGCTATATTCGCCTCGCTCTTGCCAGCCGATCCTCCAGGATTCAGGTGAAGTGAATTCAGTCGAATCGATTTGAAATTGTGTTCTGGCATGCGAATAACGACAAATGCTGATCGGCGGGGGTTCTCTTGCGTACAGTTGGTAATCCATAACTTGTCCAGGTATAGACAACTCTTTGCAACGTAATCCATCAAATGGTCTCCTAGCACCGCATCCTTCAGCCTAAGGCTCTTGATAAGGTATTTCGTGTCTGATGCTTTCTCTATGGATCGACCTGTCGTCACTAACGCATGCGATACACCAAACGTCTCGAGTGCAGGACAATTATCCAACAGCAGATCCAGTCTAAATCCATTTTTCAGGGGCACATCGCAATCCAACTCCAAATGGGTTAAATGGGTGCAAAATTTCAGGTTTTTGAATAGTGCCACATCCGACTTTTTGCCTGTCCATGACCACTTGAGATTGGCGTTTGACAAGAGGCCTGTTTGTGCTGTCACTGCTTTGAACGATGAAGCGGGATCGATGGTGGACCACCAAGCGTAGTCTGTCATCTCCACCTTGACGTTGTCTTGATGAATGTCGGCTATTTCCTGGAAAAATGCATCGTAGGGAAAGGGAAACACTGAGGTGCTGATTCGTCTAAATCGAATCTTTTTCAAAAAGATGCACAGCTGAGCAAATCCCATGCAAGCGTCCATCGATTGTTCGTATAATTCAATGGTTACATTTTCGTTGTAAAACCAGTCAAATGTCATGTCAAAATCCAGTTCCTCCACACGATAGAAGGCCAGGCTCAAAAATGTAATCATACGCCAATTCTTTAAATGCACATCATCCAGCGTCAACGACTGAGCCGAGGTGAAGAGGGGAAACGTCGTCGTGGAACTCATATCGTTTTCTTGCAGCGGCAGTGTGAGACATCCCAGGGTCAAGTGCTTCAATCGAGGTAACTGTGCCCCCAACGCCATGATCATCTTTACATTGATATTGTTGTGTGTGGTGCCTCGAATCACTAGTGTTTCGAGCTTGGGCATGCGGCTCCACAACGACGTTGTCAATAAGCTGCTGTTCAGCAGATGCTCTGTTGCTTGGCCGCTGATAGCGAGGTACGTGAGTTGCGCATTGAGAGTGGTTTGGTCGGTGATGAGAGGCTGAAAGATGAATTTTCGAGTAAACATGGGGAATTGGCGTATACACTTCATCTGAGCAAACTTTTCGGAATATCGCATGTACTGCCAGAGATCAGGGTCAAAGTCTAAAATCTCGAGGTGCGTAAAGTAGTCTGGAAACGTTTCAAATTCATCGCGCGTGAGGCCAACATGGCATCCCTTGGTACTGTGGTCGAATACAAGCTCTTTGACGTGATGGCCCAGTGAATCCTGAATGGTGGCTGAACTCTTGATGGAACGGTAAAAGAGTCGAAACTGGTGGCGGGTATGTATATGTACTCGTGTGTAGAGAAGATCCAGGAAGGGTTCGTACCATGCATAGCAGACACGGATACATGCGCCTTGTTCTGCCAGTGTCAAGTATGAGCCTACTTTTTTGATGATCTCTGTGGGGAGATACATGGTATTGGACAATGAATGTTGAAACTGCTGCAAACGATTGAAATGAGGGAGAAAGAGAGAAATAAAGAGGTGCGTATGTCTAGATGAGTGTGTCGGTGGATTAAGCGCGCAAGTGTGTGCGTATGTGCGTGCAGTGAAGGGTCACTAAAATGTATGAATCGTGTCAAGTAATGGAACTATGAAAAGAAAATTATTTTTCAATACAGTGGTAGCTTTCACTTTTTTCAATGTACACCGCTGATTGGGACCGGATATGTGGTGAATGGTATGAGGGGGTCGATTGTGGAAAGGCATTAAAGTCAAGTGTGAGTTTGAATGATGACAGACTCTTATATCAGATGTATCAAGATGGAAGCTGCATCTCGGTTGTCAATCAGAAAAGGCCATTGCCACTGTAAAAACCGAACATTGCGTTTATTGTGTAGTCTAAAACGGTTGATTTAGGTACAATTGGCACAACAATGGTCCATGTATTTTAGATCTATGATAAACAGAGAAAGAATTCAAGTTGAATAAATCACCATAAAACGAGATTAGCAGGCACACATCTGCCCCACACATACCATCTCTATTGCCCCACCATGTAGGAAAAGGATAAGAAACACCACTCGCACCACCATAAAGACCCATTGCAATGATAAATACCATGAGCGATGTACCTGAATCAAGTGCTGTTGAAATCAAGTAATTGTACTTTACAAACCAATCTCTGTAACGTCTCTTGACATAATATTGAGACACTATGATAATGATAAAAGAGACAGTGATCCAACTTGTAGCACTACCAGGGACTTGTGTCAAACCTATGAGCACCATGGGCATATTCACGTATTTAAAGCCGGTTCTGGGATAATGACGATGCAACAGCCAGAATGGCACTGGTAGCGTGAATCCAATCTTTTCTATCGTGTTTAGTATCAGATGTAGGGTTGTACTTTTTGCATCAGCTTACCAGAAATGCCCACAAGATGATGGAATAGTCTGTTCCTGGGCCAAACATAGCGAAAGGTCCAATCGCGCCTATTGCAAGCATCACGTTATACACTTGTAGTTACCATGACATGATACCATAAATACCCCAAGTGATGGCTGCAGAGTTGATTGTCTGTAAGCGATACACTGTTCAGTTGCATTCATCAAGCTTGACCATACAACAGACACTTACCTGTGGGGTGGATCCATTCCAGATGTTGCTTCCTGTTGGATTCAGCAGCACTTCTCGTTGAGAATTGACCACACTCTAAATGACAATTGGAATGAGTCAAATGCTAATCAGCATGATACAATGCAACATACATGGTTGACAATGTAGTTAAATATGCAACCAATGAATGTTCCCAACATTTGATTCAAAAATACTGCACGAGGAGGTATCTTTAGATAATGGCCAATCTTCAAATCACTCGCCATGATGCCTGCTTGACTAAGCGTGTTGTATCCAAGCGTCTTGAAGTACATGTTGGCCACTATGTATGTATAAGGCTCAGTTTAGACAGCCTCTAATGATAAAACGACAGCATTACTTACCTGGCAGTCCAGGCAGAACAAACCCACATATCATTTCTGCAAACACATTCAGACCAAAACCAGTGCCTGTGATTGCCGTAATCATGTTCAATGGTAACGACAAGAGAGTGGACATGGCAATAGCCATAACGACGCCCCACCAAGGCAATTGGCTCTTATTGATATAAGCAATAGCCACGTTCAATGCCATGCCTCCAAAGTAGACAATATAATACCACCAGGTTGGAACCTAAATTTGACGGTTAGATCATCGACGCCTTTTTCATATGATGTTACTACATGCCTCTTTGTAGGCTGCCATCATCCTCATGTGCACATCTGTGTATTGTCTTTCTTGCTGTACCACAGGACCATCTTGCTGCTGCTGTTGATGCTGCTTGTAGACTCGTCTACTTGCCTTGAACTCTACTAAGCTTGCCTTGATGCTCTTCCAAATGTCTTGTCCATGAAACAAGGCAATGTGCGTGATGGAAGCAGTAACGGCAAAATTAATGATAATGTACTGAATGGCGCCCCAGCTTGAAAAGTATGGCCTTCCTACCGCTTCTAATGCCGTTTGATTCAATGAGTTGTCAGGAGCCAGCACTTTATGCTGAGGATAAATGACAGACGTGCCGTTAGGGAGTAGCTGGAATATAGAGTTAGATAGGAATGGGAAACTCTGAGCGTGCCACACGTTATAGTGATACATCAATGGTGCCAAAATCCACAACAGCAAAATACCCGTGTAAATATTCAACTGAACCCATAAGGGCAAAACCAAGGGATTCAAATTGGACAAATAATTCCAATCAAAGCTTAATTGGAACATACCAAGACCCTCGTTTACGGATAATCCACCAAACAGACGCTGCACCCACACTGAATCATTTCTGGCCAAGCACATGATGGAGATGCCACCTAGAATGGGCATCATGTACTGCGGAATAAACTCGTACACAAAGACACAGCCAAATACAATGAAAAAGAAGCGAGTACGCCATCGTGATTCTTGCTGGTTGGAGTTGAGTGTTCTCAGCAAGGATACGGTGGGCAGGGATGTGGGCCAAATCATGTTGGCAGGGTACACTAGAAAGTTGCGCAGTTGCCCTGCAATGCCATAACCTACCATTTGAGTAGCCAGCAGCAAGAAGATGGAGCCAGCCGGGCCAGGAGCATCTTGGTAGTATAGATTCTGAGCAGCCAAGATGTGGGTTGCATACGCAGATGTGTTGGCAGATGATACAATGACATAGATACAAGCATGTTCCTTGACGTTGAATGGGCCAGGATTCAGCCAGCCTCCTGATGGCAGGTATTTGGTCCATGCAGTGCAAAAGACGTAGGCAATCATGAGCATGAAGGTGTTTGTCAAAGGCAGCCCTACAGGCTTAAAGGACATCAATTGATACACTGATGAGCTGAGACATGCCAGTGCCTATGATTTACAGTTACGTCGATGCCAATGGTTAGGTAAGAAGCAACTTACCACGCCTGTTACCAGCACGCGCAATGTGAAGCACGGCATTGTTGGGTCATCTTTCATGGTGGACAGCTCATTGACGATTTGAATGTCTGTATCTTCTTCCTCAAACGCATCTGTGGTGGCATTGTTGCTTGCAATCTTCTCGCTCAAGGATAGATTTTCAATTTGAACCTCTTGAATGTGTTTGACATGGTCTGATTTCTCTTCATCCTGCGTGGAGTGATCTAACATTTGAAAGATGGTAGCAACTATATAAAACGAGAAAAGACGTCTGTTCTAGTATGGAATAGATGAGAGGAACAAACAAACAATGTTCTCACAAAAAACGGGCAATTTATCGTTCTAATGATCAAGCAAGAGAAAGAGAACAGAAAAGGGAAAATAAAGGGGATATGAACTTCTTTAATCGACAAGCAAGAAAGGGGATTCTCGGACATGCATCGTGCATGTATCATGTAATCATTCATCAACCTGTTGCATGACATGAAAATTGCAACTAAAACTCATTTTATTTGCTTTCAAACTTTTCAGTCAATGGCTTAATCAGCTTGGCATGATAAGGTGCTACTCCGGTACTTGCGGGTGCTTGCAAGAGTGTTTCGAAATAAGCTATTTAGATTGAGGTCAGTGTTCCCATGCACTGCAGATCAGGTGTAAGCATTACTTACCTTGATAAATATTGCCATCGTATTTAGCAATAGGCGCTTTTAAAACAAAATCAGGCAGCCCAAACCCATCAGTAAGGCCGATCACTTGGTATCGCATGCTCTTGCAAAGCTATGTACACAGATTGGGTCCATGTTGGGCAGATGCCATTGCTGTGTTAACTTACCTCGAGGTATTCCTTCTCAATGTCCTTCATTTGCTTGGGACTGAGGAAGCCTTCCAAATAGCCTTGGTCGCCGTACACACGCAGTATATGCAAGCCCCACAGAGCTGTCATCTGTCGCATGATGCGCTGGACACTGGGATCAATATCAGAACCAGGCACGCTAGCAAATTGTCGAGCATTGACCGAAAACAAAAAGGCAGCACAGTGGAGCTCAGCAACACGCACCGACTCCAACAACAGATCATTGTGGGTAGCTCCGCCGTTCAAAGCTTGCTGTATACTGTAAAGCTATAGCACGAATATCAGCATCCCACTCATGGATATAACATCTCAACTTACTCGCTTGACTAAAATGACATGTAACGCCTCTTCAATCAATGCAAAATCTTTGGTGGCATCCGCAATGACATGGACAGACCAGCGCTCCATTTTCAATAGCTCTTTGGCGCGGGCAATGTAATGCGTTGCACTCTGGTATTTGAGCTCTGGGTACTCGTCAAATTCCAGTTTTTGGCTCAAGCGATATAGCAGATAGCGAGCAGCTTGTTGCAGCAAGACCACATTGTCACCGCCACCCGTTGTCATGACACCAAAATCAGAGATCAAGTTGCCCAATGCATTGTAAGCAGAGTAGGCATGGCCACCGCAAGAGCGGCGGCAGATTTCAAGAATCTCAGTGGCATAAGCACCAGACAACCCCTTCAAAGAGGCCGAAATGGAGTGCATGTCACCCATGTGGTTGAGGTAGACAATAGGGTCCATTTCACCACCAGCTGTCAAGATGGCAAACTGGTCATCCAGCGTCTTGAACGAGTTTTGCACCATGTACATGAAGGAAATTGCAGGCAACAACTTGACATAGTGAGACTGGTAATCCATGATTTGCTGGTTCTTTGATCCTTGACGTCTAACAACACCATAACGCGTAGCAATCGTCAATGCCTGTGTGACCAAAGTCAGTGTGATAGTAACCAGAGAGAATCGCTCTGGAATCAAGGTGGCATACATGACTGCAGGATTAGGCGCAGGCTGGAATTCACCGCTTCTGTCCATGCTCACCCATTTGGTCAGCATGTTTGTTCTGGGAATGCGCTTTTGGTTGAACTGGATCCAGCCATTGTCCACACCCTGATGGCCTACTTTGGAGCCTACATCGCCCGCTTGCACTCCAGGCACTACTTTGCCAGTAACCGTATCACGCAACTGGACAATAAACCAATTCAACCCGACATTTTTGCCGTGGATCAAGGTTTGTGCAATCACCACTGTGTGTGTAGCTGTTTGACCTGCCATACCAATCCACCATTTGGTCGATGTAATGTTGGGTGAATGGATGATAAACTCGTCTGTTTTAACGTCAAACGTCGCTGTTGTTTCAATGTCCCTCAGTGCTGAACTATGGCCCAATTCAGTCTACTTTTACTGATGAATAGTCTTGGAATATACTCCATTGTGTATATACAAACCATGGCAAAGCATCCAATGATCTTGAATTCATTCACGTTCTCTATCCATTGCTCTTGCTGCTGCTTGTTTCCTAACATTTGGACTACGTTACGAAATAGTGCTTCATGTACGCCGATGCGCAATGCAAAACTCTCAGAGTAGAGAATCACTGCCCGGCTAATGTCCTCCAGAAACTCTCTGTCATTGATTTCGCGACCCAGGCGAACGATTCTGTTGATTTGCCCCATAGCACTGTCATTGAATAAAAATTAGATACACACACAGCAATGGCATTCATTGGAATGCTATCTTACTATTCTCTCATCTCCTCTCTTCCAAACTCGAGGATATTTCTAGGCGCTTGCACCACAAGTTCAGCATCCTTTTCAATGAATTCTAATGCTTTTTTCTATACATCATAGCATTCATTTCAGACATATACTATAAGCAATGTATAGACACACATACTCTGCGTTCAAATTTCTCCTTTCCACCGACCCAAAAGTGGGAGAGAGCTTCAATGTTGAATGATGCGCTTGCACGTTCCTTTTGCATGTCTTTGGGAGCCTGAAGCGACATGGGCGAAGGCAGCAAGTTGAGTTGCTGCTTGATTTGCTCAAGACGCTCTACAGCATTGGCTTTATTCATAAGTGATAAAGTTGGTTCCTGTGAATAAACTACAGAAAAACGCAACGGCTTATTTATATGGCAAGTAGCATGGTTGCACAATCCCACCCTGTTTCCATGATAATTCCCATCATGCGATAATGAATGTCCAATTACCATTTACGGATCAAATTTGGCATGTAATTGCATTAATTTCCACTTTAAAAAGACTTGTTTCCTCTTCTTTTTATTACATGTATACGAGACTTTCTACACTTTGGGTGGTTTCCTAACCTACGCTTCGCTTCGGTGGAAACCAACCTACCTTCAAACGGCTTGCGCTGCAGCGGGCCTTTGGCTAATATCGCAAAATTGATATAGCTAAAATGTTAAAAAGAACCCTGATTGTTGACTAATATATAATCACTAATCATATGAGTGTTTATGCTTCAGATTGTTCTCTACCTTCGCTTCGTTTCGGTGAGAATCAACCTGCACAGCGACAGCTCGAGCTACCGGTTGCCCTTGCATATCTTATCATAATACTACTACTTTCATGTTGACCCTCCACTTACACATGAAAACCCTTTATATTATCTGTGAATTTGATCCTTATGTGATGCTCTACATCCATATACACGTAACTATTTCATATACGGACAAGTATCATACAGATATGATCCCTTTTTGGTCCTTAGTGTCCCTAATACAGCAAAATTTGAGTGCATTTGAGCTGCGTTTTCTCGCGTTCAAGGCCGTTTTAGATGGCTAGAATAGTACCAAACAATTGCTCTCATCTGGCGGCTACTTTCTGACACCTTTGCTCAACTTTTTGGCCAGAAACCTCCTTTCATATTTTCATAAATTGCTCAATAAATTTATTAAAAACATCTATATTACTTGGTACCATTGAATGCGCCTTGAAAGTACTTCAAGAATGCGTTAGAAAGCATGGAGTGATCATTACGATTCCTATAGTCGAAGTTGGCAAAATATTTCGATCGAGTCGAAAATCATCAAGATTTGTCCAATCTGGAACAGACTATGATCTGGGTTTTAATTAATTTTGGCTGGTGGGGCTAGTTAATCATACGTGAGCCATGCTTGACAAATGTCTTGAAAGTCAATCTGCATCCAGATCCTTTAGTCGTGAGGTGAACACCAAGGGCAGTACTTGCGCAAAAGCAAGCATTGTTGGGTGGCTTACTGCAATCCTTGTTATTAACGGATATATGCTTGATGAGACCTCTGTTGCTTGGTTTCTTGAGTAAATGGTGGTAGAACTTGATGGTCGTGTCTTAACGCTAGATATAGACTCTCTTACTAAATATGACCATCTCTGCAGCAGAGCCCCATTCACTGCACACCATTCTATAGCTTATTAGGTCTTTGATTGATTTGAGACCATCAACGGTTCTATGCAAGAGCTGTACATTTAAACATGGATCAAGCAAACTTTCGTAGCAGACATAATGCCAGCTGCTATAATTCTACAGCACCTGTTTTGCTATCAATATAAGATCGTTTGATGACTCATTTTAAACCTCAACTTTACTTTGGAAAGTCTAAAAACCAGATATGATGACTCCTGAAATCGCGATTTGCAACAAGAATGCTATGTTGCTAGTACTCGCATGTAGATGAGCATCTCGCAACAGTTTAAACTATCTTGTATAGAAATGTAAAGAAAGAGCAAAAGAAAATACTCTTGCTAAGCTACAGTGCACTTTATTTGCATCGCCCTTGTTTATGGCTTTAGAGACATCGATAAATTTCACGCAAAAATACAATTTGCGGCCAACCAGTAGCCAAAATTAGTTTAAACTCAGTTCGTCGTTCTATCTCAATTCGTTGATTTCTGATCACTTTTCGATCTTTTTAATCTATTTTGCAAAATTCGACTATTGGAATCGTAATGATCGCCCCATATTCCTAATGGCATTTCTGGAGTACTTTTCAAGGCGCATTTAATGGTGCTAATTAAACGTAATGTTTTGAACAAGCTTATTGAGAAATGCTTGAAGATATGAAATGAGGTTTTTGGCCAAAATGTCGAGATTCTACATATGAAGGTTTTGCAAATAAGATTTCAGGGTTGCTTTGGATTGAGAGAAGCATTTTGAATCAATATATACCTTAGTAAAAGTCTTCATTTTCGAGGTCAAAAACGCCATCGTTTGATTTTTGAGAAAAACCATGAGGTATCCCTCATGGTTGGGAGTTGATTTTCGATGATCCCAAAAAATTGAGTTAGGGGGTCAAAAAGTAGCTTCTAGATCAGAGCAATTGTTTGGTGCTATTCCCGCTGTCTAATTCGGCCTCTGTTACGAGAAAACACGCCTCCAATGCATCCAAACTATACTGTGTTTTGCATACTTTTGAGTGGTAAGAGGTGTTGCTACTAGGTTGTATGCTCGTATATCAATTACTTCCATTAATATAGACGCGGGCCATCGTAGAGAAGTCATATTTAACATTAAAGTCGCTCAGAAAGGATCCTCACATGGCAGTTGAAAGGTTTAGACGTGAGTATATCTGTTGCTCTGAAATACATAGCCCGTATAGACCATTCTGCCTTTATGTACGCATATCTCCCAGTCTGCCCCTTACTCCAAGCACATAAGACTGCTTGATGGGCGTGATACTTTGAATAAAGCCCCATGCGATCATTTGTTTCAATGAATGGAGTAGAAAGCCCAGCGAATCAATCTCTATTTATGTTTATTGAACATCTCAATCGGACTACGCGTATTAGAAAACCTTTGAGAGACCACTGTTTTTGGATGTAGCCGAAATTAAGGCCATAGTTTTGTGCCGTCTTCGATGCATCAATTGCTCAAATATGCTTGGGTTCTACGTGACCCTAAAGTTGGTGAGGTGAGAACCAGTTCAATAGCGCCAATAGTAGGGTATTTTAATTTGAGATATTCTAGTGCAATATGAGTTCGTCGGATATCCAGCGTCAGAGTGTTTAAAGGAGCTATAATAGGAGCATCGTTTTCTCGAAACCATTTATGTAAGCAAGAGCTAAGTCTTTCCATGTGAACATCGACACCACACAGTTCCAAATTTTGTAACTGTCGGCAACTCTTCAGAATATCCCTCAGTTTATTCAAATTTATATTTCCCCAAGCCAACGTGAGTGATCTCAGAGCAGAAAACTCGTCAATTTTGCTGACAAAAGCAACGTCTCAATGCCAATCGTTGAAAAGTATCAGCTGCCCAAGTGTTTCCTTGAGGTAATAAGCTAGTTGCTGGTACTCTTTCCTCTCTTTGTCGCTGCACAGACATGGAGGATGTGGAATAATTTTGAGATTTTTGACTCTGCCCGCAGAGGTTTGGATCATCTTCGCCGTCTTTCTGTAAAAGGATTCACAATCAATGACACCGCCAAATACTTCCAGTCTGTCGATGACGATCAAGGGAAACAATGCCTTGGCGTAAGTATCCGGCTGCTCTAAATGATAATATCGAAGCAATTCTACATGTCGAATGCAATTCTACATGTCGGATGCAATGCTTGATATGTGGTGCATTTTTTAGATGATCATAAAATGCTCTAGTTGTTTCGTTGCTGCAAAGTTTGATATCGGTGCTGAGCATTGCTTCTTCTGCCAATCTGTTCCAAGCTTTACAGGTCAGTCTGTATTGCGATAAGTAAACAAGTGATTCAACATGGCAGAATATCTTGAGTAAAATCTCTGCAGGTAGCGTTGTGCCTGACATCTGTGATGTGGTTTTGATTAGAGATAGTGTTGAGAGAGCAAAAAGAAAAAAGAAAGAGACTCTCTGTAGCGATTCGTTGCCTTTGTTGCACAAGTGGGCTTCGTAAACATTTAGGACATGCAATATCAACACTATCCAATTCAGACAAATGTTGAAAGAAAGCCTGCTTTTACTCTATACATGCTTTCATTGTTGAATGATACTCACATCGCCATAATACCAGCCTTGTCATAACAGATTACAATAGCAAAAATGACAATATCTCAGTACCTTCGCTTGAGCATTTAATGCAAGAGACCTAGCAATTTTATGGACTTTTACATATGAAAAAATGGAGGTTTGTTATAAATCCAACAAGATGCTATAATGAAGTAAGACGCTATCGTGTTAGGTATGAAGGTACCAGAGCTTCTTAACACGCATTTGTATGAGGCCTTTGCTTGGGTCGACTATTCTGATCGTAATGACATTATCACTCACTTGAGCATGATAGATAATGTCTTCCAGACGATTGTTTCTCAAGGTACAATACTTGAAGTCATAGTAAAGCGTATCTTGAAGAGCTTGCACCACACGGATATGATGATCATGAATATCTTCATCCGTTACTTGAATTACGCTATCTTCAATGAATACCTGATACATATTCATATCGACCTCAGCTGTTTGAATGTGCTGGAATTTGTACACCAAGTATTCAATAAACACGGGAGAGAAGCAATTTGATACCTTGAGCAATTTCAAAGGCTTCTTTTGCTTCTTGGTTTTGTCATGGATACGGAACCAGTTTTCAACGTTGGCTTTGGTCAATCGCGGGTTCTTGGCATCAACCAAGACAAGCTTTAGAGTTTCAAGTTGATTGCAGTTATCAATGATGCGACGAACGGTGTTGAGATCAGGCATGCCCCATGTGAGAATTAGCTGAGTCGAGTTATCAAAGGCTTCCAATTGTCCAGTTGGGTTTGTTTTCATCAGTAAAAGTAATTGTAACAACTTTCAACGATTTCTTGAACAAAAGACATGCGGTTTTGAAATCATTAGAGTTGATCGCCATGTGTTGTTCTTGAGGGATAACTTGCAGCTTGTCAAACTTCTTTGGAGACTCTCTAGCAATAGACAACATTTCTTTGTAAATATTCTTGATAGGAATGTAGCCATCCAGAACAAGAAGATTGGGCGTAAAAATGAATGAGAGCAGCTTCAAGTATACATCATTGGCAGTAGCGTTTTCCTGAAAATCAAAAACCACATATTTCACCAGTTTACCAAAGGGCGGAGCCTTCTTCAAGTGATAAACCAACTGCAATACGTTCTCTTCAGACATAAGAAATATTTTCTTTCTCAACATGAGCTGTTCAGAAATGGGCTTCCATGCCTTGCAAACCAAACGGCACTCGGCCAAGTCTTGTACAGCTTCCAAACAGTCGAGGATTGCTTGAATGATCTCTGGGGCTAAATCAGTAAAAGCCATAATGAGCGCCAGAATATGGAATTGGGAAGGAAAAGAAGCTGAAAGAAAGAAAGAAATCGATTGAAGGGTAAGCAGCTCTCTTGTATCTATAATCTATCATTTTGATTGCTCTCTGACATGCATGATGCCCGCTTCATAGGACTGTGGTCATTTCCATTTCTAATAAATGACAACCTTTTGAATTTGTATGAGCTGTATCGCATATATGTATCATTGTTATGGCTACTCAATGGTATTTAAAAATTATGGCAGATCAATGCATCAATACAGCATCTCTGTCCATTTCAAGAGGATGAGGTTTTTGTACCTTTGCCGGATTCTAAAATGTATACTATGCCAAAGATTATATCTGTAATTGCTGGACCGTGTCATCATCGATCAAATGTACTACTGAGCTAACTGCTTTGTGTAGCCATTCTGAGCATTAACTGCTCTAGATTTATTATAGCATGCAGCTTATTTCACATTGCGATGAGGCATGATACCATCCTATACCAATTCAAGGAGAACCAGGTTGATCCATATGCTAATATCTGCCACCCATTCCTCTATTCTTCTCGCGATTTGTCCCGTCTGAGGCGCTAACCCCTACTACCACCAGGCATTGACCTTCCTGCTGTCATTCCAAATGTATTCGCTGTTGCTGTTATCGTCAACTTTGAATGGCAACATTGAAATTTCGAGAACTTCGTCGCTTTGCTATGATATCGTTAAGCAATGCATAGATATGGCTACCGTCTTTCGAGATGGAGACAGAGTTTTTTACTCGCATTTTTTTTAATGGGAGTCAGAGACAATGACAAGATGGTTCTTGATGATGGCTGATCCCAACGGTATTGCTTTTGGTCAACGTAGCATGGCCTGCACCTTTGACACAGGAATTTGATGCCATCTGATTGTTGCTTACCGATGATAATCATACAAAATTCAAATGAATAGCACGTTTCATCTTTCCTTTGATATGCATTAGAGAGGGTCAACGATGTATGATATCAACTACATCTGGTCCGTGCCTTGAAGCTTGACACGACAAAATTGTTAGAGGTTTCACGTTTCTGGATTGTACGTAAAATATAGGATAATTCAATCAATCGAAATGATAGCCTGCCAAGAGCGCACATTGCAAACACTGTTTGAGAAAATAGCATCCCACACAATTATACATTCGATATTAATTAATGACCATTGGAAACCCGAATTAATAGCATCCATCCTCCTGTCATAAATACGAGTATAGCAAGCAGTTGTAGCACAGATGTAACCATCTAAGAATAGTCCTTGGGATAGTGTAGCAAGCGTCACTGTTGATTCTAGCTAGTAAATGATTATTGTTGTTGCTCTTGTTGTCAAGGCTTTTCCCCTTTTCCCTCTTTTTTCCTCTCATTGAAATCCAGTTATTATAGATCTGGATAGCTTTTGCCCCGCTGCTTCCCCTCTTCCACCTCTCTCTCCCCACCAAAACCCCCCCTTATACTATTTTTGCATTGTCTTTATTAAGTTATCCAGTAAACAACTCCTTAACTTTTTCCTTTTCTTCCTCTTAAACACACACACACATATTTATCATGGATCAGCCTCCAAATACAACATTACCAGAGATAAACATGCTAAATCAAGATGACTGGGATTTCCTATCTAAACCGCCGGCAGCTACAGACAGAGAAGAGCAACAGCAGCAGCCATCCAAAGATACCCAGCCATCATCCACATCAGACTCTGAATCCAGAACCACAGGGCTCACTCGAGCACTTTCATTACCAAGGCAGCTCAACAAGACGGCCGATAACAGCACCAACGACAAAGATGACAGCATACGTACAGAAGTAATCAACATTGCCACCGCAAATCCATCTCACTTATTTTGGTAAATGGGTAAAAAGCTTCATCAGAAAGAAGTAAACAAAATATACATGTTTTGTAGCAGTGTATTGACCCTATTCAACGCTTTTATAGGGTGCCTGCTTCTCAACATCCTGAAATTGCACCAGCAGAATTTGAAAAGTATGTGGATGCGCATGGTTTGATGATACGGAAGAAAAGCGTTAAACGTAGACAATCTGTGTTGTCTGTGTATTTTACCGCAAGTGATCAACAGAAATTAATGGAGGAATGTGATACAGCAGAAGCTGAGAAGGATCGACAAGCAGCTCTAAGTGCGCTGGAGAGCAAACACCACACACACAAGGAGTCGAGCGAGTCATCAGAAGAAGAGGACACGAAAAAGCGAAAGATGATGCTGCGTAGAAGTGTGAGTCTGCACTTGCCAACCACAGGAGGTATGTCCAATACATACACCCAGACGCATTGGCCATTGATGATGATGTTATAGAATATTATAGAAATGTGCCTGATTTGCTGGTCTTTGATAGAAATTCATCGCCCTTGGATGAATCAAGAGCATTAGTGCCCAAAGGAGATCGACCTTTGCTAAGAAGAGGAGCTCGCACTAACTTTAAACGCAATTCATCACTGACTGCACCACAACGAAATCGAAAAAGTGAATTGGATAGTATAAATTCTTTGAGACGCTTGGATGAGAATAGCAGCGACAACAGCAGTATTGTACGCTCCACTTCAGCTGAAGGGATCGCACTGTCTGATGCGCTTGGCGAAGAGACAACAATCAGTGGAGGAACTGCGGTGCTGATGGAGGAGCCTTCGCCTATGCTTTTACCTGTAGCAGAGAATGAGGAAGCGAGAGATTTATGCATAGCCACGAGAGAGGAGCCATCACTTGCAGCACCTTCACCACCTGCACCTGTAGTTATGGCTAGATCCGTTTCAACATCTACCACATCGACTAGTCAGAGCCGAAAAAGCGCATGGTCATGGGCATTCTGGTCTGACGAGAAATCGTCTAAAAAGAACAAGATTGGCCCCAATGCTACTGCTGCTGCCAACACGATGAATACGAGTACAGCTACAGCAAGCCTAGCTACCACAGAGGACAGTAAAGCGGCGGATGCTACTACCACTGCTCTTACAATAACAACTGGCAGCAGCAATAACAAACGATTCACACTCTCTTCATTATTCTCGAGAAAATCAAAATCCAACAACCAAAGCAGCGCTTCATATACCACCAATTTTGATTTGTTCCTGGATGAACAAAAGAAACCGCCCAAAGATTTCCAGCTGAACCGCATGCACATGACTCGACTACCACTTCATGTAGAGAGAGCCATTTACAAACTATCGCATGTCAAGCTAGCAAATCCCAGAAGACCATTGCATGAACAAGTGCTGATTTCAAACCAGATGTTTTGGTATCTATCCGTGATTGCTACCAATGCTCCACATCCAGCATCAGCAGCAGCGCCCTCAGCGTACGACATGTCATTAGAAGAACAAACGCAAAAGAAAGCACCTAGAAAAAGACTAGTCAAAAAGCAGAATCAAAGACCTGTATCAGCGCCTCAACAACCGCACCAACATCTTCCACATCAGTATCGACAACAACAATCCAACAAAAAACGAACAAGCAGCCATACGGTCAACAGCAATCCAAAGGGAACTACGCCCATGTTCATGGCAAATCCTCGTACTGCCACGAATGAATCCACTGGATTTGTTGTGCCTGAAAACTATCTGAATCCCAAGCAGCAGCAGCAGCAGCAGCAGCAGCAGCAACAGCAAAAAAAGAGACCGACATTGGGAAACAACACGACTAAAAAAGTACCATTGTACCATAAGCAACAGCAAGGCAGTGATAGTTCTTCGTCGGATGAGGATGATAGCAATGATGCGGATAGTGATGATGATGATGATGAGCATGGACAAGATTCAATAGCTGAAAAGATTGCTATATCACATAGTGAAAAGGAGGATGAACTACCGCTTGCCATGTACAAGTCAAATGGTTATAGTAACAAGAAAATAAAATAAGAAGAGGGATCTTTTGTTTATTACATGTAAACAGCTTTGCAATACAGAAATACTAGATGGGCAGCAATAATACTTTCTAACTTCCAAGTTGCTGTTGCTGCAACAATTGCTGCTGTCTCCAATGCATCTGTTTCGTATATTCGTAAATGCAAATAGCACCACTGACATGTACATTCAACGATCTTGTAATACCATACTGTGGAATCTCAATGGTAACATCCAGCATTTGCAATAAATCAGCAGGCACGCCTTGTCTTTCTTTGCCCAACAGCAGTACACATTTCTCTGGGAACTCATATTCACCCAACGTAGCACTGGTAGTAGTTTGTTCCAAACCACACAATGTATAACCCTCCTCCTTTTTGGATTGCAAATAGGCAGCCACGTCAGGTTCAGCAACTTCAATCATGGGCATCCAGCGTTCAGACGACACACTGATGCTAGTGAACCCGATATCTTCCTTGATCTTGAGAGTGGGCACCACCAATTGAGAAGCATTAAAGATTTCACAGGTACGGCAAAGACCAGCCAAGTTGGGTAATCGATCAATCAAGCTAGCAACGACAATCAAATCATTGGAGCGACGGTTCTTTTTGTGAAGATTCTTGGTCAGGTCCATGTCTGTCTCCAACATCATTTCCCAAGGCATTATCTTCTTTTGATAGACATCATCTGCTGTGCTGCTACTCGTGGCTTCGGCTTGTGCATTTTCGATTTCTTCTTCAATGCCTATCATTTCAGAGGGATCAGCAGACGTATAATATTCTTTGCGGGCAGGGTTTTCAAATGGACAACGAGGTGGTGCCTGACCATTGAGACGAATGAATGCCTTGGAGCCAATCTTTTCATTATCAATGACCTGAAATTCAGTCATCATTTGGCGAAATATGAACTCCACATTGTAGTCTTGGATGGGATCAAATTTAGACATGTAGAATTGATTCTGGATCTTGTCAAAGAACTTGATACAGTCAGTATAAGTCTCCATAAAGGTGCTGAGCGACTTGATGTATTTGTTGTCTTCTAATTGTTGGCCAAGTCCTCTGGTAATACAGCTGTTGTAGTTGCGTCTCCACGAACAGAAAGCGAATAAGCGGACGGTAAAGTGGTTAGTGATGAGCCATGGAATTAAACGCACAAAGACAACATCAAAGTAGCCTTGGATAGCATCTTCTGGCAAGACGTCGCAGAGTGAGAATGTCACAGTGATCAAGGAAATCACGAAATTGGGCTTGTGGTTAGGGTCAGCAACCTTGTCAAAGAGAGTAGACAGCAATTGAGGGTAGCGACGCATGATGCGGACAAGCGCCCACTCGACATAACAGCGGACAGAAGCCACCGTCTCTTTGCGCATCAATTCAAATATGATATCTAGGTAGTGTTGCAATTTGGCTTCTTCAGCGAAATCGACAATCAGTAAAAGTGAGCAGCACACACGCAGCTAGTAAAGGGCTACCATAAGTGCTTGGCCGTTATATGATGTGTATGCTTGGCTTACCTTGATTCTATGCTCTATTGTTGATGTGTAGGTAAATTCAAACAGAATTTCATCATTCATCAACTGTAATAACTGATCTAATAGTAGATTGGCAAACTCCTTGTGCTGCTTATTGTTAATGTCCAATCTCAACAGAATATCGTTCATGTCAACACGAACGAGGTAGTCGTTTTGATTCAACATGGTCTCTGCAGTTCTAATGACGAGAAAGATAAGCGTCAAATTGAAGACAGCAAGAGACAATCATTGTTCCTACCCTTCAGCTTCTAAAATCTCTGCTGGTGTTGCTAGTTTGGTGGTTAATGCGGCCTCAATCTTTTGATCGTCTCTGTCTCTCAAGGGCCCAAATACAAGCAGTTTGGCAACCTCAGGCACATATTGAATAAGCGAATGATTGGACTCGTTTGTCATTGAGGACCAGTATTGATGCAACAAGTGCGAAGTTTGTGCCATGATAAAGGGTTTGAGTTGACCCGTTTCAATCACCATGTTCAGCGCTTTCTTCATAGGGCCATCTTGTTGATTCAATTCAGGTACAGAGAGTAGCGCAGGCTGGAAAATAACATCAATGAAAGCTTTGATCATCAGAGGATATGTCTTGGACTGGAAAGCGTTCTCCTTCATTAATGCAATAGCGTGATCTACACAGCGTTCAATGGTGTCTGGTGTCTTTGCCCAAGGGAAGGCTAACAGAGGACCAAAACTGCGGATGATGGCTTCACCACACAATTCAGATGAGTTTTCGAGTTGTTCCACAGCTTCTTCATAGAGTGCAATGGGGTCAAAGAACTCCTTGTCGTTATGGCCATTGTCTTTTAGCTAATGCTCAAATAGTTGGTAAATGTGCACTATGGTCGCTCATGCCGTTTCTCACCTTGATAGCATATTGGATGATGGTCTCTACGCATTCCCATTTACTTTTGATCAATCTCGATATACAATCACCCCAAGTTCTAGTTGTAAAAATGTCAGTCATCAGCTCGCTGCAAGAGAATGATGCACAAACGATACCTCTCGCGTAATGCCTCCTGTGTACGTTTCATGGGGAGGCCATAGACTAATGTTACAAGAGTGTCATTGCAGTCAAAGTCGGTGATAGCAAAGAGAGTAGCTGCTTTGTATACGATTCTCAAGACACTGATATAGGTTGGTTTCGACATTTCATGATTGACATTCAGGGCTGATAACAAGGATGGTTAGTACTGGCACTATGTTCAAGGTAGCATGTTGAATCATTTACTTGCAGGACGGTATTTCAGCAGCTCAAGACAGATGTTGTAGTGCTGTTTGATAGAGTCAATGCGTTCTGTCTCTTCCAGTGTCTCGCTACCTAAAAGGACCTTCTCACTAAGTGAAATGTACAGAGCCATGACATCGTCGTCTAGCAGGTGACAGTGAGTGATACATGCTTAGTCAAATTGTTAGAAATGGCTTACCAACAGGCTCTTCCTCTTCCTTGTTCAGATATCTGCCATCGATTCTCTTCAAAAGTCTTGCAGCATCTTGCTTGTTGAGGCCAATAGCCTGAAGAAAATTGATCTCTTTCACAAAACTAGAACCAAAGTTTTCCCATAAAGCATTGAGCAATGTCAGTAGTCTACCAAATTTCACTTGATCACTACGGTATGTTAGTTTTATCCATGTGCCGTGTGCATTTTCACGTCATTTACCATTCAGGATCCTTCAAGTTGGCAGAGAACTCGGACAGAAGGTTTGTCACCAAGTCAGAGTCCAATTCACAGTTCTGGGTGGATACAACAAAAACAGATGTGCGCGCCAACACGTTGGCTTGAGTGCGCAACACAGCTTCAGGGATATCTTGCGACTTGAGGTCATAGATGTACGTTTTGATGCGATCCTTCAATCCATTCAATACGCTGTCCATGGACTATTATGAAGTTAGTTTCACTTGAATGCTAATAAAATACAGTGCCAGCTATACCTGATCCTTGGAAATCTTGTGTTCTAACCAATGTCTAATCAACTGGAATTCAGTCGAGTTTGTCTTGATGGGATATTCATTGACCAGAGATGAAATAGTTCTAAAAAAAAAAAAAAAATCCCTAGATTAACCACTTGAGGTCAGTGTTCATGCTAGCATCTCTTACTTGGCTATATCCGAGAATGACAACGTGGCTGTATTGCCAAGTCGAACAACAGCTGCTATGCCCAGTTTGCGCAAAAACTGCTTTGTTGCAGGAATGCTACAAGAAAATCAGTATCACTCAAAACCACATGCAGAGGACTCTGCTTACTTGAAGTTTCTATGACGATCCACCAACACTCTCAACGACTTGAGTTCCTCAGGTCCCCATGCATTGGTAGGTTGTGCTTCAGCCAGTGCCTCCATGGTGTATAAAATAGGAACATAACTGCTCACGACATGCGAAATATGATGAATCAACTGCCTCAGAAACTGGGTCTTTTCTTGCTTGTCTTGAATAGCATCAATCAGATGCAACATGAAGAATCTGAAATGCTCGCCAAAGGGACTCACCATGGTACCCTGCGTAGGTACTTGGAAGAGACCTGTATTATCGACTGTCTTGAAGAGAGCACCAAACATGAAGGCTTGCTGCACGCCCAACTGATTTAACACATCTGGATCTTGTCTGGAAAAGATAAACTCGAGCAAACACTTTTTCACCGAAGCAATGTCGTTCTGGAAGCCTCGATGCAGCAATAGCACCCACCATGACGCATCCAAGAAATTCGCCTTGACCAACGTCTCAAATCTGGGTAGCACGGGATCCACAAGATGAATGACACTTTCATGCATAATGTCGTAGAGCAAGAACCAGTCATCCCAATGCTCGGCATAGGCTTGTGATTGTGCTGAATCCCATTTGAAATAAGGTGTCCATGTTGCAGTCGCTGGAATGGCGGAAGGGTGCTTGTCGCTGAAATCAATGATGCGCTTCAGGATGTAAGTCGAGTATTTTCTGGCCAACGAGTCGTTACTGCGAAGACCGCTCTGCAAAATATGAAAGAAATCCACATCAAATCGAAGATCCTTGTGTACAACTGGTTCTCTTGTCGCATCGTTCAATCCAAAATAAAAGTCGAAAAATCTGGCAATCAGTCCATAAATCTCTAGACGCAGTAAATTGGTGGCTGGAAGGCCGAAAATGGCAAGCGTACGCTTCCACAGTAGCTAGAGCAACTAAGATCAGTCAATCTGTCATTTTTGCCTTACTAGGGGCTATAGGCCTACCTCGCACCAGTTCACTTGCATTTTCGGATCCACTTGCTGAGCACTGTTCTGCTGCCAACGGAACAAATTGGGTAACAGATCATGAGCCAATTTGTTGCGTATAGTGGGATCTGTGCAAGGAATCATGCCCACAGCGACTGAAAAGACCAGATCCATCCACTGCTCCAAATTTGAGTGTGAACCATGTTCCCTTAACAAGGCCAAAATCTCTTCATTTTCATTCACATCTCGGACAAACAAGTTGAGCGTCTCCAAACAACATTCGAGGTCCAATGGTTGATTTGATGCACTGGTGTTAGTTTGTTGCATGATGACACGATCCCATAATGCACGCCCCTCGGTAGTCAAGCTTGTCTCGATGAATGCCAATGGCTTGAGATCGACGAAATCTGGCTCTGCTTCCATGGCTGCTATTAACTGAGACAGCATGGTAACTAATGTGGTTTGACCAAAGCACTCTTGCGTATCGTACAAGATCATAGAGCGACTCATCAAGAAGGACACTGTCTTTTCCAACAGCCCCACACTCTCTGTAGCCACCATCGAATCCTGTGAAAAGCTGGCTTGCATCCAAGGCTGTAGATACTGCTGAATACAAGCTTTCTCCTTGCCTGCGTTGTTCAATCGCATCATATGAGCCTTGAAGATGGGCAGCAGAATCTGCAGAGTGCCAAAACGAGCCTTTTCGTCAGTCGCATGAGTGTACTGCTGATCCAGTTGCTGCAAAAAGTGAACAAGCTGATCATTCTCGGCATTATCGATCAAAAGAGCCTGGAATGGGATCGATACGAAATCCATAATGATCGTCTTTTGTGCAAGATGTGAGATGAAAGAGAAATTTTTTTTTTTCTTTAATTTGATGAAATGTTAAACTTACTACTGTTCTGATTTGATGTCCCGCATTTTGAAAGGTGCTGTTGCTGTTGTCGTTGAGCCATCAAAGTAGGAAAAGAGGTCTTGGGTCAAGGAAGATGCAGTAAGAGCAAAATGCAATCAGTCAGTTTATTGAAAGCAAGGAATAGATGCAAGGTATAATAGTAGAATGTAGAGACAGAAAAGTGTATGAATGATAAACATGTCAATGCGAGGTGTTGGATCGAATTCTCTTGGGAGGAAGCACAAGGAATGAAGTCAGCTGTGGTAGCCCTTCACCCTTGGCTGCTGGTTTTCGCTTCTTTCCTTGAAATTCCAATGCTAGGGAGGAATACTTGTGGTGCACATCATCGGCGTCTACCCATTGTCTCTTGACAAGATCAAACGGCTCCTTTTTGGAGGACTTGCTTTGACTACTACTGCTGCCCACTTCGTCCTCTTCCAGCTGTTCGTCCTCTGAATGAACCTCCGTGTGCTGTGATAGTACCAATGTATAATCAGGTGTGTTGTATGCTTCAGAGTCCAGTCGAGGTTTCAATAGCGTTATGAAATGCTCCCAGCAGCTCTTATCCCACTCTACTCGGTATTGCTTCAAATTTCCTTCGGGTATCACCTTAACAGCTGTCAAACGTACAACTTCACTCGGCTTTTCCACATTTCGACAACGGGAGCTAGATCGAAAGTAATCATCTATGGCTCTTTGCTGCTGGGAGGAGGAATTGGAAGACTGTGAGCTTGATTGCAAAATGACAGGAGAGCGGCTTGTTCGTCGACGCATACGATTTGCCATGAAAGCAGGAAACAGCAATGATGTGAATCTCTTTAGCAGATACTCTGCAGGCCACTTGAAGGTGTGTTGAGCAAAGTTGGCAAGATTCTGCCAATCTGGCTCATGGAAGACGTCCAAGTTTGCTTTGAGATCTTTGGCTGCTTTCAATATGGATGGATCGTTCTTTTCAATGTTGGTCAGTGGGTGAATAAAGTCAATTACAATTGAGAAATCGGGAAACTTTGGGTCCAATGTTACTCCAGTGTGTTTCCTTAGCATATTCTTGGTGCTGTTATGCTGTAATTCATAGGTCAAGTCGTCGAAAAGATGCTGTACACGTTCATCATCCAAAGGTGTTCTACCAGCAATTTGTATATCATCAAACAACCCTCTGTGAAAATGGCATTTCGCCAATTGTGCAGCCATGTTGATACCAATCCCTTTGGTGCCTTTGGTGTCATAGTCAGATCCAAGTAGCAGTGCTATCAATATCAAATCAGACCTGTCCAAAGAAGTACTATCGCAAATCCAAGTAATGTCGTAGACTGGCACTGCTTCGTAACGCCTGGTTGGCCACTGACGGATCACACGACGAGCACCAAACAAAAACACATCAGAATCGCCCGTATAGACAGCATCCACAAAGTCTAAGCGCTGTAAAAGAGCACACTCTGCTTCTGCTTCTCCATAAGCATTCCATATTGAGAAATGAAAAAACTTGATCATGGCGATGAGATTGGCGCGAAATGTGGTTTCGAGCGGCCTGGTGTTGATAAACCTGTTGCGCTTATAATCTGGTCTAGAGGGTCCATCAAACACGAATACAGGTCGAATGCCAAGCTCGTACAGTTTGTTGAATCGAAAGAAGAGAGATCTGATTTCGCTTTGACTAGAGACGATGCGCCAAATACATCAATCAATATGAACAGAAAGGTGAATTGTATGTGTAAAATATACGTTACTCGCCCACGACACTTGATCTTGACTGAAATACCCATAACGCAACATCAATTGCTACTCTTAGACCAGAGCCTTGCTTCTGATGAGTTTCGTGCGATAGTTCTTCTAGAGTGAGCTTCTTCTCTCCTGCACTTAAAACGTTCCAAAGCTTATGAATGCCCATAATGAAGTAAGTGGAAAAGGCACTGCTCGTTTTTCGTAGCACCTGTCCCTTTCCTTCATGATGGACAAACCCCGAATATATTGAGATGGTGCCTGTTGTTGGTGTTGTATATCACTGTTCTTTTTTCTTTTTCCTTATATCTGTATATACCCACTCAACTCTTATTTTTATGGTAAAAAAAAAAAAAAAAAATGACCTGCTAGTGGGCGATCCATTCATTTATCATTTCTTGACATAGACTATCGACGTGGATGAAACATTAAAACGCATTTCCAGCAAGAAGGGAGTCAAAGCTGTGGTCATTCTGAATAACGAAGGTCAGGCTATTCGATCTACCATGGACCACGATATGACAAAGCAGTATGGACAGTTAATATCGTCCCTTGTTCAGCAAACACGCACTACTGTAGCCACATTGGACGATCAGGTAGAGATGCCGAGCAAAGATCTATACTACATTTTATTAACAGGGTATACAGAATGAACTAACTTTTATGAGAGTGCGAACCAAGAAACATGAAATTATGATTGCTCCTGGTAAAGTGCACTAGATTAAGCTTGACTTTAAGCAAGACTAATACTCTATGGCTTTCTAGATCATGAATACTTGTTAATTGTAGTCCAAAATCCAGCAGAAGTAATGCAACAATAAGAACCCCATCAAGCAGCATTGATTGTTGGCTCAGTTTTAGCCAGCTCAAACGACCTGATATCATCCTTGTGTTTACTGCCCTCCAAATGTCGTTTCAATAAATACGTATTTGTAAACTTGAATTGACATTCTGCAATTGGACATTCCAGTTTTTTGGCACTATTGGCGTAGTGATTATAGCCCGTAAGCTGTTCAGCGATTGATTTCTTGGGTCGTGGTGATGCGGATACAGATCGTGATTTCTATTAGATGATGATGAGATGTTGATCTTGAAGATGACATGGCATCATTTAAAACTTACCGGTGTGTGGGATCCTTTGTGTCTTTCCAGCATGGATTTATATGGAAACCCTTTGTTGCAGACGTCGCATTTAAAGCGAGTATCTTGTTCATGTACCAATGCTACATGCGTCTTATAGCTTCGTTTCTATATATGACAGTGAGTTGCCAATGTCATGATACCAACCTTTCCCTTCCACAACTTACATTCTGCAACACGGATGCACAACCTGGCCATTCGCATGTAATGGCTGTTTCGTTTGTGTGTTTCTCTTTGATATGGACTCGCAAATTGGATGATTTGGTATATACTTTGTCGCACACCGAGCAGATGAATGGATGGTCGCTTTGAACATGCTTTCGTAAATCAGACCACTTTTTGAATGACTGTTGGCAGGTACTGCAATCGTACAAGATGGGATCTACATCATGAATGCATCAGTTCAGCCCGCTTCAATTGCTGACTCCTGGTTCGACTTACTTTCGTGAACTCTGCTGATGTGCTTTTCCAATGCTGGCAATGAATCAAATGCTGCTGAGCATTCACTGCACACATGTGTGCCTTTTTCATGAGATGCTCTATGCCATCTTAATTGAAAACGTTTTGGAAATTCAGCTGTGCATCCTGGATAATCGCACTAGCTGAAAATGAGTATACACAAGCTGGAAGCGGATGACCTGGATCTTACCTTGACATTGGGAGAGACATGTCCCTTTTCATGACGTTGTAAATGCTGCTTTGTGGCAAACGAAGCTGTACAGTTTTCAAACGAACAATGGAAATCCTTGATATTTGAATGTGATTTCGAATGCACTGCTAAATGACTAGATCGAAAATACGCTTTATCGCAGCCAGCAAAAGTGCATACAAAAGGTCGCTAGCGTTTGCTTTAATCGTTGAGTCTTTTCATGTCTAGGGGGTTTATCATGATCTTACCTCGCCTGTATGAGAACGCTCATGCTCTGCAACCTTGCTTGGTTTTCTGTAGGATTTGTCGCAGTAATGGCATTTGTATTCCACTCTCCTCTTCTTACTACTACTACTACTACTACTACTACTACTACTACTACTACTACTGCTATCAGACATTTGAACAGAAAAAATTTACTCAAGAGAAGAAACGTCTGAAATTGGAAAGTGTTGCACCAAAGTCAAATAATTTGATAAACAGGACGGAACATTTGTCTTTCATCGCTCTTATTGGTACAAATTCCAAGTCGATGATGTTGTGTTAATGATAAATGGACGATATTCAATAGAAGAGTGCTTATGAATTGTGCATTACTGGCATGGTATATTGCACCATGCTCTCCTATGTTGATTGATCGAACCACCTCATGTATTTTGCAAGCTTGTCTTACAATCAAAATACAATGCAACAATAAACAATGCTCTTGCAGTTGACCAAGCTTTTGTCATTGAGCTAACAAAGCCCAGACTCGACATTTTCTGACCTCCATTTGTCAATTTATGCTGATCAATACGGCGTTACTGGTGATTCTATGATTCGAGTAGAGTTGCCCATTCGCTTTTGCTTCGGCGAGAACCATCCGCCTTAGTCCGTCTTCCTAAAATACTATACGCTGCATCAAATGTCTTGCAAATTTACACTTCTTAGCCTTCTACATTTTTGCGGAAACCTACCACAAACGCTTTGTAGCTCTGAATTTGACTGTTCTTTGATGCTTTACTTTTGTATTAAGGGAAACGATTCACGTACGGGCAAGTAGCATACTAACATTGCTTCCTACTAATAAATTATATGTAAATCACAGCAAAATTTGGACGCATTTGAGTAAATTTTTCATGTGAATATCTGTTTCAGACTGCCAAAATACAACCAAATTACTAGTCTGATCCAGCAGTAACTTTCTGGCACTTTTGCTCAACTTTTTTGGAATCGTCGAAAATCGACCCCAAACCATGAGGTATCCCTCATGGTTTTCATGAAAAATCAAACGTTTGCGTTTTTTCGCCTTGAAAACGAAGACTTTTACTATGTTATGTATTATATCCAAATGTTCCTATGGATCCAAAGCAACCCCTGAAACCTTGTTTGTAAAACCTTCATATGTGAAATTTCGACGTTTTGACAGAAAACCTCATTTCATATTTTCAAACTTTGCTCCATATTTTCTTTCAAAACATCATGTATAATTAGCACCATTGAATGCGCCTTGAAACGTACTCCTGAAATGCGTTAGGAAGTAGGGGTTGATCGTTACGATTCCCATAGTCGAATATTTTAGAATAGATTAAAGAAGTCGAAAAGTGATCAGAAATCAACAAACCGGGACAGAATGTCAAACTGGGTTTAAACTGTTTTTTTTTTAGCTGGCGAAATACCTTTCTCATTGCAGTCGATATTTCTGAAGCTAACAAGAAGAGAATGACAACTTGAAAAGAACTCTCGGTCAGTCCAACTATTTTTTTTTCCTTGGTTGTACGTTATTAAATCTGATATAGCCAGTCAGCTTGGCAAACTATCGAAATATCAACAAGACTTATTATGCTGATTACCGCTTTGGGAGTGTCTAATGGCCATAGATTTATTAGGTTATGATTTCTACTGATAGTTCATATTGATCAACGTACACAATAAATGTAATGAAGTAACAATATGCAAAAATTTCTATAGAGTGTGTATCGTGCTGCAGCAGATCTATCCAAACATCATAGCAATGTACAATAGGCACAATGATCACCACTGGGCTCAACCCAGTTACATGTTGTTCGTTTCTGATCCAGTAGGAATAACCTGCGCTCCTCTTTCAACCTCTCAATCTCGCTTCTGCACGCCTCTCTGATACTCTGCTCATCGATTTCATCAAATCTTTTATGGAAATCTCCGTTAACGACCCCATTTAGAGCTGATTTATGGTATTGTGTCCTTGTGGTTGCAGCTGCTGTTGCCATCATGATCCTTCTCATCATTCTTGATTGCGTTGTAAACAAATCCCCCTTTTTGCGTATAATTTTGGGTGCAGATGTGATTGCATCTAGAAATTGAAGAGGTAAATTCACGGTCTTTAATTCGAGCTGCATCCCATATTGCAATTGCATGTAGTGAAACTCGTAAAATATGTTACTAGAAAAGCAGCAAGCGTTGAGTCTGACATGTCTTTCGTCTCTGAGCAGACGAAATGACATGTTTGCATCTTGCTGAGCGTTGTGTTTGTAGAGCGAGAATGAAGGAAGCGGTTCATGCGGATGTGAATGTTCTATTTGTTATATTTTTAGGTAAATAAAAGCGTCTCGTCGATCCATTCCCTTATGATTTACCAATATAAACTCCAGGAGCAATGGGTGTTAGAAATCCGTCCAATTCTTGCTGTCGATCTCCAATCAGGCCAAAACAAGTTTCGATTTCTAGTTTATCATCGTTTTGAAAGAATTGATAGTAATCTACATGGTGCTCATGAATGTCAAATGCATTGAGCAGGTGTTTGTTGAGCTGATTTAATGTGATGGTTGGTGACACTAAAATATCCCTTAGGCAATCTTGGTTCTCAGCATGAACAATAATGGCCTGAAATGTGTGCTGCTGCTGTTGCTTGTGGCTGGCAGACATGTTTGCAAGGAAAGCAAGAAAAGCAAGAAAAAAAAAAGAAGAGGAAAATAAGAAAAAGAAGAATAAGAAAAAGGGAGGATATTCACTACTCGATTTGAATATATACATTTATATTCACAGTTGTCGAAATTTTTGTTAGAAGCAATCATGTCTTTTAAAGAAACAAGCACCAACTAGATTTGGATATATTATTCGAGATTCCTTTTTGATACATGAATAGTAAAAAAAAATAAAAAAAAAATGCCAGATGCTGGTTCTTTTTGCACATTGTTCATGTCGGTTCTATTCTGGTGCATGCAATGTATATCAGTTAGTGAGATCAATCAATTTACACACTTGCGCTCACCATTTTGTATCGATCAAGGGCGAACAAGATATCAAATCAAACGGCTCGGACTGTATAAGGCTTGTGATTCTCCTGTGTCCAGCATATGAACGGCCTTTTACAGATGTGTTTATGCCCCTTTTTTTTCTACATCGTACGTGGTTCCATGAAAGGAAGAAGTAAAGGAGAGCAACGTCTACTAGATGGCAAACAAATATGGTAAAAGTGCTACACTTTGCTTCCAATCATTGTGGTCAAACTGTTTTTAAGTGACAGCATGGCCATAATCGACATTGCAACAATCAGATGTCTGTCATACGATTCAGTTAAGAGTACATGCAAGTCGTTCAGGCCAATGTCAAACAGCTTCATAATAGGAAATGGCGCTGATACATGTACAAAATCTCTGCTATAAGTCTTAGGCTTATTATGCAACATGACCAACGAGGCTATTTGAACTAGTGCCACTAAACACATTACATGATGGCAACGTACATTACGTCAGCCCAAATGTATGGAGTACATAAATCTAAATCAGGTAATTCAGCATTATTTGGTAACAGGCTATAAAAAAAAAAGGTATCGACAATTTGTTCTATTCTTCTTTTTCTGTTCCTTCCACTCTACTTTATATAAATCTACTAATACAGAATCATGAGCAGCTATTTATGGAAAAAGAAGGTCCAAGAACCTGAGATACAACTGCCTGAGAGAGATGCTAGAGTATTAGAAAAGTATACACACAAGATGAAAAAGTTTGATGAGATGATCAAGGTGTGCTGCTGTTGGATTGGTTACGATGTGTTGCTGGGTAGGTGATCTGCTTTGTTTCGTGATGGCATCAGTCGAGAGGTTCATCGCCATGCAATAGAATTCATCCCCATCTTTGGTAAAGTGATATCCTTGTATTTTGCGCTGTCTTTGTATCGATTAGCGTGTCAATGTGATTTGCCCAGATCAATCAAGCGACGCATGTTGTATCATGTCAGCATTGATTTTCTGGTAAGTTTCTTACTAATAGAACCATCGCATGCGTACTGAATAAGCCCAAAAGCTTGGCTTGATACCCATTCTAGGCATCCTCTTGGATATGTTGTACAGAGCTCACAGCAAAAATGCACGCATATTACGAAGATTCTTGTACGAAAGAGCTAGACAAGGTGCGAATAAAGCAGAATCAGCGGCATTGGATGTAGGGAAGGAGCATGAAAACAATCATTTATCAGATCCAACTAGCGTTTTGATGGAAAAAGATCGACAAAATCAGTTATCCAAAACGAAATAAATAATATATGATATTGTAATATTCGATCAGCATATGATGCACGTTTGTCGTCATGTATAGTTTTGCTATCAACAGATGGTATCTGTGTTAAGCCGCTAAAACAGTTTTGCTGCACTGGTGCTTGGTATTACATTGTTCAAGGGATTCTGATCGTTAGCTTTGGCTTGATCCATTGAAATAGTATGGCATGGAATGAGAAAACGATGATGCTGTCAATGCTCAATGTATTTACTCTCCGAAATACGCTACCGATCAAACATTTAAAGGCAAAAAGAATACAAAACTTTTTCTTTCGTGAATACAACTAAAACATCACATTATGCAATCAATAGACGAAATAGCCCAAGTAAGCCAAGAGCTATAATGTGATACTACATGTTACTTATTGGTAGCACTTAAAGACCATAGCATCGCATTTGTCCATCTTTGAAGACACCAGTACTCGAGAACGCCCTGCCAAGCGAAGAGCCATGGAAGCCGTCAAGAGAGAAACTTTGCATGTCAAGAACATAGACGACGCATCCACAGCAGCCATCGCACTACTGAAGAGCCTAAGGGAATCCATATTCATGTGCAGCAACAGCGCAATTGAGAGTGTGCGAGAGCAAACAGTAGATATTTTAAAAAGGTAATGGGGGCAAATGCTACTTGTCCATTCTACTCACTCACAGAGAAATCAGCCTTCTGGACAGGTGCGAAAGAGGGAAGATTCCAAACTCAATAGTAGACAGCCTGCTTCAGCATGTATTGGAACGCTTAAAAGTAGAAGCAACCGAAGAAGTGCGAGATGCATGGATGCTACTGTGTGCGACATTACTCAGTAAATTAGCGTCTGGAAAGATACCCGTCAAGACAGGTGAATTGTTCATGGACATTATGGAGGTTGCTGGCAATGACCCTTATTCCGAGATACAAAAGCAATGTGCAATTTTGATTGTTTTGTATGCCAAAGATCAACCCAAATCTGTGGACTATGCTTGCGAAAAGATGGTGAAACTGATTTTGCCCATGTTATTGCACAAACATGCAGCAGTGAGAGTCAAAGGAATTAAGGTAATAGTAGGGCTGCAAACATGCTAGTGGACGATGTGCTGAATATGCTTTACAGGCTATGGAAGCTGTGCTCACTGCATCACCCAAGGGATTGCATTTGTTATTTGAATACAACGAGCAATTAGATAGACAGCCCGTAATTCCCTCATTGATCTACGACAATTCAGCCCTTGTAAGAGACAACTTGTTTATTGTGCTGGGCAGTTTACTGTGTAGCTGGAATCCTCGGGACAGATATCAGTATGGAGAGCGTATTTTACCTATTATACTGTCAGGCACATTGGACGATCTTCCAAGCGTACGATCTACATGCAAAGCAAGCTTATCTGATGTGGGGAGAAGTTGTACACAAGATTTACTGGATGCTGATATTATCAAAGAGATACCAGCCGACGACAAGCAAGTTATTGCCACTGGTAAAGATGGCATTCTCTAATGAACTGCTCATATACTGATCATACTTTGGCAACCATAGGTTTGAAGCATTTGGTGCACATGTGCTATGACCATAGTGTTTCGTACATGTTGCAAGGAATCACTGATTTCATCACGGTTAAACAAGAGATCGGGCTCGATTCACTTAAGCTGTTTTTGGAGTATGCCTCTTCAGATGACTTGGTCAAATCAATCAAGAAACTCGTGCACTATTTGTTCATTGCCTATGCCAATCACACTGAATCCACAACTGAAGACAAAATATACGAGACACTGAATTTGATACTTCAGCGACTGCCATCGCCAGAGATTTACTTAGATGCGCTACTTCCACGACTTGAAAGTAAATCCTTGGCAGCAGAGACAAATGGTTATTCTGGCATTATCACTGCTGGAGTGGTGTTGGCATTCTTGAAACACTTTGTCAAGACAGTGACCGTAACTGATTCAATTCGAAAACGCATTCTTGCATCCATTGATAGACCCTATTTGGGCGAGTATATAGACAGAGAAAAGCTGGATGGTCTAAGATCAGACATTGCATAATAGAGCTACTCATTTAATAGAATAAATGCAACGTTATTGGTGTGTGTAAAATGGTGTCTGGATGGAAAGAGTAGGAAAAGCACCTTGTAGGCTTCTGTCATTTTCTGTGTTTTAGTGTCTGATGCTATAAGTCAAGCAAACAAATGGCATTCTGGTGCGTACAGAAATATATCAAAATAATGAAGAAAAAGGCTCGTTCTTTTACACTGAAAACCAGCATGTTTTTCGAAACATCCCTAAAAAAAAAAAGAAGCATAACCATTGATTTAGGCAATTAAGTTCTCTTTTAGCCAATGGCAACTGAATTTTATAATTCGGCGTGTTCCTTTTCATTTGTTATGGGATTTAGCTACGGTTACAGTGCATAATAAGTCTTAATAGAAACCCCTTTTTTGAAGAAATTTCTTACTGTTCCCTTAATTGGTTGTAGTATTTCACCTCATTTGTATATTTAGCGCAACGTGTCTGTAACATTTCCATATTATACATCAAGGGCGAATGAGTCGTTCTACGCTTGTTAACGCCATGCTGACATTGTGCTAAAGTACTGCATATATTATAAATCTCCCCAAAAAACAATAAAATTAAACGACATCCTTCACATAAAATTGTCTAATAATGGATGATAAATTCAACGATGGTGCCTTATATCACTTTTGAACAAAGACGGAATTAGATTGTATCCATTTAATTACACTTTTATTATTACAAAAGACAATATCATATTATATGGCATATCAACAGAAAGTCAACTAGTTGTAGACCTTTTCTCTTTCAACTCCAGAGCCAATCAAATCGCTTGAAAACTCCGCTGACCTAAAAAAAATTTTGCGAGGGTTTCCCTCTGTTTTGATGTGAGGCAAAATTTTAAGCTCCGATATATATAGCGATATAGCCGTTACTATCATCAAATTTCCCTCAGGTACTAGAGCATGCCTTACTTACACCACCTAGCTTTAGATTCTGGCGTTGAGACCCTCAATCATCACTAAAGTAAGTAGTGATAACCAAGTGGAGGCGGCCTATCTACCTCCTAGCCTCGGATAAAGTTTTGTTGAGCTTCAGCGATAGGCACATCCACCACAACGTAAAAAAAGTATGCTTCTAAAGAAACATAATAATAATAAAAGAAAGAAGAAAAGTACATGATACTATATGAGTATAGTAATATGTAGGCAAAAAAAGGGACACACACAAAAAAGTGAGTCAAAAGAAAAGCATAACAACAGATACAACATCAAAGATGTTCAGAACAGCTCGTTGTTGTTGCAACAAAAATGCATACATGAGCAACGTGCATGGTGGTAATAGTCGGATGTAAAGCAACACAAACACGCACAATTGCAGGAGCAACAGCAGTATTACAAGTGTGCAATACAACATAATAACTAATGTTGTTTCATGTGAAGCCACGAAGTCAACACAAACAACAACCCACGACCATATAACAAAGTAGTATTACAACGGCAATACAGATATTATATAGCAGCACATCATGCTTGTCGTTCATACATAATACGAAGCAACAACATTGCAAGCATCCGTTGAGCTGATCATATCACAGCCAACGAAAGAAAAAGAAAGCACAACAAAACAAACATCATGAATGCATTATCATGAGGAAGAAAGCAATAATACAAACCTCCAGAGAAGCTTTATATCATTGCGACCATAAGAAAAAAAATTACTTACCACTTACCACAGCCACGGATAGAGCAGAGAGTAGACAACCACCAGAGATAGACCAGAGAACAAGCATACACCGAAGATAGAAGACCAAAAACGACCGGAAGAGCAGCAGCAGTAACACTATCAGAAACACTAGCAGCAATACCATCAGTAACATCAGCAACAACACTAGCAGCAACACCATAATAGAAGAACCGAAGGACAAGAGACACCAGAGACCAGACAAAGATTAAAGAGGCAGCCACCAGAGATAGAGATCAAAGAAGCAACCACCAGACATGATAAACCAAGGAAGCAGACAGTAGAGATAACAGAAAAATAATGACAGCAGCACCAACCTCAAACAGGCAAAAAAAATATCGAAACCTATTAAAAAAATTCGATTAGTGCTGGTTTTATCTCTTCTAGTGCTCGTTATCGAATGGTACTTACCGTATTCCACTTCAAAAAAGCAGTATCAAGTACTTTTGACTGTGCAAGGCCGTGTTATCAGAAGCTAGAGTGTTATTTTCAATCAAAAGGGTTCCAAAAACAGTATGGTTTGGTACTAAACGCGTTTTGCAAAAAGGATAAAAACGGAGGTATGAAAAGATGAGAGGACACCCTAACCGACGTCACGGCCAGTAGATTTAGTGTTAGTCTTCTGCCGTGGCAGTCGTAACTGCTGCATTTTAATTTGAAATTGTGCAGTGGGTATTTTCGTGTTCAACTTTGACTTGATCTCACATTCTTTAAACGTTTTTGCTAAATTTGACTATGAAAATTGTCGTTGTTATACTTTACTGTCTAATGCATTTATAAAGAGTCGATTAAGGCGCATCAAATGATGCTGGTTACATTCAGCGTTCACACCGAAAATAATGAGCAATTTGTAAAAATATGAAAACAGGTTTTCTACAAATATGTCATAATCTAGCATATAAAAGCTCCAGAAAAACAGTTTCTGATGTTGCATTTTATCATTGCGATTAATTTGATCTAATATATGTCATATGAAAAGTCTTCATTTTTCGGGTGAAAAACGCGATTGTTTGATTTTCAGTGATTTTCCCTTGCTAATACTCATGTAAAAACAAGGATTTTCATGAATTTGCAATGGTCCAAAAAAATTGAGATAAAGCATCAGTAAGTAGAGCGTAGCTAAGAAGAGACGTTTGGCCTTATTCCAAGCGTCCACAACGCTTTGTAGTATGAGCTATTCGCGCTTCAAAATGGCTAATTTTGGACAGAATTTAACCTTAAAATAAGGCGTAGTAGTATGTTGTGCTGTCAAAGAAGTAAGTATACTGCAGTTCTCTCTCTAATGAAATAGCCACCCAAACGCAACTTTGTTAAGCACAAAGAATAAAGGGATTATTATTTGTAGCTTATAAAAAATGTTCGATATTATAAAGACAAAAAAAGACTTATTTGAATAAGATCAGACACAAAAACTAAAGATTTATTGATGAAGACAAGAGTTATTCTATTATTTATACTAAGTTCTGAATGCCAAAGCAGCAATTTATCTTGTACAACGCTTAACACATCTGGTGAACCTCAGCAATTAGATAGCTGAGATGCACTTCAATTATTATAGCTTGTCCATGTTGTTGCACAACACAAACATATCCACCCATCAAGAATACCTTAATCTTTATAGACATTTGTAGCCCTTCTGGCACAACAAACTTGATTGAAAACCAAAATTCATCAAATAGCTCTCATTCAAATTCATGCTATTTGGATCTACTATTAAAAGCGCTCAAATGTACATTAACAACCTTTTGAACATACTAAAATAAAGGTACACGCTTATATCGCACATCGTGTGAATGAATCACTCCTGATCACAGTGTATTCAATCACACCCATGATGATCGTAATAAGAGATGTTATCTTTATCCAAATAAAACAAATCAATAACAAGCATATTCAAATATGACAACTATGCCCTGCTGCCATAGTTGCACAATATTCCAGATAAAGGATTCCATGCTTCAATAACAAACATCACACTTTAAACCATCAAGGTTACATTAAACCATGCTATGACGATAGCTCACCCAAGCCCATCAAGGTTACTCAAATCGACCCTTATGGCTAGTGCTCTTGCATTGATTACCACTTTAAATCAAGTATCAACAACATTTGCCAGATATCGCAATAGCAGAACCTATTGCTCTCTATCACCACTAATCCTACAAGCTAGTTGCAAATGTATAAATACTATTCTTTTTTTTACTCAATTCCAGGATCTTCAGTTCATTTTATGCAGAAATAAAATACAGTAGATTTCTATTGTACAGTGCGCGAAAAAAACGTTCCAGTGTTTTGCCAAATTGCACTTATAGCCAGTTTTCTCTGCAAATATCAAAGCTACAGTAGTCGCTCTATATAAGGCCGTCCTATATAAGGCTATGCGGGGAATAAGGCTGAAATCTTTCAGATTTTTTTTTTACCAGCTATTTAGCCTTAATAGCCTAATTTTATATAAGGCTACAGATTCTAAAAATTTTAGCCTTATTTCATAGTGGTGGTTGCTGCGATTGAATTTAGGGCAAATCAGATATTAAAAAATAGAAAGCTTTTATTGAAAAGTAGTACATTTAAACAAAATAATCACGTAAATCTGTTTGATTTTTCTCTGCTACTTCCTCCGATCTGATATCGTTCAGATTCCTACGGATAGTTTTCAGCATAGACTTTTCTTTTTCATCCATTGGGATGGTATGGTACAAGATAGTTTCATACGCATGCTTCAACTTCTCCCTTATCTCCTTCGTATCAACATCGTAAATCTCTACTGGTTCTTCCTCTACCTCAAGCTCTTGTGACCCCTGGGTAACATCATCGCCATCCTCAAATTCAACAATCACGGGATTAAAAACGATTGCATCAGACTCATCTGCATTTAGATCCAAGTCGTTTACTTCAGTTACCAATTGAACCCCATCATTACTTCTGTTTCCAGGAAGTTCAGGGATGATTTTGTTCAACTGGCTGACTAGATCATCGTCTAAAGGTAGCTCGAAAGATGGGAGTACATCCTCCGAGTCGACTCTCTGTCTCTGAGCAAACTTAAAATCAAGGATCTTCGTATGATCCCAGCAATTTTGGATTGTTTGAGGCTTAACTTTGATCCAAGAATCAGCAAGAAAATACAGAGCATCCACCTCATCCATTCTGTATTCCTCGGTAAGATCAAGGTTTACCCCGGCAAGATACTTGTTCACTGCCCTGTAGTATTGGTGCCAACGAAACTGAGCCTTGAAGTTCGCAATGATTCCTATCGAGTGTGTGATTAGAGATGAGTACGGATATCAATGAAATTTGTTGATTTACCGGCATCCAAAGGCTGCAACTTGCTTGTTGTGTTTGCTGGAAGGAAAATCAACTTAATGTTGCTGAATTCTTCTTTCAATTTATGCACTAAAGCATTGTCAACCAAGAGAGCAACTTTTCTTCCGGCGTAAACGAAAGACGCATTCAAACGTTTGACGTACTTCCTAAAGATGTCGGTGTTCATCCATGCATTGGGAGATGAATGGTACTCCACATAATGGGATTGCCCGATGTTGGTGGTTCTTCTGTACAAAGCAGGTTTTTTGTTTGCTGCCTTTGGTGTCTTTCGTTTCCCAATTACAATGGGGTGCCCTTTATAGGATCCATCATAGTTGGTGATTAGTCCAACTGTGAATCTGTTCTTGCTTTTCTTTGATCCACCTAAAGGTTCCTGACAAATGGTGCGAGTTGGTTGTTGCTCGTAGTATAAGCCAGTTTCATCAAAGTTGAGAATATCTTTGGGATCATATGGCTCCAACAATTCTTCAATCTTTCTGAGTTCTTCGACAATCTTAGATGATGTTAAGTCCACTGAGCTTTTTTCACCATATAAATGTCTTGACTTGACACCAATTCTCTTGAAAACATCGGTTAGCCATCCATCTGAGAAATGGATTTGCTTATTCTTTGGCAATTCATGCATGCGGTACTTTCTGTGTGCGACTACTTTTGCAAAAGCTGCAATAGTTCCACGATTGACAGGAAGAGATTTTGCATTCATGGCTTGAATGTACTCCAAAATGTCATTGTCCAATTGTGGCATCGTCAAGGCTCTGCTGCTTTTTCCCTTCAAATTTCCTCCTTCGTAAGCTTTGATCACCTTGTCCTGTGAATTCAAGACGTTCGATACAGTTTTTTGCTTGACTGAGTGATGAAGGTTGAATTCCTTTTGAGCCCATTGACCGAGTTGCATTTGCGTCAGATTAGGAAAGTGCATGTTGTGCATAATAATGCGATACTTTTGCTCGATTGTGAGGCGATCTCTTGATCTTTGATTAAGGCACATGATAGGATATTGCGTTCAATAGAAGTAAAATAAACAGATAAATGAATGTTACTGGGGAGGTGTCAAATTGATTTATTCGATCAACTATTATAGTAATAGATCCTACGCGCACGACTTTTTTTGACAGAAGTCACGCGCGTCAGTTAAGGCTATGCGGGCAATAAGGCTAAAAAAACCTCGCCAAAAAAGTAGCCTTATACAGAGCGACTACTGTACTGGGGTTTGCTTAGTTTCATAAATAGCCTAAGTAGTTGGCTATCAGATGATATATTATGCACTTTATTCACGTAATTAGAAAAAAAAAGGTAGCCTCATGAAAAGTGAAAAGTCGAATTTATTAAATCTTATAAAAAAGCTCAATATTTAGTTGGACCACCTTTACTCTTGATAACCGCTTTGATTCGGCGTGGCATGCTGCCTATGTATTTAAGACAGTCTTCTTTTGTGAATTTATAACATTCCTGTTCAATTCTGTCTTCTAACTCAGAAATGCTGGTGGCCATAGTAGGGTACTTGTTCAAACGACGTTTTAGTTGATGCCAGACATGTTCAATGGGGTTTAGGTCAGGGCTTTGGGGGGAGGCCAATCAAGAACATTTTGAACAGAGAATCCGTGATGCGTGAACCATTTTTTAATGGGACCAGAAGTATGTGGTCTTGCGTTATCTTGCTGGAATCTAAACGTTTTCTTGTCCAGCCCATAGTACTCGATAGTGTCTAGCAAAGATGAGTCCAGAATTTCAGCATAAACTTCTGAGTTAACAGTTCCTTCGGTGATGGTGGAACCATAGCTGGGTTCCTCCGCTGTTATCATGCCCCAGAAAACAACGCCACCACCATCTCCCTGAACTTGAGCCTCAGTTTGATGAGGCATCAACTCAGTGGGCCTGTCAGTCCAGTAGAAAGATTCGCCGTCAGATCCCCACATGTTGACCCTGGTTTCATCGGAAAATCCCCATTTACGCCAATCGTCCGCAGTCAAATGTCGATGTCTCTTGGCCTACACAAGACGCTTTTTCCGGTTCTCCGCAGACACGAAATTGGTCTTTACCTTTCTTTTATTAGCCTTGAACCCTTTGGGCTTGAGTATATACTGTATATTCCTCAAAGTCATCTGAACTCCCATATGAGCAAGGTAGCACTGCACACCCTTGGGGCCGTCTAAATTACCATTGCGGAGATTCCTTTCAATGTAGTTCATATTTTGCGTAGTGATTTTGCTGCGTCTTCCGGGTTTGGCATGTTTTGAATGACCAAGAAACTTCTTCCTATAGCGAGAAAGTACACTGACGGACAAATTTGGGAAGATTTTTTGAATGGCACGGAGGGAACAACCTTGGTTGAAAAGAGCCTTGACAGATCCTTGAACCTCCTGAGGAATGGGACGTGTCATGTTAAAAAAAGTGAAGTAAAGATGGTAAAATATAATGAGGGAAAAGACCAAAATCTCAGGCTTCTTTATACTTTTTTAAGCATTCCTCGGATAACTAACATTTTAAACATAACTGATATAAAAAATTACGGCTCTCAGATTATTTTTGTGGAATGTATACAAACAATAAGGTCATCAAGCGATATTTCCAATTTTACAAAATCGAAATTTTTTACTTTACGTCAGTTGCACTTGCTTAATATCTAGTGTATCAATTATTTTAGTAGCTCATTTTGTGGCTAAAAACTCAAGCTTTTGTAGTCTTACTTTAGTTTTAAAACTGAAAAAAATTGACAGAGCTGTAAGTGTAAAACTACGAATTGGCAAAACACTGGAACGTTTTTTTCGCGCACTGTATTTTATTATCGCTTTATTTTTTTTTTGTGAAATCTATTCAAACCTGATTTCACTGTACTTTCTATAGGGATAATTAATATCAATCTAATAGCATGTATCCGATAGGGATAGTCTACTTAGTCTATATTAATAGTACATATCTGAGTGTATATCGCTGAGCATACATCTTTAGCATGTATCTGGATATATGGCATGTCTATAGCATATCGTATGCATGTCTATAGCATGTCTCATATATAGTACAAGTCTGTAGTACATAAAGTATCTGTAGCTAGTATCATGGATATAAGCATGTGTCTTATAGCGTGGATCATAAAGTGCACATCTGAAGCAAGAAGCTCATATTGCATTAATCTTGGTGCCTATCCAGATATGGTAAACATCCGTAGTCAATGTCGGAATACAAGTATAAGTCTATAGCGCCATCCATGTCCGTGGTGCCATCTATAGCCTATATCCTATATAGTATGAATCTTATAGTACTAGCGTATCTGAAGTCCATATCTTCTTATAGTATAAATCGATATCGTACATCTAATCCAGTGTACATACAGTTTATATCTAAATCTGGTAACTGGATGAACTGTCGGAATGCAAATCATAGTGAATGTATTTCACAGAAAGATTCAGTCTTAGAATTAGAATCAAAACATCTATCACTTAGAAACTAAGTGCCGTACAATGCAGAACATCTGGGTCATCAGACAGGACTGTAATCTACTAACACCTTTGGCAACGCAGCCTACTACGCCCACTTTTTAGGTTGAATCTTGTTCAAAGCTAGCCATTTTCAAGCACGAATAACTCATGCTACAAAGCGTTTTGGGCGCTTGAAATAGCACCAAATAACACTTCTTGGCTACACCTTACTTACTGATGCTTTATCTCGATTTTTTTTAGGTCATTGCAAATTCATGAAAATCCTCATTTTTTTCATGAGTATTTGTAAAGGAAAATTCTTGAAAATCAAACGATCGCGTTTTTCACCCCAAGAGTGAAGACTTTTCCTATGATATATATTAGGTCACATTAATCGTAAAGATGAAATGCAACATTAGAAGCTCTTTCTATGAGGCTTACATATGCTAGATCTTGACATATTCACAGAAAACCTGTTTTCATATTTTTACAAATTGATTATTATTTTCGGCCTAAAAGCTGGATGCAATCAACACTATTCGATGCGGCTTTTTTAGTTCTCTAAAAATGTATTAGAAAGTAAGGTGTCTCGACGACAACTTTCATAGTAAAATTTAGCAAAAGCATTTAAAGGATGTGAGATCAAGTCAAGTTTGAACACGAAAATACCACTGCACAATTTCAAATTAAATTGCCGCAATTACGGCTGCTACGGCAGAAAACTGAGATCAAATCTACTGGTCATGACGTCGGTTAGGGTGTCCTCTCATTTTTCTATAGCACCGTTTTTTATCCTTTTTGCAAAACGCGTTTATTACCAAACTGTTGTGCCAGAAGGGCTACAACTGCCTATAAAGATTAAGGTATTCTTGATGGGTAGATATGTCTATGTTGTGCAACAACATGGACAAGCTATGATAAGTGAAGTGCATCTCAGCTATCTAAATACTGAGGTTCACCAGATGTGATAAGCGTTGTACAAGATAAATTGCTACTTTGGCATTCAGAACTTAGTATAAATAGAATAACTCTTGTCTTCATCAATAAATCTTTAGTTTTTGTGTCTGATCTTATTCAAATAAGTCTTTTCTTGTTTTTATAATATCGAACATTTTTTATAAGCTACAAATAATAATCCTTTTATTCTTTGTGCTTAACATTTTTTAAGATCGTGTAAATCAGAATCTTCCAGATTTTAACCTACCTATCTAATTTAAACCAAAAATATGACTATGAATGATTCTACTGTATCTCCTGCAGAACAGAACAAGAGTTCAGATGTTCAAGCTGTTGGAAGCGAGCTTTCATACGGAGGAGCTGTAGAGCGACTTCGTCAGGAGGTTCATGGGTTGATCGCTGAAGTTGCGAACAGTGGGGACAAGTCGGACGAAGAGGTCGACGCTTTGAAGGCTGCCCTGTCAAAGAAGTGCTCTAACTTGGAGGCTATAGAGAAAGCTCTCTCTATGGTCACACCTAACCAGAGTCCTTCCCAAGTAACAGTGGTTAGTCAAGGTGCGGCTAATAGTTCAACTGTACCTGATGATCTTCCTTTGTTTCAATGGTTTGGACGTGTCAAAGATGAAAAAAAGGAAGTTTTTGCCAACATTGAGGAGTGTTGTCGCCGGTTTTCCGATAAGTTGAGCAGTTGCACGCTTGATCTTGACGAACACTGGTATCGTTTGCTTCCTCCTTGTCTTCCCGGCGATCTTCGCAATTGGCTTGATGAGTTTGTGAAAGCATCTGGCTCCACTGTGTCTTGGGCTACCTTGAAGGGAGCTATCATCGGTCGTTTTGGTACACCAAAAGAACAGCTCAGATTCGAAAGAATTAGGGAGTTTCTTCGTTGTACTAAAGGAAACGAAGAATCCGTTGATGGTTTCGTAGAGCGGTTTAAGACGTTGAGAAATAGAGCTGACATCAGTGATAAGGGTGTCGTAGCGATGGTGTTTTTTGACGCTTTCCCCAAGGTTACCGCTAGGTTGCTAATGGTTGCTATGAGTCAGGCACCAGAATCGTCATTTTATGACATTGATTATGTGTCCTCTCTCGTGCGCAAGATGGATATGATGGCTATTGAGACGGGTCAAGAATCTTTGGGCTCTGTTTTTGATGGAAGAAAACGCGCTGCTGACATACCTGTTTCGAACGAAGCAAAGAAGTCTCGGTACGCACCTTCTTCTAGTGGAAACGCTCTGCAAAGTAGCTCTTCGTCGAGATCCAATGGTCCCTCGTCCAACTCTCCACGTTCTAGTGCTAATCGTTTTGGCAAAACATTTGCTGAACATGTTGCTGAAGGGACTTGCTCCAAATGTAACGGTCCTCGACCAAAGGGGCAGATGCATCACTGCAACACTGCTATTCGTACTGGTGGTGGTAACACCCATCAGGGCAATGGTGGTAAAAAAGTTTTGCGTGCCATGACTAAGAAACGTGGTGGCAAACATTCGATGGATGCTGCAATCCAAGCTGCTTTTCTCTCTGCTCGTGTCGATCGTGCGTTAGCTGAGAAAGGTGCTTCTTCCCCTGCTGTCTCCTCTGCTGAACAATCGGTGGATGATGTTGTCCTTGCTCC